TACTTTTCAAAGAAATTTGATGGGGTAGCTGCTGGATGGCCATTCTGCCTAAGAGCAATAGCAGCTATAGCTGTACTAACAGAGGAAGCTGAAAAGTTAACTTTGGAACAGAGACCTGCTGGGGTGTCAGAACTATTCTGGAGACAAAAGGTTACGTGTGGTTAACAAGAGAATGGCTTACCAAGTATCAGGGGTGCTCTTAGACACCCTGAGGTTATTATAAAAATTTGCACTATTATTAACCCTGCTTCTTTGATGCCTGTAGGCCCAAAGTTTAGCCAATCTTGTGAAAAAGTGATCTCTCAGACCTATGCAAGCAGATGGGACATCAGTGATCTGATCCTCCAAGATCCAGAGGAGCTATGGTTCACTGATGGAAGTAGCTTTGTCCAAGAAGGACACTGAAAGGCCAGCTATGCGGTTGTCAGCTCATAACAGGTCATTGAAGCTAAATCTCTTCCCCCAGGAAGCTCTGCTCAAAAGGCCGAGCTAGGGCTGGGGATTTAGCTCAGTGGCATCATGCCTGCCTTGCAAGCATAAGGTCTGGAGTTCAATCCCTGGTACCAAAAAAAAAAAAATTGCTATGTTTAACAACTGGCTGCAAAAGGCAGAGCTGGTAGCTCTTACTCAAGCACTGATATTAGGAAAAGACAGAAGGTTAAATATTTATACAGATTCAAGATATGTGTTTCTGGTGCTACACACCCACGCAGCAATCTGGAAGGAAAGAGGCTTACTGACAAATAAATAATCACCTATAAAACACAGTCAGGAAATTCTACAACTCCTAGAGGAAGTCCATCTTCCCAAGCAGGTCTCAGTCATGCACTGTAAAGGGCACCAGAGAAACATATCTGAAGGCTCCTTGGAAAATCAAAAGGCTGACAGGAAAGCAAAAAACGGAAGCCCTAGGGCTGGGGATTAGCTCAGTGGTTCCGCCACCTGCCTCACAAGCGCAAGGTCCCAAGTTCAATCCCCAGTACTGGAAAAAAAAAAAAGGAAGTCCTACAGCCCTTAAGACTCTAGCCTTGCTGGATGTGGTGCCGCATGCCTGTAATCCCAGCACTCAAGAGGCTGAGCCAGGAGGATTGCTGTGAGTTCCAGGCTATCCTGGCCTACATAGTGAGTTCAAGGCCAGCATGGACTACACAATGAGATCCTGCCTTAAAAAAAAAAAAAAAAAGACTCTAGCCTTATTCTCAATTTCTGAGGATCCATTAAAACCATCTATATTCCTCAGAAGGATAAATAGACCTTAGGACAAGGAGAAATTAAAAGGGGACTCTGGTAGTATTTAGAAAATGAACTGGTCCTTCCCTAAGGAATACAGTGGAAGGCTATAAAAACATTTCATGATTCCTTCCATATGGGAAGGGATACTACAATGGAAATGGTCACTCAGTTTTCACATGAGTAGGACTAGCAACAACCACTGAACAGATCTGCAAAGCTTGCCCACTCTGTGCCTACAATAACCTGGGCAAGCCCAAACCACCTCCTTTATTAGAACCTGTACGGAGGAGAGGGAAACACCCTGGAGAGGACTGGCAATTAGACTTTACCCATATCCATCATCTGGGGATTCAAACAGATATTGGTCCTAATTGATGCCTTTACAGGCTAGATTGAAGCCTTTCCTGCCCATTCAGAAGAGGCTAGAGAGGTAGTCAGGGTGCTTCTTAAAGAAACCATCCCTAGATTTGGGCTACCCTTAGACTCGCCAGAGTGACAGCAGACCTTCTTTTATTTTCCAAATAACTCAGGGAATAGAAAAGCCTTTGGGAATAAAGTACTGCCTTCATTCCACTTGTTGGCTTCAACCTTCTGGAAAGGTAGAGCCAACCAGACCCTAAAATGAGCTCTGGCAAAACTTTCCCAAGAGACATCTGAATCCTGGCTCCAATTGCTACCAATAACACTCATGCAGGTTTGTAATATGCCCCAAACTGGGATAAGTTTGAGCAATTTGATATGTTATGCAGAAGGCCATTTCTATCCTCTGATATGAGAGTAGACCCAGAGACCATGAGGCTCTTAAAACATCTCATCAATCTGGGCCAAGTACAACAAGTAATCCAAATGTGCGGGAACAGAGTCCTGCCAGCTCCTGGCCCAGGGGGGACCACCTAGTGTCCACCCTGGGACCAAGTGCTTGTGAGAACTTGGAGAGAGGGAACACCAGCAGACCAGTTAAAGCCAAAATGGAAAGGCCCCTTTTCAATGATCCTTGCAACACCCACTGCAGTAAGGCGGGGGCAGGGATAGATAATTGGATTCATCTTTCTAGATTAAAGCTAGTCTCACCTGCACTGTCTAAAGAACAGGTCACCCAAAAAAGAAAAAGCTACTCCTGTAAGCCTTTGGAAGACTTGAGTTTTCTCTTCTGAAAGCAAAGCCTGGAGCTTTGCAGTACTGGTACTGCTACAGATAAGTAAACAAGACCTTGCTAAAGCCAAGGCTCTTAAAGAGTCTTGATAATTTATCTGGCGTACCTCTCTAACACACATTCTTCTCTACAGGAAGCATGGAACTCTGACCTGCTCCTCACATCTGGGCTAATAGTAAAGTTTCTTTCTTCCATCAGACACGAAGCTTGAGGGTCACTAACTCGTTTCTCATTATCTTTTGCCAGGTTTTTCTTCCCACAACCCAGCCCCAAGCCACAATACTCCAAGGCAACTGGGATACATAATTCTTAGTAGGCAGTCTACTGCCCCTTCCAGTTTGAAGAAGCTATAGAAGACAGGGACTCCTTCAGTACCCCATAAAGATTTATGTCTCCCTGGGGAAAATGATATAGGATGTAAGGCATGGCAAAGCTGGTTGGAGAAGTGAGTGGGACCTATCAATTACAAGTTCCCAGGACAACGTCAGGATCCGTATGTAGACCTTCTGGTGAGCTCCCATGGGATGTGGACAACATAAAGAGTGGATACCACAAGGAGCTCCCTATCATGACTTCTCATGATTGCCTGCACTGCATTTTCCAGATGCAGTGTGTACTTTGATTTTTGCTTTTATCTTCTTTTGTAATAGGGCCAGGCGAGTTGGAAGTATAGAGATGCACCACACTATGAATCCTTTATTATAATAGCCGGCATTCCAGAGTGGGTTCAGGGCTCCAAAAACTCTGGAAAGGAAAGGCAGTTTGCAGGGTCCTTTTAAGGGCTCTTCTATTTGGGGAGGGGTTAGGGAATGGGGGAGCACAAGTGGAGTTTCACAGGGGTAGAACTTTGCTAAACAAATGGGGCTCAGGAAATTTCACACTGTTTAGTTATCACACAGGTCCAGAGTCTTCTGTTTATAAGGTAGTAAAAATAACATAGTTGTAGACTGCTCTACCAAAAGGTCACAAAGATAACATATGGTTGCAGACTCACACAGGATGCAGTGTCTGTTATGCATTAACTGAGTGGACTCCCAAGGGGGAAGGGAAAGGAGACACCCCCCCCAGAATCACTCGACTTTACACAAATGGAGTTAGGTACACAAATGGACTCAGGTTGGCTATCACACTTTTTCTTGTGTTCTGCCCAAGTTCACTCTGCACAGCTGGTTTCTCATTACCCATTCACCCTGCACTTTTCACATAAACTTTTGGAACCATTTTGGGCTTGTCCAATTCTTTCTTCAAGGCAAGAAGGACCTGGAATACTTTTGATTGGCAATTGATTTCTAAAGAAGCTACCTGGTAACAAGAAGAAGTAGTAATATTTACACTAAATTAACCATTTAAAGTACAGACTTGGTGGTATTAGCATATTTGCAATGTTTTCCAATCAGTACTTCCTCTAGTTCCAAAATATTTTCATCAGTCCAAAAGAAAATTCCTTAACCATTAACAGTCACCCAATTCACTTCTCCCCCAACCCTCGCCATCAACAGTCTCCCTTTTGTCTCTGGGATTTGCCTATCCTGGACATTTCATATATACACAATCACACAGTGTGTGACCTTTTGCAACTGTCTCCTTTCACCTAGTAACAGTCCCTTCGCTGAGGATGTATCTTTGGAGAAATATCAATTCAGTCTTTCCCTATTTCTCACTGGGCTGTTTGTAAGAGTTATAAGAATTCATATATTATTTGCAATATTTTCTCTCATTCCATCTTTTCTCTTTCCTGATAGTGTCTTTTGATGATGAAAAGTTTTTAATTTGGACTTAATTTGAAAAGTCCAATTTAGCTATTTCCTTGGTAGTGGTTGTTCTTTTGGCATTGTGTCTAAGAATCCATTACCAAATCGAGGGTCATGAAGATTTATCCCTATGTTTTCTTCTAAGAATGTTATCTTTCCAGTTCTTACATAAAGCAGCATTTTCATAGTTTCTTTTTTCATGCAATATTTCTGAAAATCATAACCAATGCAAAAATCCACGAGCAACAAAATCTCAGCATTTCAAATAAAGACTGGCTCTGACCAGGCACTTAACCACTCACCCAATTCGGGAGTTGGCAGGGGCCAGATTAACCTGGGGGAGCGGCTGGGTGTGAGCAGGGTTATGGCTGGTGGCACAGCTCAAGTGCCGTCCCACCCAGGGGAAGGGAACAGTGTGTCCGCTGCAAGTCCTTGAACAGAGACTGGTTGGGGCCCAGAGCAGCGGAGTGGGCGGACACGGTGAAGGCAGACCAGCAGACGTGCGCTGCACGCGTGGCTTTCCAAGGGAGGCTACTTAGAACTTGAAAGGGACCGCTGCCCCAGGGCTCCCTGCTACCCAGCAGGGGTAGGCCCTGGCGAGGAGGGTGGGAGCGCACCTCCAGGGCCGCCCATTCCCTGGACTCCCTCGGATGGCAGGCAGGTCCTGGCACCCAGGTTCACACCAGAGCAGACCTTGGTGACGCCCTAACGGTGGACCCAAGGCGCTGCGGAGTTGGGGGCGGGGAAAGGGGCGTGCCCGACCTGGGTTCTAGTCTTCCGGGCTCGCCTGACGCCCGCCCCGGCCCCGCCCCCCGAAGCCCCCCGAAGCCCCGCCTCCGAGCCAGGCCCTGCCCAGAGCCTTTCCGCGCTCCACACCTCCCCCTCCCAGAAGGCCGCGGAGAGGCCGCCGATCCCGAGACTCGATCCCCGAGCCAGATCTCGCAGACCATGGCCGCGTCCTCACCGCTGCGCGACTGCCAGGTACGTGAGGCCGCTCCAGCCCGGTCCCTCTCCGTCCCGCTGATGGCCTGTGCCGGGCGGGGCGGGACGTGGGGTTGCTGCCTATGAGACTTGCTGGGGTGCGGGGCGGGTGAGCGGCCCTAGAGGCCGAGGGGACTGTGCACCCCCTGTGCGATTCCCAACCGGGAGGCCCCAGGACCTCGGGAAAAACTTGTTCACAGGGCAGGGTCTCCTCAAGTCCGGGCTGGGTAAGGAACCCTGAGCCCATTCTGCAGATGAGGACGTGAAGGGGCGAGGCAACTTCGCACAGCTGCTGCTGGAGAGCTTTGGCCAGGAGGAAAGAGCACTGCCTCTGGGGGGGCGGGGAATGGGGTGGGTGTCACTGCCCTCTGTCCCTGGGGAGTGCACAGGTGGGCACCCTCCAGATGGACGGTGGTGTGACTGGTCCACACGATGGCAGCCATGTACACCACCGCGGCCAGGTGGGAGCAGACCACCCTCCTCCAGGGTGGACTTTGGTGCTGGTCCTGCTCTGCCCGACAGTCCGAAGTCACACAGCCGTTAACTGCTGGGATTTGGATCCAGGATCTGTGTGTGAAGTCTGAGGTTCCCCACCCACTGGGAAAGGCCACATTTTGCAGAAGCCCCAGGGAGGCAGTGAGGACCTGCGGTGCATGTTGAGGGGCTGGGTTGTGTAGTGTGGGGCGCTCCACGGGACACGGCCTTGGTATTCCTTTCTTGGTGCGTGTAGGCGTGGAAGGATGCCGGGCTCCCGCTCTCCACCACGAGCAATGAAGCCTGCAAGCTGTTTGATGCCACCCTGTCCCAGGTAGGCCTGTGAGGGAAGCCGAGGCCCCTCCTGTGAAGGCTAATAGCAAGGCCTTTCTAAGTTGCACAATGGCTTTGCCCATGTTCTGCAGTAAAATCCAACACTGAGTGCCAGAGAACGTAGGAACATGTGGAAACATCTCTGCTGGCCAGGGCATGTGGAGAGGCCTCTGTATGTGCAGTCTGGCCAGGGTCCTCTGGGAGGAACTCAGGGTGCTATGGCTGTCAGGGCTTTGATGTGGGCATGTGTCTCACCCTGGGGCCCTTTTATGAATGTGCTGCTCCCACAAGTGGCTGAGCCAAGACTTTCCCCTGCATTCCTGGTGAAGGATCCTGTAGCTTCAGAAGTAAAGCCCCTTCAGTTTGTTTGACAGTGGGGAAATAGAGGCACAGAGATCTAAACTCACTTGAGTTGAAGGTAAGATCGCAGGAGAGGACCCAGGGAGCCCTAGGGCACCTGAGCTGAACACAGAATGGATGAAATGCCATCAGCCATGCTGCATGTCTCTTGTCCCCAGCCTGTCCTAGCCGAGCCCCCCAACTATGTGTTTTTGAACTATTTGCTGTTTCACAGCCCACTTGCCATTCTCTCTCCTTGCTGGCCTCTGTTGAATCCTCGATTTGTCACACACCACCTTCCCGGATTCAGCAGCCCCTCATCCTCCAGCCTGTGCCTGTTCTGCCCTCGTGATTGGCATCTCTGTGCTGTCCTGCCTTTGAGCACAGGCTCTTTGAATGTGTACCAGCTCCCCTCTATCTTCTGAAAAACTGGGCCCTGGTTCTATGTAGCTGTGGGTTAGGCAACTGAAAGGGCAAATTTGAAAATCAGCTAAGGGGCTGGGGTGTAGCTCAGTGGTCAGGCATGTGCAGAACCTTGGGTTCCATCTCCGGGACTGAGAAAAAAATCCAATGATTATAAATGACTTTGTCTTAGTTACTTTTCTCATTGCTGAGACAAAATACCTAACACCCAAAGTTAACCGAGGAAAGGTTTATTTGTCTCACAGTTTGTAGAGATTTCAGTTCATAGTTGCCTGGCTCCACGGCAGGGTAGCAGGGCAGGGGAGAAAAAGCTCATGGCAAATAGAAGGCAGAAGGCAGCAAGTCAGCAAGCGACAAACAGGAACACTCTTTCTGTCCTTTATATCTTATCTAGGCTACTCACCCTTAAGGCAGGTAGGACTCACAGCCAGGGTGAGGCAGCCTTAATCCTAGTGTTGCACCACGATTCAGTCCCAGCAACACATCCTTGATCCCAGCAGTACACACCCTAGATCCAGCCACCTCTGAAAAGCCCTACTTACGACTGCATGAGGCTTTGCAGTGACAGCTATAACAGCCTTCATGATTAAAAAAATAGACATTTGTCTTAATCTATTTTCTGTTGTTATAGCAGAATAACTAAGAGTGAGTAATTTATAAGGAAAAGAGGTTTGTTTAGCTCACAGTCAGTCCTGGAGTTCCAGAGCATGGTGCTAGTATTTGCTTGACCTCATGGTGGAAGCAGAAGAGAGGTGGGCACTTTGTAGCAGCCTGTTCTTGAGAGAACTGACTCAGTCCCATGAAGATCCCAGCACCCAGTGCTGCTCCACTAGCAGCTAAATTGCAACATGAGCTTTGGTGAGGCAAACTGCATCTGCACCATAGCAGCACTTTTTAAAGACTGGAGGCAAATACATCAGATTATCAAAAATGGTGATGAAATTAGATTCCCAGGACAAAAAAGTATAGAAATCTGGATTCTGCCTTTTGTTTGTTTGTTTGTTTGTTTTGGTACTGGGGATGAAACTCAGGACCTTGTGCTTTTGAGGCAGGCGGTGGCACCACTGAGCTAAATCCCCAGCCCCATCTTTCTTGTTTCAGTATGTAAAATGGACCAACGACAAGAGTCTCGGTGGCATTGAGGGCTGCCTGACAAAGCTCAAAGCAGCAGATCCGACCTTTGGTGAGCAGTGCTTCCTGGGTAGCAGTAGCAGAGCCCACTTCAGCGATCTGGTCCCTCTTGTTCCCTGGCCAGTTGGGTTGAGGACAGGGACCAGGGTGGTGTTGTCACAGAAGGAGGGAAGATGATAGTCACCGTTGCATCCTATAAAGGTGTCAGGTCTTGTAAAAGCTCTTTTCACATTTTTTCTCAAATTCCCAACAATTCTACCTGAGAACACTGTTTCCACTTCTCAGATGAGGAAGTTGAAGTGAAGTGAGGGAAAGACACGTAGCCATGTCTGTCTGAATCCCAGGCCCAGGCTCTTGGAGCACAGGAGATGTCACTGCAGCCCTTGGGAACTAGGGATCCTCCTCCAGAGCAAGAGGCTGGGGAGGGGGCCAGATGACAGGTGACAGAGGTCGGCACAAGGCCAGCCCATGTATGGCAGGCTCAGGCAGGTCAGCGTGGTCATCCGGATCCCCAGGGAGATGGCCCCAGCAGAGAGTAAGCTTCCAGGTCTGGAAGGAGGACTCGAGGGAGAACAGACAGCAGCCCCCCCCCCCCGCCCCGCTGCCCTTCCTGCAGCTAAGGGACAGAGATAGAAAGGGTAGAAAGGGGAGAGAACAGGGGAGGAGCGAGGGACGGGGAGTGCAGACAGCCAGGTACGGGGGGGGGGTGCTGGGAGATCAGCCCCGGTCAGAAGCAAGGGCCACATGGGCGGTCCTAGCACTATGGTTCGGTCTTCAGTCTCAGGCCTGGGCCCATGACTGAGCCCCTCATTCCAGCAGTCACCTCTCCCAGCACATGTGCCAGTGTGGCTGCTGCTTGATCACACAGCACAGCCCACCCCAGCTGTGGGCACAGGACAGTGGCAAGGTCAGTCATGCTGGTGGATGCCCCCTGAACACCACCCACTGAACTCCCCCGGGAGGCTATGTGCTGGGGGGAGCAGCAGCGCCAGCTTACCTGGTGGAGGTGGGGTGCTTAGGACACCGGCACTGTCCACCATCCCTGTTAGAAAAGTATCCTGGCTGCTTTTAGTGCTGCCCTTCCTTCCCCACTGCACACTGGAGGCCAGGGCTGAGATGTGGACTGCCCAGGGCCCCACACATGGCCAACCTGCCCACAGCCTGGCTGGCAGCTCCTGGCCGCAGCTTGTGTGGGACCATCTGTGTCACCAGCTGTTTCCCTCCTTCTGCTAGCCATGGGCCACGTCATCTCCAGTGGCCTCGTGCTCATTGGCACCGGAAACTCAGTGAGGCTGGACAAAGAGCTGGACCAGGCAGTGAAGACCATGGTGGAGATTTCAAAAACCCAGCCACTGACGCCAAGGGAGCAGCTGCATGTGTCTGCAGTGGAGACGTTTGCCAAGGGGTGAGGGACACTCGGGGTGATGCCACAGCTGTTCCAGTGCCCAGGGGGAGGGGGCAGCTTCGAAGTGACTCAGCCCTACCCCAGGAGATCATCTGGTTGAAGATTGCATCCACCCAGGCTCTGCCTTGGCTGATAGCCAAGTGAGGAAGCACTGGCCCGGATTCTCCATCTAGTGTTCAAAGCAGCTGATTTTGTTTCATTAAATAAATGGCTTATAATTTTAATTGCAAAACTGAGAGGACACATTACAGAGATATCTAGAAGAGAGGAGAAAACATTCACCCATATGCTTCTTGTCTTCCACACTGTGGAAGTCAGCTTTCTGTCACTGTGACAAAACACCAGAGAAATCAGCTTTAATAAGGAAAGGTTCACTCAGAGTCCAGTCCACCCTTGCTTGGTCCTGTTGCTTGTGGGGCTTTGATGAAGGGTCATGGAGGAGGCAGACAGCAGAAGAGGCTGCTCATGTCGTGGCAGCCAGGAGACAAAGAAATAGAAAGAGACCAAAGTCTCACTGTCCCTTCATGGCCACATCCCCAGTAACCTGTTACAGACACACAAACGCACATACACACCGCCTTTTTTTCCAGTGCTGAGCATTGAACCCAGGTCCTCACACATGCTGGGCAAATACACTACCACTGAGGTATGTGCCCAGCTCCTGATGCAGGATGTGTCAGGATGTCTTTTATACTCCTTGTATGTGAACTTCATATTCAGTGTGCTGAGAATGCTCTCTTGGCTTCCAGGAACTTCTCGAAAGCCTGTGATCTGTGGGAACAGATTCTCTGGGACCACCCAACAGACATGCTGGCCCTGAAGTTTGCCCATGATTGCTACTTCTACCTGGGTTACCAAGAACAGATGCGAGATTCTGTTGCTCGAATTTACCCCTTCTGGACACCTGACGTGCCCCTTAGCAGGTATGTACTGGTTGGAAACCACATCATTTTTATTTCATATTTTCTGTTTTCTGCTCTAAAACAGTCACTCCTTTGGTCTTGCCCTAAAGATACAGACAACTGTTGTGTTTCTCCTAGTTCTTTAAAGATAAAAGGCTTCCTTTTCTTTTTTTTTTTTTTGGTACCGGGGATCAAACTCGGGTCTGTGCGCTTGTGCAGCAGGCGGCAAAACCACTGAGCTAAATCCCCGGCCCAAAGGCTTCCTTTTCTTCATTTGATTTTCATCCTGTCTTTCTGTTTTCCAGGTATGCAATAAACATAAGTTTAATAGTATAGATCAACAGGGGAAAAGAAATAAGCAGCAACCAATATTTGATTTTCATCCTTATCACTTTTTCTAGGGTCCCTCTTAACTTGATGTAAACTTACAATTTTCAAGGAAATTCCTGTTCCACTCCCATTTTAGCATAAATAAATTGAATAGTTTTTCTGTTTGTATGATAAGACAGGAAAGACTGTTACATTTGAATGGAAAAGGCACTCCATTTGTGATCAATGTCACACAAAATCACATTCCCATCAGAAAACACAAACATCAACAACACAAAACTAAAAATGCACAGATCAATGCCATTCAATAAATATGCAAGCTACTTAAGTCTCCCTTAAAAAGGACCAATACTTCAAAAAAAACCATAAAGAAAACCCCTGTCCATTTCCAAGTAACCCAAGTAGAGGAGCCAGCAAGATGCTATGTGTGCTATTTTACCCCTCCCCTGGCCCTTCACTACTTAGAAAACTGCCTGCTCTCCACAGAGACTGAAAATGGGCCTCATTTCTTCTCGGGGGAGAACAAATTCACTGACACCCTTGTGCAATATCCCCTGTTTCTCTATACCTAGTTCTGCTTCCAAATCCTCTTCATATAGTTTTGGGTAAGACTTGGGATCTTTTCCATTAAGAAGGGCCATATAAACTAGGAGTTTCATCTTGCTGGATTCAGCATGGGCCCTTGGATCCCATAGGAACTCATAGCGAGCAGGATCACTGTTAGGAATCTGCTGGTACATCAGGGACTCTTCCCGTACTAAATCCTCAGTGATAAATTTCTAGGCTTCCTCACAATGAATATGCTCAGAGCTAACATGTCCCATCTTTTCACTTTTTGGGTTAGGTCCTCCTCACTGATACAGTTGCCCTCTATGAAGATTAGAGACATATATTATATTAGAGAATCATTATAGACATCATTATATTAGAGAATGTAATGATGTTGGTTTTGAGAATGATTCTTTCATCATCGCCATCTAGTATCCCACTGTACGTAAGATCCCAAATGAGGACTAGCTCATACGTGTTGCCAGAGTAATTCACTTTCCTGATTTTAATGCCAAAGCCCAGATACATGGACTCACAGAGTTCCCAAAAGTTCAGAGGGAAGTTGTTATGGTAATCATGGGGCAGAACATGCAGCATTTCTTTCATGGTGACCTGCTCCTTCTTTTGATACTTGTGGAGCAGAAATGATACCAACTTATATAACTTGGCATTTAGGAGCACATTTTGCAGGATGTGAGAGAAGCGTGCATCCTGCGAGGAGCTTGAACCCTCACAGGATTGAATCCTTTGACTGGAAACCATGAGGACAGCAAGAAACTTGTTGAGGATCAGAAACCTTCAAATCTCCAGTGCTGGAAAATAGAGTGCTGAGCAGTAGCAATTCAGCTGCTCCAAGAATCCAAACCCAGATTTTGAAAAATCACAACTGAGAATTTTCCACTGCACAGTCCAAGGCTAGCAACAGAGGCAGGAATGGGTTATTTTCTGGTTTTTTTGGGTTTTTTGGTACCGGGGATCAAACTCAGGTCTTTGCGCCTGCACAGCAGGTGGCAAAACCACTGAGCTAAATCCCCGGCCCAGGAATGGGTTATTTTCAGAGTCTCAACCAAGAATGTGGCCTTCTCTCTCACCCTCAGCCCTTCATCTCATCTTGTGATCGAGATAGCACCATTATGTATCAGTTAGAACAGGATTGTTTTTGCTGTAGTAACAAGCATCTCCTAGATCTTTTTCTTCAATGCTTAGTACAGCAAAGGTTTATCTCTCACCATACTCCATTCTCATCCTAAGAGGACCAAGGGCTCTGCAGCCATGACTTTGTCTCCCTTCAGAATCCCAGCTGGTGAGCAGCCACCTCTGGACCCTGCAGTCGCTATGAGGGAGAAGAGAGCCTCCCTGGCTCACCGTGGCAATGTAGGACTCAGAATGAAAGGGACACACTGTCGCTCCCAAGTCATTGGCTGGAACTGACCACATGACCTGGTCCCCTCCTTCACAAGTAGGAAGTGGGGAGACAGGAAGGCCTGAAATGCTGTGCATGGCTCTGATGACCACTCAGGGTTGACAGCATTGTGATTTAATCATAGGGTGGTGAGGAGGATCAGATAGGGGAATGGGATGAAGCCATGTGAGCCGGGGCTCTTGAGAGAAACCACTGGCGTCTCATTCCCTCCCCTCTGTGTGAGTGTCAGACTCTCTCCCTCTCTCCATCATTTTGCTGTAGTAGCAAAATCCTCTACACTTTATATATGGGGGGATTTATTTCAAGAAATCACCTGATGTGATTGTAGGGCCTGGTAATTATTAAGTCTGAAATCTGTGGGGCAGGTGGCAGGCTGAAGAGCCCTGTAGAAGTCTGTGTTATGGCCTTAGGTCTGGGAGTAGAGCTGCTTCCTCCTCTAGGGACCTCAGTCTTTCTTCATGAGCCCTCAACTGATTGGGTGAAGTCCACCCACATGGCAGAGGGTCATTGGTTTGATTCAAAGTCTATGGATTTAAATGTTAATCACATTTAAAAACACCTTCACAGCGACACCTACACTAGTGGCCAAACAAGTGGGCACCATGGCCTAGCCAAGCTGACACATAGAATTAACTATCACAAGAAGGAACATAATAAGCTAGGCACAGTGGCACATTCCTATAATCCCAACATTGTGGGAGGCTGAGGCAGGAGGATCGCAAGTTCATGTGTAGCCCGGGTAACTTAGTGATTTAGCAGATCCTGCTTCAAAATAAAAAATAAAAAAGACGGGAATGTAGCTCAGTATGAAGGCCTTGGGTTCAATCCCTCGTACAAAAAGAAAAAAAAAAAGCCTAATTGTTCCTACACACTGTAAGCATGCAATAAATATATTTTTAGAGGCAGGCACCGGAACCACTGAGCTAAATCCCCGGCCCAATAAATATATTTTTAAAAGACACATCTAGAAGCTCCTGCTGAACATTCCTTCAATGAGTATCAAAAGCTAGGTGTTATCTCTGTGCATTTGTTACCGAGCTGGGGACTTGTCCAAATTCTTGATGTCCTGGAGAAAGAATTGAGCCAGACACCCACAAGGAGGAGTGAGATCAGAAATTGATTTGAAAGTGAAAGTACACTCTGCAGGGTTGGAACGGACCAGGGAGGAGCTCAGGGCACCAAGGAGACTCGGTAGTTTTAAGCGTTAGGGTTTGGGGTGGGATTAAGGAGTTGGTCTGAGGTATGACTCCGGCCAATGAGAAGCAGCCCCCTTTAGGTTTTGACCTTTTCTGACCCTTATAGGAACTGTCCGGGTGGCCGAACCCCATGGGGATCAAATCTGCATAGTCAGTGACATGGTAATTAGGGTCGGGACCTTGTGCCCCAGAACCTACTGTGTATGAGGTGGGTCACGTGCTTACCTTTTCCCATTGTGTTGAGAACTGGGCTTTGTGGTCCTGGCCAATGCTTAACTCCGAAGGTAACTCTAGCCCAGAAATTGGCTCCAGTGCAGGCCCTCTGTTCTTTCCCAGCCATTTCCTTGGTTACCTCTAATGCTTCTAATCTAGCCCAGAAAGCAGGTGGATGGATCCTCCCTTCCTCCTCCCACCTTTTCTTTAGCTACTTCCTGCTTGATGAGGTAGTTAGTGTTAACAGCTGCATCTCAGAAACTCCCTGGCTCAATCTTGCTTTCGCTTGGCTCCCAAAAGCCTTGGGAAAGCAGGAAAGTGGGAAAGCCCCACTTTCATATGTGCCCACCCTGGGGCTCAATGCCACTGCTTCTGTTGAGAAACAGGGTGTTCTACCCCTGCCTACCTGGGCCAGAACCTAGGGCGGGGTGAGAGTGAGTTAGGGGACTGGGTCCCCAGCCTCTAGGACCTCTGGCCTGAGGAGCAGCCTGGCTGATGGGGCATCCCAAGGCCAGGCAGAGCACAGAGCCACCGATGGACCACAGGGCTTCCTGAGAAGATGCCCCTGGGGTTTGGGGCCCTGCGGGGCAGACAGGAGGGAGAGGATCTCAGCACCCTCAGTGGAGACCGGAAGTGAGGGGCCTGGTGTGTAGACAGCTCTGGGTATAGCATGGAGAATGGTCACCTGCTACGCACCCCTCGGAACTGTGAAGTTGCTGAGAACCCAGGGCAGGGCACGGGCTGGAGTGTGTGTCCAGGTCTCGGGGTTCTATAACAAAAGGCAAAAACGCATTCTCTGGCAGTTCTGGAGCTCAGAAGTCCAAACCCTCCTGTGAGCAGAGTCCCATCTGTCCAAAGGTCCTAGAAGGTGCTTCCTGGCCACCTCCATCTTCTGCCGGTGGCTGGTGTCCTCTGCCTGTCTTGTGGCTGCATTACTCTGATTTCTGCCTCCATCTTCACCTGCTGTCTCCCTACCATGTCTCTGGGTCTTCTGGTGGCCTTTTTGTAAGGACAGTGGTCACTATAGTAGGACCACCCTGATTTGGTCACATCTGCAAAGACCCTCTTTCACATACCATCGTGTTCACAAAGCTGTTAGGACTGGTGTGTCTCCTTGGGAGCACAGTGCAGCCTCTCACAGTCCACTAAGGTATTGTTCTGTTTCCAGCTATGTGAAAGGCCTCTATTCTTTTGGATTGATGGAAACCAAGTTCTACGATCAGGCAGAAAAGCTTGCCAAAGAAGTAAGTGGTCCCTTCTCAAGGTGTGTGACCTTTCCGAGAGGCCATCAAGTGGGGAGCTCCCCTCGGGTGTGATGCAGCCCAGCCCCCACCTCTGAGTATCCTCTTGAGATTTCAGGGCGACTTGGGTTAGTATAAGCTACTGCCACCTGCAGGGTGACTGCTCTTGAGCCCAGAAGCCCTGGGCTGTCCTCCTGGACTGTATGGGGCCACACCCTTGGAGCACTTGACAGTTACACCAGGCTCATAGCTAGGGGAGGGCACCATCAGTGGCCCTTCCACCAGGGAAACTGAGGCCCCAAGTGACTAGATGGCACACTGCAGGTGGCTCAGCTGTACGCAGGAGGCTGTGGGCTAGGCAGCTGAACCCTGGCTTTGGAAAACCCTAGGCAAGAACTCAGTCTCCCTGAGCCTTGGTTTGCACATCTGTGAAACAGCCAGCCATGCCCGCCCAGGGAGTGAGGCTGGCGTTGGGGTTGTAGTTACTATCAGTTGGGTGCAGTCCCCATGTCTGCTCAGACCCTCACGCCCCAGCTGGGCAGCCTGCCCGATGCCTGTCTCCACCCCTCTCCCTGCCTCTGCAGGCTCTCTCCATGGAACCCACGGATGCATGGTCTGTGCACACCGTTGCACACGTGCATGAGATGAGGGCGGAGGTCAACGAGGGGCTGGAGTTCATGCAGCGCTCAGAAAGCCAATGGAAGGTACAGCTGTGTGGGTGAATCTCAGGCCTGGACAGCTCAGGCCACGACTTGGGTTGGGCTGAGGCTTCGAGAGCTGGAGTTGGAGGTGTGGCCTAGTGTTGGGGAGCCAGGTCCAGCAGGAGCCAAAGGCAGGTGGTTCTAGGATGGGCCTTGGCCTGAGGCACTGGGCTGTAGTGGGAATGAATCAAAAGGTGGCCAGGAAATAAGAGTGACAAGGGTTAGGGACCACCTGAGCCGTCTGAGCTCTGCCAGTGGCCTGCATGCTTTGAGTGGGACCATAAAGTGGTCTTGCAGCATGGGATGCAGCCAGGATGGGGCCTGTGGGGTGGTGGCATGGTGGCAACTACAGGACTGATGGGTAGAGGAGAGGTACCAGGGCCATCCAGACCCCCAGGGCCCTGTCAGCTTTTCCCGTGGTCTGACCACTCTGTGGTCATTGTCCCCACTCTGGTGCCTGACTTCACCTAGCCCTGTGCAGGGCTTTCCCTCAAAGGTGGCCTTTTCTCTTCCACATGCGCCTGGTGTCCCCAGCTGTTACTCTGGCACATGGCCTGGCTACCTGGCCAGGTGTCCTGGCTGCCCTGCCTTTCCCTGTGTCATGGCAGGGTACTTGCTGGCCAGGATGCTGAGTCTCTCCCAGCGCCTGGCACCACATGGCAGACACTCAGTGATGGGAATGGCCAGGAGCCAGGAGGGACATGAGAGTCACCACTGACCATCTGTGCAGCTTCCTGGCTTGGGATGTTCCCACAGGGGTGCAGCTTCCACAAAGGCCTCTGGGGCTAGCAGGATGGGGATGGCTGAAAATTGTGATCCCCCAAGGGTCACGCAAAGTCTTTCTAAGGATCTTCACACTCGGGAAGCTGGAAAGGCCCAGGGACAGCCTGAACCAGGCCCTGGGGCATCAGGAACCTGAAGCTAGTGTGGCCAATGCTCTAGAGCTTGCCCTAAGGTTGGGGAGCCTGAATAAGATATAAGGGACAGAAGGAGGATTGCTGTTTGTTGCTTGCTGCTTGCTGCTTACTGCCTGCCTGCTCTGTGATGCCTTGCCTTGGAGCCAGCCAATTATGAACTGCAACCTCTACAAATTGTGAGCTACAGTCAACTTTTTCTCCTTTAACTTTGGGTGTCAGGTATGTTGTCTAGGCAATGAGAAAAGTAATTAAGACACCCAGGCTGGTCTTGAACTTGCGATTCTCTTGCCTTGGCCTCACTATTAGCTGAGGTGTGTGGCACCATGCCTGGCCAGTGTGGTTTTATGGGACCTGAGACCCCTGCCTGAAGGCCTGGCTCTCCCCTGGGACAAGAACTTGATCCCTCTGTGCCTCAGTTTCTTCTTCAGTACTCTATGAGGGCCTGGCCCCAAACAAGTTCCCACACAGCCAAGGCTGGGATTATTGTAGATTGGGCCATTGTCATCTGTCTTAGTCACTTTCTCATCACAGGGACACAATACTGACATCCAACTTAAAGGAAGAGAGGTTTATTTTGACTCACGGTTTCAGTCCATGGTCGGCTGGCTCCAAAGCAGAAATAGCATGGCACAGGGGCGTGGGGGAGGAAAGCTGCTCACAACATGGCAGCTAGGAAGCAGAGAGGGAGGGAGGAGCCAGGAGAGAGACACAGATCACCCTCAGTGACCCTCTCTAACCAGACTCCACCTCCAACAGCAAGTCAGCTATATCGATCCTGTGATTTAATCACATTTCAAAAGCCCTGCCTATGAGCATAAGAAGCTCTTGGGGGAGCTCTAGACATAAGCTGTGGCTTCCTCTGATGTGTCCCTCTGTCCCCCGGCAGCCATGGTGTGGATGACATGACCTGTGCTCCCTTTCCTCCACCTGCACCTGCCTTGTGTGTCTGGCTGCTGACCATAGAGCTCAGTTGAGTCCGGTCTCCACTGTAGGCCTCTGCTCCACCATGGGGAGCCGCAGGAAGGTCCCCCCATAATGACTAATGAGCACACACCTCCCCCTGTCTCAGTTTCCTCACTCAACACAGGCTTAGTCGTGTCTGCCCCTAGAGCGGAGGGTGATGAGGTGGCATGGAGACACCTGGACAGCCAGGTGCCTAGCAGGGCCAGTTTCTTGCCCTCTGGGGCGAGGGGCTCTGCTACAGCACAAACCCACACTTGCTGGTCTGCACAGGCTGCCCAGACTTTCTTTAATTCTCTTGATCCTTCCGCAGGACTCCGACATGCTTGCTTGCCACAATTACTGGCACTGGGCTTTGTACTTGATTGAGAAGGTAAGGTGATGGTCTCACTCCATACAGATGTCACGGGGGACAGCATTTCTAGGGTCAGCCATAGGTCTGCAATCACTGTCCAAATAGGGGGCCCTTGTGTTGTGCCACACTGACTATGCACAAGGCAGATCGAAAGCTATGGTGAGATTTAAATGAAAAAAATTACCACAGTTAGAGGCACATTGCATGAATCGCTCTCAAAATCCTCCCCTTTGCTTTGAACCCACTCATCCCATCACTCTTGCCATTTCTGAAGCAGTCCGGGAAGTCCTCTTTCCTGACTGTCTTTAGGAGGTGTGATCAAAAATATGGTGAACTCTGCTGCAGAGAGCCAGCCATGGAAAGGCAGGCTTGCAAAAACATTACGCTGTGTCCTCATCCACCTGATGGCACCATGTGACTTCTAGCTCTTCCCCAAAGTCAAAATGACCACAAAAGGGCAACGTTTGGAATCAATTCAGCACATTGAAGCAGCCACAACAGTGCCACTAAAGACACTCAGGAAAGAGGACTTATAGAGTGCTTCAAAAAGTTGTGGGGCTGGGGATTTAGCTCAGTGGTTCTGCTGCCTGCCTCACAAATGCAAGGTCCTGAGTTCGATCCCTGGTACCGGAAAAAAAAAAAAACCAGTGGAAGAAGCCTCACAAGTGCAAGGTCCTGAGTTCGATCCCTAATACCCAAAAAAAAAGAAGAAGAAGAAGAAAGGAAAAAAGTGGAAGAGAACGATGGGCTAGATGTTTCTAGTGTGAGAAGGAGGATTTTGACAGGGATGGCAATGTCTCTAATATTTTTTGAAAAAATTTAAAACTAAGAACATCCCATATTTTTTGATCATACCTTGTAAATGCCTCACTGCTGCTGGGGTGAGCAGCTCAGCCCCCTCCCCATAGATGGGACCTGAAGGAGCCATGAGCTCTCCCAGGAGGAGCAGGGGTGTGGGGTTGCTGGAGTACCCTATTTCTCAGGGTGCTTCTTGGCAGCATTACTGACTATAGACAAAGACAAGAGAGTCCCCGAATGGCCAGTGGGAGAGATGCATGCAGATGAGGATCCTGTCCAGACATGGAATGTGGGGATACCATATCTAGGAGGAGCGGAGAGCCAGCGGCATGTACAGTGGGGGATACTGTATATATTCCCTACTGTAAGGGAAAACTCACAGCCTGCAGGCAACATAAGTGATGCTCACAACGGCTGACTGTTCCTTACCCAGAATGCCTGGGAGCAGGAGTGTTTCCAATTTAGAAATTTTTTGGATTTAGGAACATTTGCCTGTACATAATGAGATAGCCTGAGGGTGGGGTCTTTCCTAGTTACTTTCTCTAAGCTGGGACAAAATACCCAATACCAGGAACTTAAAGGAGGACACGTTTATTGTAGCTCATGTCTCGATCCAAGGTTGACTGTGTTCCAAGAAGAAAGCATGGCAGAGAGCTATGGCAGACCAGATGCAGAGAGGGAAGGAGGAGCCAGGGAGGGAGATACACCCTTCCAGGCTACGCCCACAGTATCTGTCTCCTCCAACCAGGCCCTACCTCCTAAGAGCACATTTAGCTCTAAACTCATCGGTGGAGTAATTCAGTATGGGGCTCCGTGATCCAGTCACCTCCCTAAATCCCTGAGTGCCTGAGGCTTTGCAGGGGGGTGGGGGTGGAGAGGACACATCTAGGTATAAACCATAACAGGATCCAAATCTAAACACAAAATTCATTTATCTTTCCTATGTATCTTATACACATAGCCTGAAGGTAACATCATACAGTATTATTAATGTGCCTGTTTTTGGACTGGCCCAACACTTGAGGTCATGTGTGGAATTTTCCACTTGTGGCGTCATGCTGGTGTTCAAGAAGTTCAGATTTGTAGCCAGGGGCTTGTAATCCTAGCACTCTGGGAGGCTGAGGCAGGAGGATAGCAAGTTCAAATGCAGCCTGGGCAATGTAGTAACTTCTTGAGATCCTGTCTTAAAACTTAAAAATAAAAAGGGTAGGGGTATAGTTCAGGGTGAAGGCCCTGGGTTCAATCCCCAGTACCACAAAAGAAAAGAAAAGTTCTGGATTTTGGGAGCACTGAAGTGCTTCAGTTTGGGTGCCTCACCCTGAATTAACTCCAGGCAGGAGACACCATGTTCTCACAGAAACCACGGCCTCAGCAGCAGCTTTGGGTCCTGCTGCCTCCTCCGTGCTGGGTGTGGGGGTGGCCTCCCCTTCCCACACCTGCCTTCTGTGTCAAGCCCTCTGTGCCCTGCTCCATGAGGACGTGGTGGCCACTGTATGTGGGGTTCTGGCGCTGTTGACAGGACTCTTCTCAGCATGGTATTGTGCGTTCTCCAGTGCTAATCTTGGCATCTTTACGTTTCCAGGGTGAATATGAGGCAGCGCTGACCATCTACGATGACCATGTAAGTGTCTGGTTATTGCCACAGCTTGCCTTTTGGCTCTGATGACAGATCTCTGAGCTCCTCAGCATTGTCCCTGCCAGGAAAAACAGCAGAGCCAGGACCCAGTTCTTGGATAAGATCTCAGTGTGGTTCTTGCCAAGAGCTGTGTTCCACTGACTCTGTTAACCCCAAAGTGTCAGCAGATGAGTGTCTAAGGTTACTGTCACCAACACAGCCTTTAGATGGCTCTTCTTTGGTGAGATAGCTCATCTATGCACAGGCCTTTGTTTTTACCGTGATAACACGTACACAAGGGAAAACTTGGTGCCCAGGTCGGCAATGCTGAGCCCACCCACCTTGCTGTGCCTCTGTCCCCACACCTGACCCCAGAACTCTGCCATCCTCCCAAATTGACCCTCTGTACCCCTTCCCTACCCCCCAGCCCCTGGTGTTCTTTGGAAATTAAAAAAAATTCCCCAGTGAGAGCTTAGTACCAAAAGCCTGGGACCCAGACCACCAGAGGAAACCCACAGTAATCCTGACATGGGCAGGACTTTGCAGGAAGCAGGGACAGTGGCCTGAGGCTTAGGGCTAGGGATGCCATGTGCTGGGTGCCCAGGCCCAGCATGCCCCCCTCCAGGCACACAGCAAAGCGGGTTCCAGCTTCAGGTCTGGCACTTGCAGCTGTCAGGGCCTTTAGCAAGGGTGACAATCTGATGGTTGGGGTGGCAGTATGATGGCGGTGGCCCCTTCCCTGAAGGCTTGCTCTGTGCTATTGGATTTGTAGCCCAGACAGTTGGCCCTGTAGGCTCTTCATCGCCTACGCATGGACCTTGTCTTGCAGATCCTGCCCAGCCTGCAGAGAAGCGGTACCATGCTGGACGTGGTGGACAGCTGCTCCATGCTCTTCCGTCTCCAGATGGAAGGTAGCACATCTCTCCCCCATGGCCTCCACGCTTGTCCCCATGAGATCCGGGATCTGTAGGGTGAGGCTGGGCTGGGCAGACTCTGGCTGTTTCTCCTGTCTCAGATGCACAGCTGTCCTCTAGTTGGCCTGAGCTGACTGCCCTGGCTACCTCCACCCTTTCTTCTGGTTCCTATCTCCCCTTCCCATGTTGGCCTCAGCCTTTGGACTTGGGGTCCCTTTCTGTTCCCACACCCTGCCCACCAGCCTCCACGGCCCAGGTGGCACCTGTCCGTCTGTGACGATGGCTCCTTTCCTGGGACATGAGAGGCAAGAGCTTCCCAAGTCCCTGGGGATGCAGCTTCTCAGTCCTATCACCTCATGCTCTGTAGGTGACTCGGACCAGGCTGGCTATGGCTCCGGGGCCCTTGATGGCTTCCCGCCAGCCACTGGAGTGCCAGATGGGTCTGCCTTCTTCCTGGGCTGGGCTACATGAGTGTGGGCACTGCTTCAGATGAGGTGTTCCAGGAGACTTTGTGGTGGAGGTGAAATGTGAACCAGGGGAAATGCGGAGGTTTGCCAGGCAGAGGAGGAATCAGTTTTGTTTGCAGAGGGTGCAGCCTGTGAAGGGTGAAGGTCGGGTGGTCAGAGGTCAGGGCAAGAGGAGGCGGGCCGGTGGGAGCCAGGTGGGACTGAGTCAGCAGAGACCCAGTGCAGCGTGGGATCCTTGAGGAGGCTGCGGCCACCATTTCCAGCCTCATCCTTGGTTATGGCTATGGGGAGAGAAGCGGGAGATTGAGCCAGCCACAGTTGGTGTAGAACTGCATGGCCCAGGAGAGCTTCAAGCAGGAGCGCACCCCCCCACACCCTGAGGCCCTGCTGACCTGAGCAGAAGGTGCCTGGGCTGCCTGAATGTACAGGGGGGCCCCTGACCCAAGTCCCTGGGAAAGGTGGGGTGCGGAAGGCCTCTCATCTCCTCACTGTGCAAAAGCAGAGACTCAAGAGCTGTTGTCCAGTTAGAGTGGGAGAGAAATCAAAGGCAATGGTAACGGCCATGGAGGAGAAAGCAAAATTTGGTACTTGAGGTGGGGAGGGGCCTGGTGGGAGGTGGCACCAGGGAGTGGTGCAGAGACCGGGGCTTGGGGAGTTGGGAGATCCAGAGACACAGGGAGAGAGTGTTATTTATTACTGCAGCATATTTTCATTACGGTCCTGTTACGTATCAGGTGCTGTTCTTGCATTAACCACTTACTGGAAGAGTTTAAAAGTGTGTTTGAGGGGCTGGGGATTTAGCTCAGTGGTTTCACCGTCTGCTGCGCAGCACAAGGACCCAAGTTCGATCCCCGGTACCAAAAAAAAAAAAAAAGTGTGTTTGGGCTGGACAAGGTAGTGCACACCTGTAATCCCAGCACTCTGGGAGGCTGAAGCAGGAAGGTTGACAATTTGGGAACACACAGGTGAAGGAGCCAAGTACAGAATGTGCTCTCAGTTGCTCACGAGTCCTGGTGTCCTGCCTGTGTCCCCAGGGGTGTCTGTGGGCCAGCGGTGGCAGGACGTCCTGCCTGTGACTCGGCCTCATAGCCGGGACCACATCCTGCTGTTCAATGATGCCCACTTCCTGATGGCCTCCCTGGGCTCCCAGGACCACCAGACCACGCAGGACCTGCTGACCAGCCTGCAGAAAGCCAGCGAGTACGCAGGGACCTGGGGCTGCCCAGGGTGGGGCCAACCCTGTGCCACCAAGGGGGCAAGCGTGGGCATAGTGCTGCGGTGCACGAGGAGGAAGGCCTGTATCTCCTGGGGGTCCCCCCCACAGCTTCGTCTCTGTCCCCAGGGTGGGCATGAAAGCCCAGTGTCAGGGCAGATCCCACGGGGACACAATAGGTCCTAGAACCAGAGGCACCTGCTGTATACAGATCCTGAGACCCTGGGCACGGCCGCTTCTCTGCCCTGAGCCTCAGTTTCCTTCTCTGTAAATTGATATGGTGCCTCCCGGGGCCAATAAGGGTGGCCTAGGAGGCTTAGACTGCTGCTGCCATATCTTCCGGGTGGTAGCCCTAACTTTCATGGGCAGCCTTTGCTAGCATTTTCTGCCATCCTGACCTCTCTGTGAAGTTGGCACTGTTGTGCCCACTTTCCAGATGGGCAGATGGAGGTGAGGAGTTTGGGTCCTGTCCGGGGCCAAGTCACTGGTCCCAGGCCACATCCAATCCAGACCTGACTGGAGAGCCCTGTGCCCTCCTGTGCTGGGCCTCACCCTATCAGAGTATCCACCTTGTGGCTGTGAACCAGCCTGACCTCAGGACCCCTGCATAGGCGGGATGGTGCCCTGTGGAGGTGGCGCTGAGGCTCTGTCTTGGTGGCAGGTCCCCAGGGGAGAACTGCCAGCACCTTCTGGCCCAAGACGTGGGGCTGCCCCTGTGCCTGGCCCTGGTAGAGTTCAAGGATGGGAACCCCGACCGCGCCCTGGAGCTGCTCCTGCCCATCCGCTACCGCATTATCCAGATCGGGGGCAGTGATGCCCAGGTGAGCAGCCAGCCGCCTCCTGTGCCAGGGAGCCCTCACCTTTCCCAGGTGTTGGTGCCCAAGAGATGGGAGTGATGTCCTTGTCTGTCATGCTGCCTCCTGGAAAGCACATCATCCAGCATGGTACCACAGGCTGCCCCATGTTGCAGTGTGAGGGCCACAGCTGGACTCACCCCATCCGTACTGTGGCACCTGACTCGCCCCATGACATTGCAGAGAGATGTCTTCAACCAGCTGCTGATCCACGCAGCCTTGAACTGCACCTCTGGGGCCCACAGGAACGTGGCCCGGTGAGTGACTGCTTTTAGCACCCAGCACATGAGGAGCTCCCCACACCAGACACTCCCAGGCGCCTCCTTGTGGGTGGGCTGCTCCCGCCTCCCTCCACCTGGCTGCTCCCACCCTTGAGGTTGTGCAGAGCGAGACTGCCAGGAAACTTGGTTCTCCTTTGTTCAGGCGCTAAGCCTGCCTGAAGGAATGAACCAGCCCTGCTCCGGGCCCAACCTCCACCTCCCTAGCCCACTCCCCATCTTAGCCACACTGAGCTACACAAAGAGCCCCTGGGCCTTTGCACTGGCTGAGCCCTCTGCACAGGACACCTGGGTCCCTTTCCACCTGGTGGATACCCATGGCTCCTGTAGGCCTCGGCTCATGTTTTCCTGCCTGCGCTGGGCAGGGATTAACAGGGGCACAGGCCCTAGCTACGGGGAGCCTGTGTAGAGTTGGGGACCAGACAAGGAATGGCTTGTAACAGATGTCTGTGAAACCATGTACATTGTGGCCCCTCTGTGGTGTGGGGGAGACGTTGAGAGGGGGAGGTGTCAAGTGCCCCTCGAAAGCCACAGTGGAGGGGACCTGCACGCCCAGGGGATGTGGGCCACGCAGCCTGGGCCCTCCCAGGGGCAGGGCGAGGTGGTGCAGGGGACAGTGGGCTGCACGGGTGCCCAGGCAGATGGTGACACTGCAGTGCCCTCTGCCACCATGCCCCCTAAAGGCAAGACACCGTGGCTGTGATTTGAGTGCATCCCCCAAGGCTCACATGCTAGGGCTTGGGAACCAGATAAAGACCACAAGGTCCCACCTCATGACCCTTTCCCTTCAACCAGACCCCACCCTTCACGTCTCCATTAGGTCCCCATAATGCTATCGAATTACAGTGGCATCAGTGCTTTCATCTGGGCATGAAGTCAGAGCCCCGTGACCCACTCACCTTCACAAAGCCTGTCCCCTGGCCATGTGAGCTTCTGGGGGCACGAGAGATCTAAACCGGAGCGGAGCATACACTCCATCTCTGCCCATGGGATCCCCATCTAGCCCCCAGTGCCCAATACCACTCACTGCACAGGACCCGTTGTCACTATTTGGGGTCTTATGGGTGCCATAAAGAAGACCACAGCCCAGGTGGCTTACACCAGAGACATGTGTTGTGGCACAGTGGTGGAGGCTGGAAGGACCAGGATAGAGGCCCCTCGGGGTTGGGTTCTGGTGAGGCCTCAGCCTGGCCAGCAGACAGTGACCTCCTGTGTGTCCCGCTTCTGTGGGCGCTCACAGTGACTCTCATGCTGCTGCTTGTAAAGGCCATTGTGAGGGTTCATGCAATCAACTCCCAGTGCCCACCTCCTGATACCATCACACGAGGATGTGAATCTGGGAGACACCGGCACTTAGCCCACAGCTGGGGCTTTGTCTCAAACACCTACCTACACGTGCTCTCTTTAACCTTGGATCCCCCACACCTTGGTTCTGCCACTTGCTTCCTGGCCTCTGCCATGTCTGGTCCTCTTGTCCCAGCTTCAGGCTTGGCTGCAGGATGAGTGCTAAGGTCTTGAGCCAAGGCTTTTCCTGAGGCTTTTCCAGTGGCATCCCCCACCCAGGAGTCCTCCCTGACCACCACAGGATTGCGGGTGTTTATTCTAAGGCCCATGCAAAGTGCCCACTGGGGATGTCCCTGCTCCCCCCATGATGCTAGCCCGTGGCTCTCCATTCCCCAGCTGAGCCCAGGACTCCTGTCGTCCTGTCCCCTCAGCTCCAGTGGCTGCCACGTCCTGCCGTGGGCCAGAGGACCACAGGCCCCATACCCTTCTCAAAAGTCCCACAGCATGGGCTGGGGATTTAGTTCAGTGGTTCTGGTGCCTGCCTCGAAAGTGCAAGGTCCCAAGTTCAATCCCTGGTACCAAAAAAAAAAAAAAAAAAGTCCCACAGCAGCCTCTTATTTTTCCACAGGAACCTTCTGATAGAGCGCAGCGCCTTAAAACCCAACTCGCCCCTGACGGAGCGGCTCATCCGCAAGGCAGCTGCCATCCACCTCATGTAGTGACCAGCGGGCCTGGGGCTGCATGAACCCGGGCAGCCTCCCCTGCATTAAATCGGCCACCCTTCTGGGTTAGGGTCAGGAGATAGCTGAGCCTGCTTGTCTGGCCTGGTGGAGGGTAAGATTGAGCCCAGAGCACAAAGTGTTCTGAACTCAACAGTTTTATAGAAAGAGGGAATGGAAATTAATTTTCAATGTGACTTAGAATTCTCTTTCACTCTGTGCTAAGGGCCAATGTGCATTTTTTGGTGTGTGGTTCTAGGGATCAGTCTTGGACCTGCTACACAAGTGCTTGATCGCTCACCTACATCCCCCAGCACTTTTTATTTTGAGATAGGGTCTCAATAAATTGCCCAAGCTAGCCTCAATCTTGCAATCTCCCTGCCTCACCCTCCCAGGTAGCTGGAGTTAAGGGCATGTGCCACCACCCCTGGTGCCAATGTGCTTTTTTCTCTTGTAGTGGGGATTGAACCCAGGCCCTCCCCCCCCACCCCCCCTTTTCTGAAATAGTGTCCCACTGAGTTGCTCAGGCTAGGCTCAAATTTGCTATCCTCCTGCCTCAGTATACTGAATGGCTGGGATTACAGACATGCAGCACTGTGCCTGGAGTTGGTCAGAATCAACATGGAAGCTATTTCCACTTGCTTTTAAACTGTATGTTCCCATGGGTGCAATTATGCTTGTTCCTAGTTGTTCAGGGGTTGGAAGGCAGGACCCACTAGGCCAGCTCACCCTGCACTGGGATGCCCTCGGGATAAACCCCTTCATTTAGTCTTCTTGATGCGCTCTACAGCTCCTTTTGGCCCACCTTTTCAGGGCAGGTTAGTGGGGCCATCTGTCCCCCTGGGAAAGGGGTCTCCACCTTGATGCCTTTAGCTTCAGCCCCAGTTGTGGCCCCAGTACCCTCTTTACCCATGAGCCAGCCAGGAGCACCTCCTGCTGCCACTCTTAAGGGGCCCCATCCAGCCTTGAGGGCTCTGGTGGTGCCGATTTGGGCTTATTTCTCTTTCTGACCTGCACGTGGTAGTGGACTTTGGGTGCCCTGCTTCTTGGTAAACTTTGATTCTAAACATGTGCTCTTGTAGGGTGTAGGGACTGCGCTCAGGGTTGCTCTGTTGTAAAAACCAAAGATCTGGTACATGACTCTAACAAGATTTGAGCCAGACTTTAGGCCGCTTCTGTCTCTTGCTTCTCTGTTGTAGCCTGTCAGCTTTCCTGTGAGAGGATATCTGGGTCATATATGGTTTACAAGTTCTTTCAGCTCTTCTGAAGTGAGGCAGGGGCTCCTGGGAGGGGGAGAAAGCCACCAAAGCTATTAGGTCCCTGTGGACTTGACCTGTGCTCAAACCTGGGCAGGTTCCTGGGATTTCAATACATCAATTGGTTCCTGACTTTTGTGGGGACCTGTGAGCATCTTTTGTGTTCCAGGCCTGTGGCTGGGTCCAGGAAGACAGGCTTCTCTTTGAATTTGAGGTGAGAAAACCAGCCAAGAAAATGAGAAATTACAGTTGGATTTCAAGAGGTGTCATCTCTACTAGGAGCTAGGGACACATCCTAAGGGGAAGCCTGGCTAGGATCTTTTTAACTGTTTCCAAGCTAGAAATGATGTGGTCAAGGAACAGGGAACCCTGGTCCCTCCATGAAGTCTTCCACCCTGCCACGCCATCCCCTACAGGCTGATGGGGGCGCCTTCACTGTACCCCACAGCCTTTGGCACCAAATCTTTGTTATTTCACCTTTCTCCCCTGCCGTGATCCCCTAAGGTCAGGGATGATGTCTGTGTCCTCAGCGTTCCTAGCGCACGGCTTGTAACTGAGCTGTCAGAGAGTTGGTGAATGTATGCTACGAGGGAAAGAAATGAACAAAAGAGGGACAGGCCAGTGATAAGAAAAAGAGCTCAGTAGAAGAGAAGAATGAAGATACAGGTTTGAGTAGCAGCAAGGTTATTAATCATTGGTGCTGTCTACTGAACACCTACTATGTGCTGACACAATAAAAGGAGAGATGCCTTAGGAGTGGATGGTGGGGTCTCCCTACCCTACCTGGGTTGCAAGGATCCAACCCCTGGAAGGTAGGGCAGGAATGGAACCAAGAGACAGTCTTGGGCCACCCTCCCTCCTACCACAATGCACCTCCCTCTGGCCAGTGACCCAGGCAAGCCTGCTCCTAGCAGCCCCACGTTTAGTGCAAGTGACACTGAACTGATCAAGGTCCCTGCCAGGTGTCTGGGAGCTTGGGCCAAACAAAGCCAGGCTGCCTGGAAGTGAGGAAACCCAGAAGTGAACAGGAGACAGCCCAACCTGATGACCTCTTTTAAGCCCCTCTTTCTATCTAAGCCATCCCTGGACTTCCCCATTCCCTGAGCGGATAAAGCCTCTGCTTTCTGAGGCCGACTTGAAGGTGGCTTTCTGTTACCCGGAACTCAAAGACTTAGCTGGGATATGCTTCTGGGTCGGTCTGTCGCCATCACTCTTCCCTAGTTAAGATCCTGAGCAAGCAACTTAGCAAGATCCTGTCTCAAAAAAATACAAAAGGAGTGGGAATGTAGTTCAGTGCAAAGGCCCCGGGTTCAATCTTCGGTACTACCAAGGAAAAAAAAGAAAATGAAAAGATCCTGATCAAAGGAAGGAATATCCCCGGAATGGAGCTAAGAGGCTCAGGGTGAGAAAGAAAGGTCATAGTGCAGCGGGAGCCCCCAGATGCAAAAGTATCTGGATGCCAGGACAACCAAAGGTGACAGCAGTCGGTAGCAAGTCCTTCCACAAAGCTTGATTCCTCACCGCAGGCAACCCTCACAGGCTCAGCCCTTAGCCCGGAGCCCAGGGGTAGACCCTCAGCCCCGCCCTTCAGAAGCTCTCCAGCTTCTGCGGAGGGAATTATGGGTTCCGCGACTTCCTGGTGATTGCGCACCCGTCGTGCAGAGCCAATCCTCTGCGCATGAGCTCAGGATCTTTTCCGGGTGTCCTGACTACAACCCCCAGGGTGCACTGCGCCCGGCGAGCCCAGTTCAAACCCACCAATCGGCGGTCCGCGCGGCCGCCGGGCGCCCTGTTTAAACCCCGGGGGAGGTTTATCCCCCATCTCCGGCCCACGGGGTGAGGGGTGAGATCTTGGACCTGGCTCAGCCCGGCCTGGTGGGCACAGGGTGGACCCCGTAGGCACAGGGCAGCGCTTACTGTTCTCGGGCGGGGAGAGCGCGCGTCCCCGAAGCCAGACCTGGGCTGGAGCCGGGACCGCGCGCCTGGGGCGGGGAGCAGGAGGACAGGGTTGCCCGGGGCGAGCCGGGCATTCGTTATTTCTCCTGGTGGACTCGGATCGGCCGCCGCCGCCCCCCGCCCGGTGACGCGCGATCCCTGGGAGACCCCCGGGCACGCCATTCTTATGGTGGCTTCCACACCACGCTTTCATTGTCCTAAGCTGCCTGAGGCCTTCAGCCCTCTCTGTCCAGGTGTGCTGCCCAGGCTTGCGCTGCCGTGGGCCTGTGCTCAGCCACCTACTCACCTGCTCCCTTCCTCCTGCAGCGGGCTTCTGACAGCTCCCTCCACCGAAAGAGGGGCCGGCAGCTACGTGGTTTCAGCCAAGCGGCAGGGTAGGCGGAGATGGATGTTGCCAAGAAGGAAGGTAAATCCTTGTTATTGCAGCGCTGTGCTTCAGGGACCTCAGTAAAGATAGACGTTGATTTAATGTTTCTGTGGTATTTTATTCACTCATTTTGTGCTCTGCACCTGTCAAGCACCTGGTACCTGTTTTTTGTCTTGTTTTGTTTTGTTTTTTTGAGAGAACACACACAGAGACGCACACCCCTAAAGTTCCACCACCGCAGGTTATCTTTTTTTTAACGCAGTATCTCCAGTCTTGACATTTGGTGAGCACTGAAATGTTAGTTTAATTGAATTTGTTGTTTTCTTGTTTGTCACTGGCTTCTGTTGCTAAGACTTGCTTAGGATCTTGAGGACCGTGTTAGTGAGTGAGCCTGGCCCATAACTTTCCTTTCTTTTTCTGTCCTTGTCTGGACATGAAGATGAGGGTACATGTTCACAAAATTAGTTACAGTTATCTCTCAGTATCCTTAAGGGATCTGATCCAGGACCCCCTGGATACCAAAATCCACAAATATTCAAGTCTCTTATACACAGTGACATAGTGTTTGCATATATCCATGCACACCCCATATGGTGCATTTTTATTTATTTATTTATTTATTTTGGATTTTTGAGACAGGGTCTCCCCATGGATTTCAGACTAGCCTTGAATTCACTGTGTAGCCTAGGCTGACCTTGAACTTGTGGGAGTCCTCCTGCATCCGCCTCCGGAGTGCTAGGATTACTGGGGTGTTCCACAGCAGCCTGGCACCATACAATACATTTTCAATCATTTTTAGATTACTTATGATACCAGTGGAATGCAAATGCTCTCTAAGTAGTTGTTACACTGTATTGTTTAGTCAATGATGACAAGAATAGCCTGTATGTTTTCAGTTACCTATGCAGTTTTTTCCCAAGTATTTTCAATCCACTGTTGGTTGAATCCAAGGATGCAGAATCCAAGGATACGAAGGACCAACTGTTAAGGCCATACCCTCTTTTTCTCTTAAAGCATTTTTGACATCTTTTTCTCCTTTGGTCCTCAAAACACCCATTTTGGGCAGTGGACTGGGTTCCCAAGTGTCCTTAACTTCTCCATTTTGCAGAAATGGTCCTGGAAACTTTCCATCAAAGTAAATGGCCTCTCAATTCACCCAGCCATCCAAGCTGAGAACGCCCCCATTTGCATCCCATCACTAATTACTGTCATTTCCATCTTCTGAATGTAATGTGGATTCACCCACCATCTTTCAAGTCCATCCAGATGCCTGGGTCTCAACCACCGTTACTCACTTGTACCTATTTGTATGGTTTTCACTTTGGGTAGTATGTGTGTTTGTTATTTCAATAGGTATCAGTGCTTCCTTGCTGATGTACTTTGTTATTTTCTCAGAGGTGGTCCCACCTTCACATTAGCCTTTTGCTTGCCTGGTGCCCCCAGAGGGCAGACAGCACATACATTAAGTCTTCGTGGCACCTGGTAGGGGCTGTGTCCCGTTGTAGATGCTCATAAGTTTGCAGAATAATGGAGTCAGCCAGCGCAAGGCCACCTGGAGCCAGACTCAGCACCTGGAGCAGAATACTGCTTCCCTGACTCCTGCTTCATGGTTCTTTCATTCTATACCAGGCATTTGGAAGTTTCTGGAAGTGATCTATAAAATTCACTTCTGAGGTTCAGATTCTAAAAAGTGAAATGTCTTATCTCATATTTGTTCCTCAGTCACTCTTTCGTCCCCTCCAAAGGCCAATGTAGCATCTGTGTCTGGAAGTATCCTTCCAGACATAGTTTGTGTAAATGCCAGTAGTTTGTACAGTGTTGACTGTGTCCTCTTTCTTGGCGTTTGGAACCCTGTCCTGCTTCTGGTTTTTACTTTTCATTTTATTTTTTGGAGACAGTCTCGCTATGTAGCCCAGGCTGGCCTCAAACTCATGGTGATCCTCCTGCCTTAGCTTCCTAAGTTAAGTGATTACAGGCATGCACCACCATGGCCAGCTGCTTCTGGTTTTTTTACATTTAGTTTATCCTGATTGTTGTGTGTCACATGAAAAGAGTGTTGTTAATACAGCACTATCAAATACAGTGTATTTGATTTTTGCCAATCTGATAGATGAAAAGTGGAATCTCAGGACAAGTTTGTTTTTTGTTACCCTTATCTTTGAGCGAGACTAAACTTCTTGATGTATTTTTAAGAACATTTTATTTTATGTGAATTTTATTTGTTCATATCTTTGTTTTTCCATTAGATCATCAGTTTTCTTGCAACTTGTAGGCATTCAATATAAATTAGCCTTTTATGTGATCAGTTGCAAATGCTATTTTTCCCTGCTTTTTGTTTTAACTTTGCTTGTGATTTTTGCCATGTTGAGATTTTACAAACTTTTATCTATTTGAAGATCAATATTTGACTTTAGGACTTCCAGTGTGGCATCATAGCTAGGCTTCTGCACTTATTGCTGTAGGGTTTCGTGGTCTTGTGTCTATAATCATAGCATCCATGCACCGTGATATTTTACCTCTGCTGTCTTTCCTGTGTCTAATTGTGTGAGTTAAGGTGTCCAGAGCAGTGATCAGGATCATGGCGCGTGCAGACCTTGCCATGTGCCTGACTTTAGTGGAATTGTTTTTGCAGCTTTCCATTAAGTGCTGTGCAGGCTTGTGGGCTAATTTACTTGTAGGCAGTGGTCACTGGTACAGTTCATTTGTATTTCTATGATTTTCTTCCTTCCAGGCACATGACAGAATAATATCCTCTGCTCACTTGAAGTTAGATTTGGCTTGGGTGACTCAGTTGGCCAGTAAAGTGGGAATGTTGTGCTGTGTTCCTTCTGGCTAGATGTCTCCAAGGCTCTGATTGGAATTTGCCCATTGCCAGAGGTGGTCCTGAGGGTAGGGCTCTGCCACCCTGGGTTCTGGAGGAGGAGGCATGAGAAATATACAGTTACTGTTTTAACCACTGGGGCTCTGGGGTTGTTTGTCACATCAGCGTGCATTACCCTGTCCCAGCTGACATTTTCTCCTGTCTTTAGAAGGAATGTTTTTGATGTTATCCCGCTTAACCTAATTCTGGCTTTTGAGCTGAGATGGGTATTTCCTTACAGGACAAAATATACTCATTACTTTTTTATTAAGAACCTTTAAAATCAAGAATATATGTTATATTTTACCACGTGTTTCCTCAACAGATGAATCTCCCGATTTTCTCTTTGGGTCTAGCGTTACAGTGGTTATGCTGCTAGATCATGTTAAGTCAAACCTAGTCCTGAAATGGAGCAACGCTGATCATGACACTATTAGTCTTTCAGTGTGCTGCTGGATTCTCTCAGCTCATATTTTCCCCTCGACGTAAATGAGACTGGCCTGTAGCTTTGCTCCCCTGGCTCCTCGGTACTGGGTACTGAACCCGGGGCCTTTGCACTGAGCTGCATTCCCAGCTCTTTCTTTTTGAGACAGGGCCTTGCTAAGGTGCCCGGGCTGGGCTCCAACTTTGATCCTCCTGCCTCAGCCTTCCCCAGTGCTGGGATTGCAGGTGTGTGCCACCACATCCAACTTTGTAGCTTTCTTTATTGAGCAAAACGTAAAGGTTTTTGGTATCACTGTGTTTGTTTCATAGAAATGAATTGGAAAGTGTATTTTTTCCTGTTTTCTGGAGCAATATTAATGATATGTAATTACATGTGCTTTAAAGATTTCATAGAATTATGTGTCCTATGAAATCAGGTGAGACTTTTTTAGGAGAATAGCTCTTTAATATATTTCTTCAGTTACTTTATGATAATTGAGCTGTTAGAATTTATTTTGTCTTCTGGACTCAGCTTGATAAATAAATAAATTTAAATAATTTAATTCCAAAAGTTAAATATTTTTCTAGAAAATGACCCATTTCAGCTGGATCTTTAGGTTTTTGTGTGTGGAGCTGAGCAAACATGTTTATGAACTCTTTAATTTCCATTCTGCTGGTCCGCCCCCCACCCTTTTTAAAAAATACGTTGGTACATTCTCACCGGCTCCCCCCACCCTTTTTTGTTTCCATGTTGGAGACAGAACCCAGAGGCTCATATACGCTAAGCATGCACTCCACCACTAAGCCACTTTCCCAGCCTTTCTATGTTGTTCTTTGATTAAGTCAAACTATATAGCTGATCAGGACCTAATTAAGATATATTTTTAAATTCTATGATATGTTCAATACTGGAGATTAAATTTAAGACCTTGCCACTAAGCTATGAATATAAATTTTATATATATATATATTTATATATATATATATTTTTTTTTTGTTTTGGTACCGTGGATCGAACTTGGGACCTTGTGCTTGTGAGGCAGGCAGCGGAACCACTGAGTTTAATCCTCATCCCATATGTATCTTTTTTTTGAGACAGGGTCTTGCTGTGTAGTTCAAGCTGGCCTTGAACTCATGATAATCCTCCTGCCTCAGCCTCTTGAGTGCTGGGATGAAAGGTGTGTACCATCAACTTGGCCTTTATTTATTTATTTATTTGTTTGTTTGTTTTTTGGTACCAGGGATGGACCTCTGGTCCTTGCGGGAGGCAGGTGGTGGAACCACTGAGCTAAATCCCCGGCCCTGGCCTTTATTTTTTATATTGACACAGGGTCTTACTAAGTCATTGAGTTGTCTGGACTGGGCTTGAATTGGGATCCTCCTGCCTCCAAGTGTGCTGGGTTTTCAGGCATGTGCCGCCACACCCAGCAAAATTCTATGATTTTCATAAGCATGCTGCACTGCTGATTAAGACCAAATGAGATATGATTTGTGAGAGGGCTGTGTAGACTTTACAGTATTGAAATACCTGTTCACTGCATTTCATCGCTCTTTGCTATGTGTCCAGGCCTTAGCTGAACACTGGAAAACTTGAGGTGCCTTAGATGTTTGTTATCTCGGAGGCACTTATAGAGTGTCCAGGATGGTGGTAGGGGCAGACAGAGGGGGCAGTTGTCCCAGGTGACGTCCACCAATCTGGAGCCCGGGTTCTCTTAGGGGAGCTGGACAGACAGACAGACAGACAGGTGATGAAGGCTACAGTGGGAATGGGAGTCCCTACCCTGCACTTGAGTAATGCTTGAATTTGTTGTTGAAAAATGAACAGGTGTTTTGTAGCTGAAAGAGGGCAAGTGAATTCCAGGGGTCGCTGAGGGAGGTGGTTTATTGAAAATGTTTACCTGAAAATGACTCAGCTCTTCCTGAAAAGCCAGTTGAATGATTCAGCGAATGCCTTTTAGAACAGGTTACAAAACCAAGGCATTGTGGTTTTGGGGTGGCTTGGCAAATTCAGAACAGCTGATGCAGTTTTTAAAAGAAAGTGGAAAAATTAAGATAATCTGGAGCTCCCTATGAAAATATAACAATTAAAAATAATAAGAGTTTATACTTTGGGGGGTGGAATTTTATAACAGCTCTGATAGCTATAGAGACTGGTAATATTTTCTTCCTTTTTCCTCAACTCTAAAATAACCAGTGGGCTTTTTTCCCCCAGATGTTCTTCTTTTGGCTGATGAAAAATTTGACTTCGATCTCTCATTGTCTTCTTCAAGGTAAACAAATGAGTTTTATTCCCTTGCCTTCGGCACAACATGTTCACTAAAGTCTTTTGTTGAGTGCCTGCATTATTAATCATTAATAATCTTTTTCTTTGAAAATAGTGCAAATGAAGATGATGAAGTCTTTTTTGGACCTGTTGGGCATAGAGAAAGATGTATTGCTGCCAGCCTAGAGTTAAATAACCAGGTTCCCTCACAGCCTGCCTCGGCCGGGCCAGCCAGTGCCTGCGCCTGGAGCCCGCTCACCGGAGAGAAGTTCGTGGAAGTGTACAAGGAGGCGCACCTGCTGGCCCTGCAGATAGAGAGCCAGAGCAGGGCCCAGGCGGCCCCAGCTGCCCAGCCCGAGAAGCCCTGGAGCCAGGGCATGGAAAGATTTGTCCAGGAATCAAAGCTAAAAATGAGCCTCTTTGAGAAAGAAGAGGAAACTGAGAAAAGCCCCAAGTCACTTAAAAGAGAAACCTACTACCTGTCAGAAAGCCCCTTGGTGGGGACACCACTCTTGCTCTCAGGAGGCCAGCCTCCCTCAGCCGAGCCCCTGCTCCCAGCCCCGGCCCTGAGCCTGGCCCCGAGCCTGGCCCCGGGCCCGGCCAGCCCTGCCCCTGCAGGGCAACACTCGTCTCATCTTTGGCCCGGGGACTCACGGGCTGTCCACCCTCCAGGTCAGGCCATGCCTCAGAAGAGGGCACCCAGCAAGCTGCCAGCACCTCGAGCTTTGGCTGCACGAGGACGGCTCCTTCACCTGGCCTCGGAGAAGGTAGAACACTTCCTGGGGACCCAGACCCTGGCCCAGACCCTGCTTCCCACCTCCTGGTTCTTGCCCCACTTCAGGGATCGTGGGGCAGAAACCTGGAGGTGTGGTGGGAGTCATGAAGCGAGTGTCATGACTGCCAGTGCGGGCTGGGCTTCACCCCCAGGCAATGGCCTCTGAATACCTGGCACCTTCTACCATGAGAAGGTCCTTCCTGGGGTCGGCCACGCCTCATCTGCCAGAAGTTAAGTGAGGACAAGCTGTGCTGGGAAGGGGCAGCTCACGGTTGTCCCATTGGGGTGCAGTCAGTTGCCTGTGGGATACGGATGGTCCCCGAGCTTGGTGGCAGGAGGAGGGCGTGTGTCAGACCATGATCATGACTTGCTTCCAGGTTTGCCCCAGTGGTTCTTGCCGAGGGGAGGGGAGGCTGCCCCTGTGGCTGACGAGGGACCGGGGAGGATACACTGGGGCCCAGCTCTGCCTTTGTCAGGCAGCGGTTCGAGGAATGTCTATGGGGTGTCCGGATGCCCAGCAAAGGCCCAGGAACACCTTCCCCCAGCTCCATACCCATCTCCCAACCCTTAGCTGTGCTCAGAGACCAGAGTCCTCACAGGTGGGATTTGGGCTGTGTCCACTCAGGGACGCAGGGTGGCGTGTCTGGGTGCCTCACACATGGGTGTGGCCAGATTGTGTGTAGCACATGTGGATGGGGCAGGTGGGCACTGACTGATGAGTGACGAGCAGCATGTGTCATATCTGGACTACAGAGCACTGCAGTAGCAATGCATGCTCTTACGTGGATGGCCTGAGAAAGCATGCTCGGGGAGAGAAGCCAGGCACAGAAGGTCATGCATTACATGAGTCTCCCATTCAAGTATTAAGCAGGCCCGACCCTGCTTAGCTTATGAGATTAGACTAGATTGTGTGCGTTTAGGGTGGTATGGCCATAGACAGGTTTAATATGAGTAGTAGGCGATTCCATTCCATGACATGGCCATGTTGGGCAAACTGGAGGGACAGCAAACAGTTGAATGGCTGCCAGGGGGGGGAACAGGAGTGACTGCCCATAGGTACAGTGTTCTTTTAGCATGTGATGATGGTTGTGCAGATAGCAAAGACACTAAAATCCACTGAGTGTATACTTTTAGCATAGTAGATTTAATATCATGTGAAGTATATCTCATTTTTTTGTTGTTGTTTCTTGGTACTGGGGATTAAACCCAGGACCTTTGCACTGATCTACATCTCCAGCCCTTTTTGATTTTTCAAGACAGGGTTTTGCTGAATTTCCCAGGCTGCACTTGAACTTGGCAATCCTCTTGCCTTGGGCTCCAAAATGCCCATGCCGCCAAGCCAGGCTTATCTCAACTTTTAAATTGCCATAAAGGAAAAGAGCTACTGCCACCCTCTCATAACTCAAGAGCTTCTACTGCTTTTGCCTCTGTGTGAGCATGGAGCAGTTCCAGAATGCCCTTGTCCCTAAATATATCAGGAATTTATTCTTTGTTTGATTTTCAGGGCCAGTGAAAGTGACCTCCAGCAGGACACCAAGATTTATTGCAGTTGGGCAGCTCCTCTGGTGGAGGGTGATTCAAATTGAATCAACCTTCTGTGTAGCGTTGTAGAGTGTGTAGCTAGAACCAGATGCCTCAGGGCTGTCCTTAAGCAAGAGTAACTTTCCAGGCCCCTGTCTTGCAAACCGTCCTTCCTGTTATTATATTACACTGTATAATGAGAGCCAGGGCTGTCCCCGTGTGCATGCCTGGTCATCTGTTGGGGGTGAATGGTCTTGCTCCCCTCACCTTAACTGAAGAGATGAGAGCCAGGTAGTGTTTGGGAGAAAGAATGGAGTCTGGGGTGGCTCTGAATGGAAGCTTTAGGATCCGTGGGCCTTGCTATAGTCTAGACCATCCTCACATTTTACATTAAATTTTCAGCTCAAGAAAGAGGTACCAGGGAGTCCTTCCCGGGGGAAACTCCTGAATGAAAAGCAACTCCATGGGGCTGGGCTCCCGGACAAACCCCGAGCGGTGCTGGATGCTCCTGGCCTGCTGGGTACCGGAGGCCACAGGGGCCAAGGCAAGCGATTGCTCCCGGTCCCCAGCAAGGTGAGTCCATCAGGGGTGAGGGAGGGGCCGTGACCTGCATGGATGGCCATGAGCTGGCAACTTGTGTCTTGATTAAAGTCAGGGTAGGAAAGTGGGAAACAGAGCCCACCAGAGGCACCTTGGCGAAAAGCCTGCACCAAAGTCAGGCCTGGTCCTGTGCCACAGGCTGGCTCCATCCTGAGGGAGCCGAGGCCACCTATGAAAGTAGTGATGCTCCCTGCTCTCTCATGGGGCCACCAGAACTCCTTGCAGCCATGGCGACTGTTGCCTAATTGCCACTCACTGTCTAGCATTGGTGCTGGCTGAGCTATGCATAAGAGTCACTGTGGGCTTTGTCAAAGTAATCAGAGCTGGGCCGAGGCCAGTGGACTCAGGAGGTCTGAGTTGGGACCTAGAAGTGTCATTTTAGCCAGCTCCCCAGGGTGGCCCTAGAGTAGACATGTGAAGCCATACTTGGAGGACCATCGGCCCCTGCACCTTTGAAGTCAGCTGACCACAGATTGAAGATATTCAGAAAAATAAGGTTGGATCGGTACTGAACATGTACAGTCATTACTGTATAAACAGTGGAGAATGACTATTCACACAACATTTACATTTCATTAGGGATTTTAAGGCATCTAGAGCTGATTTAAAGTAATGGGAAAATGCATGCAGATCACACCATTGTGTGCAGGGGACGTGAACGTTGGGAACCAGGCCTATGCAGACACCTATGGCCCACACTGCATAACTACTTATCTTTAAATTCAGGATGATAATTATATAAAAATTTTTTTGTGACCCTACTTTTACAGAAGTAAATGCAGTATGGGCAGAAAGTGAAATCTTCGCTGATTCTGTTTTTTGACCCTCCGTCTCAGGTGGGGCTGAAGAAGAGCCTATTAAAGCCTCCCGGCTGTGCTAGCAGTATCACGGGGAAGTCTTCCTCTTCCTCAGGGTCCTCCTCGAGCACGACGTCCAGCGTGTGCCCATCCCCAGCAGCAGGCAAAGGTGAGCAGTGGTGTCCATGCTAGATGAGCCAGGCGAGACTGTTCAGGGCTTCTTGGCCCAGCGGGGTGCTGCAGAGGGCTTGCCGTGGGCTGGGGGCTGCTGTGGACACTGGGCCAGGGATGAGACTGTCCTCATCTCCACCCTCTGGTGCTTCTGCCAGGGAGATGGGTGGCTGCGGCTAGAGGCACATGCAATCGTAAAACACATGTGTACCCAGGGCCAAGACACAGAGGAAGCTTACACTAGCCTTGTGTTCATGTCGTCAGACTCAGGTGTCAGGATGTGGCTGTCCACATCACCTGGAACCCGTGGCCCTATGACTCCCAGATGTCATTGAATCCCAACCCGCGTACCTGTTCAAACTCCCAATTCCCTGCTCATCCTGCTGAGCCAAGGCTGCCATCTAGTGGTAAAGGGAGGAATCCCTTCTTGGCAGCAGATAAAAGTAGGATCTGCTCTTAAGAACTGAATTCTGAACCCAAGATAGTAGCACACTGTGATCTCCACACTGAGGGAGCCTGAGGTGGGAGGATTGCAAGTATGAGTCCCGCCTGGGAACTTGGCAAGAGCCCATCTCAAAATAAAAGACGATAGAATGTAGCTGAGTGGTAGAGTGCCCTGGATTTAATCCCCAGCACTGTCAAAACGAAAATTAAATATAAAAAACCTAAATCCTGGGCCGGGGATGTGGCCTAGTAGCAGAGCACTTGCCTAGCATGCAGAGCACTGGATTCAATCCCCGGTGCCACAGAAACAAACACAAGGAACTAGATCCTCTTCAGATTCTGTTTGCTGTGTAGATTGGCCATGGTCCAGTGAGGTTTTGTTCTGATCTGATTTGGAATCCTGACTCTGCCACTCGGTGGTTAGAAGTCTGTGTCCTGACCTTTACACCCAAGGTGACAATGTCTACCTTGTAGGAGTCCTCTGCTATGCCTGGCCCTCCTGTAGCACATGGGCATGTGCAGAAAGGGAAGTGCTTCTGGGGTGTGTCTTGTTCACTGGCTTGAGACATCGTACCCCTTTGGTGACTGTTTCTGTTGAGAGCCGTGGAATGGGACTCTGGTGTGTGGTTTTTTTTCCTTTTTTGGTACCGGGGATCGAGAGGCGGGCACTGGAACCACTGAGCTAAATCCCCGGCTGGTGTGTGTTTATCTCAGTGTCATACACAGCAGAACACTAGGGTCCAGAGGATTGTGGGTGGGAATGAACCCTGCATGGCTGTGTTACGCACTGTATATCAGCTGTGGCATTAGTTCAAGGTTTTCTTTAAGAATCCTTGACCAGATCTGGTGTGGTGGCATACACACACCTATAATCCCAGCACTCAGGAGGCTGAGGCAGAAGAATTGCTATGAGTTCAAGGCCACCCTGGACTACATAGGAAGACCCTGTCTCAAAAGAAAAAGAATCCTTAACTAGATTGTCTTTATTAAGTATATTGGTAGCTGAGTGTTTATCACCCTAGTTTGTTATTCTTTTTTTTCAGTACTAGGAATCGAACTCAGGGCCTTGGGCTTGCCAGGCAGACATGGGGCCGCCGAGCTACTGTTATTCTATTTTAAATTGTATTTCTGATTAATACAACTGTGCCTGCTCCTTGTAACTTAAAGCACTCAACTAGTAATGATTGTGTCTCCTTCCCTGTACCCCTCCCCCTACAAAGGGGGGGTTTCCATGACTATACATCCACTTCCCTCTGCTTGGCTAGGGTAGAGTTCTGCTGCTAACGTGAGGAAGACAGCCCCCCACCCCCCAGTACTGGGGATTGAACCCAGGGCCTTTGCACTGAGCTACATCCTCAGCCCTTTTATTTTTTAAATTCTGAGATAGAAGCTTGCTAAGCTGCAAAGTTGCTCAGGGTTTACCGGCTGTGCCACCACACCTAGCTGAGATAGGAGAATTTGACCTTGTGGATGCTTAAGTACATCTTGATATCTTGGTAATTAGGCTGAGAATTAGAAAACACTCCGGAGAGCTGCAGGCAGCCTGGTCAGCATGCATTTGATGACTTTCTGGGGTCGTGTGTCAGTGCATATAACGATGGTGGTGTGCTCTGTGTGCATGGGCAACAGTGTCTTAGTTTAAAAGCAGTGTGTGCTGGATGACGCCCGCCTTCCTGTATGTCCTCCTGCAGCAAAGTCAAGGGAGCTTGCAAGTGTTCCTGCCAGTGGTACCCAGCCTCCGTCAAGCACCAGCAAGTCAGGCAGGCTTGGACCTGCCACGCCTCACCAGTCTCTGCCAGCAGCCCCTGAGAGGGTGTCCAGCAAGCGGGCTGGAAGGATTGATGGTGCCCTGTCCATGGCACCCCTCACATCTCCCCCAGCCCAGCCCTGGACCCGGGAAAGTGGAGGCCCAAGGCCTGACCCTCGGTCTGTTTTGTCAGCATCTTTTGAACTGAATAAAACTCAAAGCATAGGCCGGAGAGATTCCTGTCTAAATTCCAGGATGAAGGTTGTGCCTACCCCTACACGTCCATTTAAAATTCCCAAGTTTTCGACCGGTAAGTCATCGATGACTTAATGTGTTTTGAGATACGGGAGGAACTCCCTTTGCCCTGGCAGACCTGTGTCCCCCGCCTCCTGCTTGCCTTGTCCTCGGGGTCACAGTTGCCACTGCTCCTTGTGCCACATCTTCATGTTCCCCTGTCTGCTCTGCTGCTGCGGAGTTAACCTCAGCGAAGCATTAGAGTTTCGCCGTCTGTCTCCTCGTGGTGCTGTGTTGAGCCTGTTTCTAACGGCCGTCTTCGTCTTCTTCTTCCAGCGCCACCATCTCTGCACCGTGAGGCCTGTTTGTGCGGACTCAGTTTTTCCCACTGCTGGGTATTGTCAGTTGTGCATTTTGAGGGTCTGGATGCTGTGTTTGCTCTTTAAGGAGCTGAGCTGTGGTCTCGCAGGCAGGCATTGTGCAGAGGAACTAACCCCTTTTGCAGTTCTTGTTGCTCCAAGGGGTGGATCTAAAGGGCCGCTACTTTGGGAGTTAGTGCTCCCTAGCTTGCGCTTTCCTTGCTGTTGAAGTGTGACTGTTCCCAGCCCCCTGGGTGCTCCAGTCCCTAGTCCCCAGCTTGCTCTTGCCACGACCTTCTAGAGTCTTGTCCTGCACCAGGTGCTGCAAAAGAAGAGCCCTTCTCTCTGGAGCTCCTTCTTCTCCCATCCCCTGGCCTTTATGATTCAGCCCCTTGGTCCCCTGAGTCCCCTGGGCTCCAGCCACTGTATCCTGGGGTCAGGGAGCCTGCCCTGTCCTCTGGGGCCCACCCACCTCTAGGGCGTCATGTACCTGGCAGGTGGAAGGCAGTGTTTGCTTATGGTCCATGAATTAATCGCACAGCTGGACCAGATCCTAAATTCTCAAAACCAGTCTTCAACAAACCGGTTCTCTCTGGGATCACTGAGATCATAGCCTGCTCCTTTCAAAAGCCTTGCAAACTGACACTGAGTGACTGGCTGCAAATTCACAGGGACAACAAGCCTGTGCCTGGTGCCCACATGGGTCACACAGGAAACTCCGCAGGCATAGGTGGTGTCACCATGACATTGGAACCACAGACCAGGGTGGGAAACTGATGCCACAGAGGATTCCAGGTCATGATGAGGCTCCTATCCTTCTCATGTTTTTGTTTATGTTTTCTTAATCTTCTCACTTGGCAGGATAACGATGCAATTAAAAACTTTCACTCCATAGCCACTGCAGGTAACTGGACAGGCCCTGACCTTAGTCAGTGACTTTGGCGACATCCCCAACACAATTTTTTGTTCACATCATACTAACGAGGCTCTTTGACAGTACTCTTTATTTACCCTAATCCTGGGATAATCACATAATGATTAAAGAAAAACCCTCCATGCCACTGCTAATGCTACACACTGTGTCTGGAAACTGAAACTCAGCCATGTAGGGAAGGAGAACAGGGAGGTCTGGCCCTGCTCTCCTGGGGCAGTTGGTTCATTCAGTCCATCGCCTCTCATCCTGGGGTCAAAGTTTGTTTGTTTGTTTGTTTTCTGGGATCAAAGTTTAAGGCCACTATGCAGACCACATTTGTTATGCTCTTTTTGTTTTGTTTTGTTTTGTGTTTTCCCTTTTGAACTTTGTACCTATTAAATCTCTGCAGTACAACTCCTAACATAACCTTGATGAGCAGAGCTGCAGTCTGATGACAGGTGTGTTAAGATTTTTCTTTAAGAAGTAATTTTTCTCTCTACGGTAATATGAACTTTTACCAAAGGTAACACAAGAAAAACCAATTTGTTTGAAAACTGAGGTCAGCTTTGGCTGGACTACTTACATGCAAGCAGTAAGAACCGAGATTTGCTGTGGAGTAACCTCGGACTTAGAAACCTCTGGAGGTGCCTGGGATTTAGCTCAGTGGTTCCATCGCCTGCCTTGCAAGCACAAGGTCCAGAGTTTGGTCCCTGGTACAAAAAAAAACAAAACAGAAACCTGTGGTGGCTGGAGAGCAGACGGGATGCCCTGGGTATACACTTCATGTGCCGGGCTCCAGGCCTGCAGGGGCCATGGGTTTTGCATACAAGGCTGGGGACCCTTGGAGCCAGGCACCCTGGAATGCTTTCAGATCGGCCAGCATTTCCCCTTGCAGTCTATTTTAAAGAGAACAGATTCTTACTGAGCTTATGCAAATAACCACACTGCTGTTAAAAATATGAATAAGGTTTTTAATTTGAGAGGAATTAAGCAGGGAGGGAAAAGTAAATTATTCCCACCTGTTTACAAAAGTATATTTTTATCAAATTACTGTAAGCTGTAGATAGCTTCAGAAGCTTTAAATCTAGAAAACAACAACAAAAAAGTAATCTTTCAAGTAAAGGGCAGAAAACCCATGGTTTTCACTCGTTGACTCAGTCTCCTTCCTTAGTTCCTCTTCCAAGTTGCGCTGGCACTTGGCGAGCCTTCGGCCTCTTCACGGAGTTCTGGAAATTCCTGTGTGGTACGCTGGTCTTAGAGTTACTGGTAACTCTGCTCACGAGTCTCTGTACAGCCTTTCCAGTAATTCTAATGGTGAACGCTTTTAGAGGAGAATCAAAACTGGAGGACAAAAGACAGAGTTTAATGAGAGTCTAGCAGTTGAGGAGGAAATTCAGTGGTTTTTACGGCACAAAGCATTTAAGATGACAATTATGAGCCACAGTGTCACACCAGGGCCATCAGGCTCGGATAAAGTCCATATAATGCTTAGAACATCACACCAACAATATGTGCAGATGCTAAAACTTAAAGAAGGTTGGGCTGGAGATTTAGCTCAGTGGTGCTGCCACCTGCCTCATAAGCGAAAGGTCCCGAGTTCGGTTCCCGGTACCAAAATAAACAAACAACAACAAAAAACTTAAAGAAGGCTGAGCATCACTGTGGAATTTATTAAGAAACCCAGCATAGCTGGGCATGGTGGCGCATGCCTGTAATTTCAGCATTCAGTTTTAATAATTATACCTTGAGTTCTTGGAAACTGGGATGTTAGACACACAGTTGTTATTTTATTTCTTTGCCAAAGACCCCAGAGTTCAGTCTCCAAGGTGATGCTCAGGAAGCTGTGGGCACCATGTTGCTCTGGTCTCAGGTCAGACCCAGGCTATTAGGACCCCATGTCCACAGGGATCAGCGTAGCCCACCCAGCAGCCGGCCCTGCAGAAACGCGCACGGACAGCTCTGACGGCAACTCTTTGTGTATAAAAGGCTTGCTTTAGTCTGCCAAATAAAAGGCGTTGGGACAGCTCCTGTGATCTTAACACTTTGAGTATACATGAGCTGATCTGAATAGCATTCTCTGAGGGGTTTTACCTTTGTAGGCACAGTGTGGAGAGTGCAGTAGCGGAACACACACACGTACACCAAGATCTTACACTGCTGTGTTAGTATTCAGTCATGAGACAGGAAAATATAGTCGTACTAATGCATCAGTTTATAAAAAGACAGTTGGATCCACTTTCTATTTCTGACAGAATGAGACAAGTTACAGTCACCCATTCATATGGCTGAACTTTGAGATTTCTATTTGCCCGACAGGGAGTCCTGGGAAGGCTGCAGACCAAATTTTCGTAAATCAATTCTATCCTGGTAGCAGCTGTTTGTATTTTTTATTTTTTGGTTCCGGGGATCAAACTCAGGTCCTTGCGCTTGCGCAGCAGGCGGCGAAACCACTGAGCTAAATCCCCGGCCCTAGCAGCTGTTTTTAAACAACCTCTTTACACTCCTACCCTTTCCTTTTTTTTTTTTTCTTTCTTCCTTTTACCTTTCTTTCTCTTTTTAGACAGGGTCTTACTATGTATTCCAGGCTGGTCTTGGCCTTGAACTCATTATATATCCCAGGCTGACGTCAAACTCATAGTGATCCTCCTGCATCAGTCTCCCCAGTGCTGGGATTCAGGGGTATGCCACTATGCCTGGCTTCCTTTTTTCCATCTTCAGTCTTAAATTAGTTTAGAGGTTAACTCTTGGATGTTTACATTTTATCTAAGACTGACTGAAATAACAAACCTCCAGGTGACCTTGAATTTTACTTTTTTTTTTTTTGGTACCGGGGCTCGAACTTGGGTCCTTGAACTTTTGAGGCAGGCAGCAGAACCACTGAGCTAAACCCCCGGCCCAACCTTGAATTTTATAACAAAATTATCTTTGCCAGTCTGGTTTGCCTGACTAATCATTGTGGGTGGAAACATTTTTAAAAATGGTTTCTAAAAGATTATTGTACTTTTTCTTTGGTTTTTCCTGACCGGTGTGGCAGGCAAAACAGTTTTTACACTGGACACAGAGGTCTTTTATTTTGCTCTGAGCTCAAGATTAGCCCAAGGCATTAGAGAGGTTTAAAAGAAGGCAGGACTGTTGTAAACCATTGTTTGCTAAGCAGACTGAGGGTTTCATTTCCTTCCAGAAGGGATGACTCTTGGGAGTCTAGGCTGCCACGGAGCTGCTGTCAATCGCAAAACCATTAATTTGAAAGGTTTCCCCTTCTCCCATCCTCGCTGAAACGTCATAAGGAAAAATTGTAAGCAGGCTTTGCCCTGTTTATCTTATATATCAGCAAATGTGGTAAAGCTGGTGGTTACTGTGAGGCGCTCTCGGGTGAGAGAACCCTTCGCCTTCTTCCGACCTCTTTGCTTTCTGGTTTATTTTTTGTTGGCTCCCTTTTGATTCTGACAGCTTTCCCAGGTATCTGGAAGATCCTGGCATCGCTGGCCAGCACTGGCTGCCTGTGACCCCTGCCCACTCACAGAGTTCCCAAGGGTATAGTGAGCCATTCTGTTGAGTCTTCCTGTGCTGGGTACTCGAGACTCTTAGGGACAGGAGCTCTAATGATCAGAATGATCAGATAGATCCTGCTCTCGTGGAATTTATGTTTAACAGGAGACACAAAAGATTATCAAACAAATGCAGTTTCAGATCCTAGGCACAATAATAAAACGAGTAAAAAGGGCATCGTCATTTCTGCTGCATGTTGGGGAGGACTTTAACACAGTGGTCCTTTCACTCAGATGTCAGGGGGGCACCCAGCTCTGAGCCAGTAGCAAGAGGCAGAGCTAGGGATGGAGGTCAGTGATAGACGCTTGCATGAAGACCCTGGTTCTGTCCCCAGTACCACACACATGAGGCAGGCAGCCCCTCAACCACACAGCAGGAGAGGCAGAAGGGTGCTTAACAAGTTCTGAGGAGACAATGAAGGCTAGTGGGGTAGGGATGTAGTTACAGTAGTAGGGATTAGATTCTTCTACAAGCCCCAAATAACCCTGGTCTTAATCACAATAGATGTTTATGTACCTCCCACATCATAGAGTAGGTAGACTACATGGAGCTGGTAAGCTGCTCCTCGGTTTCAGGGACCCAGACTTTTTGTCTCATTCAGCCATGATTAGCTTCCCTTCCTCATGGTCTAGTGTGGCTGCACCAGCTCCAGGCCACACATCCCCCTTCCCGGGCACAGTACTTACTCCAGGCCATCTGCCATTTCCATTTATGTCCCATTGATCATGACTCAGTCACATGACCATGCATCTCATCAGAGGCTAAGAGAACATTTTCTCTCTTCTGCACCCAGCTAAATAGTCTCATGGTGAAGACTTTTGAACCCAGACAGAACCTCAGCCAGGCTGGCAGACAGGGAGAGAATCACAAAGAGCTGAAGGCAAAGGCAAGCAGCTCAAGGCCCACTCACTCAGTGCTTGCGTAATGACCCCAGCAAGGACTGCAGTGTCACCAGCTGCAGGAGGAGGTGCCCATGCAGGGATGGCGTGACTGGCAGAGATCCCTCTGCTAGGGCGCAGGTGCTCTGGGAGTAGTAGAGGCCTCGCTCCAACCCCCTGAGAGACGAGGGGCTTCCGTCTGCCTGAGGTTCCAGGAGGTTAGGGCGCCACGGGGCTGTGTGCGCAGGGAACCCAGTGGCCCTGGTGTCTGCTGGGTGCTACCCGTCAGAAGGCCAGAGGGCCAGCAGAGGTGAGGACAGAGGCCCTCTGGCTGCCCAGCTGGGCAATGGCACAGGTGGAGATGAAAGTTAGACTCCAGCATAGCAGGGAGCTTGGGACATGCCCGGTGTGTTTTCGGGTGCTGCCCCTTGGCCCGTGCCATGCCGCTGGCTCCACGCACACAGTGGCAGTTGTCCCTCCTCACTGCACCGCTGCCAGTCCCTGGGTCGGGGCTGCTTTTCTCATCTCCTAGTCTACAGTGACTCAGATCTGCTCTTCAGCCTCCACAGGCTGCTGCTCCTGTCTTTACTGCGCTGCTTGTACACCTCCCATCTGCCATTCATCCTGATGGACCCGTGCTGTTTGTGCAACCTCAGTGCTGCTGGGAGAGGCCAGGCTGCTTGGTACACAGGATCCCGGGCACTGCATGGGCTGCTGCCCCTGCCTGCGGGCACTCAAGTGTGCTGTGCCACTACCTCACTGGGTCTCAGGCAGGGCAAGTGCTGCTCACATGCTGCAGGTTTCCAGTGTGACTCTTCTGACCTTTGTCCCATTCATTAGAGTCACCTACACTGGAGTAGGGAAATGGAGACATCAGACTTGCCCATGTGGCAAAGTCCCCAAACAAGGGGGCTCTCAGTGGCCCTGTCTGACTGCCCACTTCTCTTGGTCATAGGTGGGTCCCCCAACAGTATGACGCCAAAGTTCTCGCGGGCACAGAGGCTGCAGTCATGGGCATCTGCTGGCAGGTGAGTCATGTCAGACTGCTTCCTTTCTTATGTTATGAGGATGATGTGTCCCCAGCTCCTCCCAGTGCCACCTCCAGGGGGGGTTTCCTCCCCATGGCCATTGCATGGCCACCTTCTCAGCAGGCTCTTGGGCACAGCCAAGCCACTTCTGCCTGCATGGGATCTTCAGGCATTCCTTCTGTTGCAGCCTTTACTGTCACTTGTGGAGGTCTGTTGCCAGCACCACTCCCCGTGCTCAGTGCAGAAGAGGTGACCTCACATCTCGAGTCTCCTGCGTGGTCTGGGGTGGGGGAACAGGAAGGACTCAGCCCTTTGGATTCGCATCTGCAGGGCAGGAGACCTGGCACCAGGGTGTGGCCAGCCTGGGTCACGCCACTGGTGGGATGGGTTAGGCCCGGCAGAAGGAGTACTGGGCTAGGACACCATAGACAGATGCTCCTGGTTCTGCCTTTGGCCAGACTGAGGCTGTCAGCAAAGCCTTGACCACCCTGGGCTTTGATTTCCTTGTATGTAAACTTGGGTTGCTGCATTCCATGGGCAAACCAGATTCCCCAGAGTAGAAGCAGTGCTGAGATGTCTTCTCTTCCACACCGAGGGCGCAGGAGCAAAACCCAGAGCTGCACAGCCATGACCACCTCACCTACCTCTCCGTGCCTTGGTTTCCCCTGGAGACCACAAGAATAGCCCCTGCCTCTGGGGTTGCATTAAGGATGGCATTTGTTGGCATTTTTATTTATTATCACTGGAACTCATGGTGGAACCTGCAGAATCAGCCTGAGGGGGGCAGCAGGTGGGGCAGGAGCCTGACCTGTGGGTACCTCTCGCTGCAGGCTCTCCGGGGAGTGTCTGTCCTCTGGGGAGTGTCATTTAAGTTTGTTTCCACACTCTTTGAAAAATTATATATTTTTCAACTTACATAGTTGTCCCTGATGCGTAGAAAAACCAATAGATAAGTCTTGGGCTCCACGCCGGTAGGATGTCCTTAAGTGGTGTTGTTTTATAAGCCTTAGCTTTTTGGGCTCCTGTACAAAACTGTCGTAGTCTGGGGTTAAACAGCAGAAACAAGTGCTGTGGAGGCTGGACACCTAAGGGGAAGGTGCCGGCAGGCTCAGTGCCCAGCCAGCACCATGTCCCCACACGGGAGTAAGCAAACCAGCTCTCGGGCCTCCATGTAAGAGCGCTGTTCCCCTATCATGAGGGCTCCACACCCTGACTGCATCACCTCCCTAACACCTCCCAACCCTGCCGTGTTCAGTGTAAGAATTCAGGGGAGGGGCATGAACATGGAGTCCGGCTCCAGGGACAGGGGACTCCGCCTTTCTTCAGCAGCAGCAACAAAGCACACCACAGCCACACAGGGCCGCAGGGACGTGGGACATGAGATGGAGACTGCGGTAATTTTGTCTCCCGCCAACGGGCGGGCCACAGTCCTGCCTTTCTGGAGCCCCTCGAGGATAGTCCAGCCCAGGCCTTGCTGGCTGGATTCTCGGCCCACTGGCTGATGGGCGTTTCGCTTTGGTCAGGCCGCCTCTGCTCACCTCTGCCCACGTCTTTCCAGGGTCATGGTTCACAGCACTCCTGTGAGACGCTCTTCAGGGCCAGCGTCACAAAGCCCCCCCGGCAGCACGCGGACCCCCATGAGTGCAAGACGAATGTCTGCGTTGCCCACACCTGCCAGCCGGCGCCTCTCGGGCCTCCCACTGATGACCCCCAGAACCATGCCCAGGGCCCTATCGTCCCCGCTGTTTGTCCCTGCCCGGCGGCTGTCTTCTGAGCCCCGGAGAAGATCCGAAGTGGGGTAAGAGCAGAGGCCGCACACCCCGTGCCGGGCGGTGTGTGGTCCTCAGGATGTGGGGCGATGTCGGCACCCACCCTAGCACTACACAGGGGACCTGGCCCACGCTCTCCTGTTGGAATGGAAAGGGTAGGTGCCCCCTGCTCCTGCTCTGGTTCTTACCTGACCAGTGCAGGGCAAACCTGGGTGAACACTGTGCCCAGGCCACCCAGGCGGGACCAGAGCCCTGGGAGGCTAGCTGGGCAGAGCTCAGCACCCTCCACCAGGCTCTTCGCTGGCTGCTATTCTTGCAGGGGCCCTGCCCTCTGGTGCTGTGAGGGCTGATGGCTCCCGAGTCCCCACCTGCCCCTTCTGCCTCATCTCTCCCTGTCTCGTCACGGTGCTTATGCAGACACACACATGCAAATACATACCTGTCAGCAGCAGGCCTGCCTTGCTGCACCTGTGCTTGTAATGTGCGCTCCTGGCCCTGGCCCTGCCACACAGCCTACTTCCCTCTCATTCCACTCCTCCCACTCCCCTTTCCACTGCCTGCACCCAGAAGGAGGTGGCTGTCTGCCTGGGGCTTGTAAGGCTCCTCTGGCCATGAAACTCCCTGAGAGCCAGGACCCTTATCCCCGGAGCTTACAGGACCCCGGCACATAGTGGGAGCTCAGGAAATATTTATGAGTGTGGCCCTTGAGTGGATATAGTGTTGGTCCCAGCATTGGTTCCTTGACTTGAGGCCATGTCTATGAGTTGAGAGAAGCCTCGCCACCTGCAGCTCTGCTCCGTGGCCCCGTTCCTGGCCTGGTATTTAACAGCTGCTGAGGAAGGGAAGAAAGTGGCACAAGGCAAAACCAGACCAAGCCCATTACCAGTGGAAGGGAACCTTGGGAGCCACTCAGCCCTCCCATTAGACAGAATAAACTTGAGGTCGGGAAGGTGGCAGTGTCCCCCGAAGCTCTGGCTCTGTTGAGGAGCTAGCAGCAGGGCCAGGCACTCTCAGCACAGGGTGATTCCAGGAGTATCCTTCCTTCTACAGCACTGAGCCGGCGAGGGACAGTGGCAGAGGGCCAGGACGCGGCCAGGTGGCTCCCTCACCCAGTGGGGTCTTCTCCCCTCCTCCTTCTGTGCCCCATGCCCTTTGCTTCTCTCCAGAGAAAAGCATTCCTTTCCCGGAAGGCCCTGCCACAGGACCAGCTCAGGACGAGGCCAAGCGCAAGGAGGACACCCACCCCACTGAGGTAGGCAGAGGCAGGTGGGTTCATGCCCACTGGGCATGGGGGTATGCAGAGGCCGGCTGCTCTGGAGGGTGGGCTCTCAGTTCCCTGCAGCGCTCACCCTGTGGCCAGGTCTTTCCCATGTTTGATGAAGGAGGCAGTTGGGTCAGAGGGAAGGAACCAGAGAAGGCCCATGCCTCCATGCTGGGGAGAGCTTGGGGCTTCCTCGGGGTGGTTTCGTGAGCAGAGCCTGCGTCTCCCGAGGTGGTAGACACAGCAGTGCTGGACCGTCCTCCCCTGCGTGGCCCTGCGCAGGCCCTGCTCGTGGACATCGGGCTGGACCAGCTGGCCATCTCTCCCCCGGCGGCACGCCCCCTCATCGCCCTCGGCAGCACTCCTGGGGCAGATGTGCCCTCGGGGCCTGTGAGCGGACCCCTGATCGACCTCACCACCAGCACCCCGGACATGAACAGACATGGTGTGTCCAAAGCTGTGCCAGCCGAGGGCCAGGTGAGGGCCAGGCCATTTGCGCCCACTTTAGCCTGGGTGCTCTCTGTCCCAGGGGCCTCAAATCATGGTGGCCCTCCCACCCTAAAGGTCTTAAGTCCCAGTACATGACTCTGCTCTGGGGGCCTGAGCATCCCAAAGGTCACCATTGCCATTAAAGCATCCTGCCAGGACCCAGCGAGCTCTCGGGGTGCAGGGTTTGTGTCCCAGCCCCACAGCCCATGCCTGCAGTTGGAAAGGAGCACAAGTGTCTGAGCCCTCAATGTCAATGCATGTCCCTCTCTTTCCCCCAGCATCTTGCCGGGACGGTCAGGGTTTCCTTACTCATCTCTGAACCTGGGGTACCTGGCTGTTTTCCTGTCCCCGAGCCCCGGGTGGATCTGGCCTGCAGGTCGCCGTGGTGTCCATTGTGGGGCACCCGTGGTGGTGGCACAGTTGGTTGTGCTCACCTTGTGGTTTGCCGTCCTGCAGCTCATCGACCTGTGCTCCCCTCTCATCCAGCTGAGCCCTGAGGCTGACAAAGAAAACCTGGACTCGCCGCTTCTCAAGTTCTGAGTAGAACAGAAGCCCAAGATCTGCTAGCTGTGTGAAAGGAACAGTTGGTCCTAAAGTGGCTTTTGACCCTTAGAAGAGTGGTACAGGAAACTGATTTTTTTAAAAAAGCTATGTGCATTTTCTGTGCCTGGAGGGGGCAGCTGGGGACAGCTCTGCTTCCTTAGTTCCTCTCCTTCCATTCCCAGGCTGGGACGCAGCACTCTGAAGAATTTAAGGTTTCTGTATGTAAAATAGCAAGCACCTAGTTTTAAAGTTAAATTTGTATGAAACATTAAATAATCTAGATTTAAATTAAATTGTAAAATAAAGTATATTAGAACATAGTTGTTTTTGAAGCTTATCCTGATTTTCAAATGTATATAGCTATTCTCATCCCACCCATCACTATGCAAGACCTACGTTATCTGGTCGTTAACACTTTTATAAGTGATTTTGAAAATTTAGTGTGAACAAAAATTGGTATAAATCCAGAGCCCAGCCCACCCCAGCTGCAACCTTCCCTGTCGCAGGCCTGAGAACCTGCATCTGTCAGGCCCTCAGCTGGTTCTGCTGCAGTGTCTGAGGACCACACCTTGGGGAGGCTCTAGGCTGCTGGGGTCCTGAGGGAGAAACATGGCTAACAGGGAAGGCCCAGCCCTATGCCAAGGCCCCTCCTACTGGCCAGGAAGAGGCTTTGCGCTCTCAGCAGGGACACCACTGGGGTCACCCGATGGGGGTCTTGGGGACTAAGGACACTGGAAACCAGCTCCTGCCTGAAGCCTCTCATTTTCTAAGACCAGTGTCCTGGAGGTCCCTAATTTGTACACATCTCTATGGTTTGAAGAGTCCTTTGTTCATTGGCATCACAGCAGACAGCGGAGACTAGCAGGACCCCACTCCAGTGTCCCTGCATCAGGCCATGTCCTCCCTCTTCTACAGTGGGGAAAAAGCCGGGCTGGACATCTCCCCTCCACAGTTAATGTGGCAAATATAGAATGGCCACCTGGAATGAGCTGTGGTGGCATCCAGAGTGGGGAAGATGGCTGGTATGGCCACACCTGCAGCCAAAGGCTTTGAACAGAAGGCAGGGACATGCAAGGATGAACTACTGAGCCGGGGTTGCCTTGGGTACTACAGAGGGACCCCACAGGAACCGCAGCAGGTCCCCCCGCAGAGTTGTAGCACCCTGGGTATTAGCACCAAGGGGGTCTCGGCTAGCCTCTCTTTGATCCCTCATATCACAGAGGAATAAAACCAAAACCCAGAAGTTAATTCATTCAACAAATAGCCTCTCTAGCATGAGTCAGGCTGCATTTTCCTGGGGGTCCAGTGAAGTACAAAGCTGTGGCACACTTCCCTTCTTGGGGCCTGATGTTTGGTGGGGGGAAAAGACATCAAATTTGGCGAACCTGTGATAGCCAGATTGTGTCTTGGCTGTCTCCTCTCAAGCACTAGGGTTCCACAGTCCTCACCTGCAGTCCTGGGCACTGGCTCTTTCAGTGCTTTCTCCTGCAGCTGGGCTGCCCTGGAGCCAAGGGTGCTGTCCAGTGCACAAGTACCTGGAGCACAGCAGTACTTCTGGCTTCTCTGGACAGCCGAGAGAAGGCCTAAGCACATGGGTTGGGCAGGACAGTCCCTGTACCCCAAGCTGTAATCCTCCTCATGCCTCCCTCTGCTGTCCCCTCTGCAGTCTGACAACTTGCCTAAGATCCCTTCCTCTCCTGGCACCCAGGCCCCAACCTGACCCCTCTAAAGGCACAGAGAAGTGCTAGGATGTTAGAACCAATGTGCCTCTGGCACTCTGGGCAGGCTGAGGGCTGGTCACCTTAGCACAGCACTAAGGACCCTAGCTGCCAATGGAGCATAACCCTGCCAGACTTAAGGGGTCCAATTTCCTATGATTTTCATGTTTCTTCGGGACAAATGTTTCTGTTTTTTTCCATCTCTGAAATTCACACACCTTACAGTGCTGTTGGCAGGTGGAGCTTGGGTTATCACTGATTGCCAAAGCCAGTCCACTGTGAATAATACTCAGTGAACTCTTCGAGCTACCAGGTGGCCAAAATAGCACATATTTAACTGAAAAGTCACAGAAAATGTGCATGAGTAAAGTTTCGGCTGTTCTGTAGGTTAGCTGTATTGCACTTAGGCCCAAAGCCCTTTTGGCTTAGGCAGGAAGGAACTTACTCGGCTATCATGGCTTATATCTAGATGTCCCCTTAAAGCCCCATGGCATCATAGGTGTGTGATCCTGGATCACGGGTGTGTGATCTTGGATCAGGGGTTTGTGATAGTGGACTAGTTCATTGATGGTCTTATAGCTGAATATGAGGCTGGCAGGGAGAGAGAGCCCCGGCGGCGAGGAAGCCTCGGTCATGAACCAGGAAGGTAGTTCCATGGGGTCTTCTCACGCTGGGTGCACACGAGTCCCGGCGGAACGCGGGAAGCGGTGAGCGCGTTTCCCGCCCGGCAGTGAGCTCAGACTCCGTGGCGGGGCGGGACTTCCGGTCCGAGGCGGAAGCTGCCCCCGCGGTGGCGGCCTTAGGTGACCCCGGGACGGCGAGTGGATGCAGGCGGCGCGGCACGTCGTGTGCGCCCTGTCGGGCGGCGTGGATAGCGCCGTGGCCGCACTGCTGCTGAGGCGGAGAGGTGAGGCGGCCCTTGTCCTGGAGCCCCCCCGCCCCGCGGTGACCCTAGCTGCTCGGGGCCTCGGCGTGAGTCGAGAGGGGAGACCCGGAGGCTGCGCCCTGCGGTGGCGGGCACGGCGCTTGGCGTCCGCCCTGACCTCTGCGCCGCGGCCGCGCTCCTGCAGGTCCTCTCCCCGATCCCCGAGGCGGCGCAGTAATGCTCACCAAGTCACGCCTGTCTTCGCAGCTCTGTGGATCACAAACTGGCCCCCGAAGCGCTTGCATTTTTTCCTGGGACCTTAACAGAGCCCCGCAGGTGTTCAGAGTTGTTGGGGTCCTCAGCAGTGACTACCTGGCGTCAGGCCAAGTCCTCCATTTCATCTCCAGGCCTCGTGCACACAGCAAAGTTCCGCCATCTCCGTTGTAGGCCACCTTCTGTGCAGCGCCGGAATCGCAGAGTTGCAAACCCGGTTGCCGAACTTAGGCGAGTTCTGTAAAGTGGGATGATACCGCCCTCACAGGGTGGCTAGAAGGAGTAAACGACACACCGTATATTAAAGGGTTTACCACGGTGCCTAGCACGGATGAGGAACTCAGAAAACAGTAGTTTATTAGTATATATCATGAGAGATGTAATAGAAGGTGCCAAGGGGAAGGGTTGGCATACGGTAAGCATACGGAGTCTGGAGGAAGGGAGAACCTGGGCAGGCGTTGTAGAGGTGGTGTTTGAGCTGAGCCTGAAGAAGATTAGGATCTCACTCAGCAAAGCACCGGAGGCCAGAGATGAGGAGGAAGCAGTTTGGCAGAGTTAGCAGATCCAGCAGAGTAGAGAGTGAGTGCTGGCAGGATGGCCAGGTTCGAGCCCCGAGTCTGGGAAGTTGTTAGGATGTTAGGGACTTGAAGTTATGCTGGGGATCAACTCAGAGCCCTTGAAGGGCACTGACAAGGGAAGTAACTAGGTGTTTTGGGTGATGACAAAGACTGGCTGTGTCTGCCAGATTCGTCTTTTTACCGACTCTACAACTTTATAGTGCAGCCTTCCTTGGATTTTTCTCCATGGAGGGAGCCAGCGGACTCAGCAGGGAAAAAAGCACAGCACTCTCATTTTGGCACCAAGGGCTGTTGTTGGGGGGGGGGGGGGGGGTCGCCGTTTGTACCTTGGAAAGTTTGAGGAATCAACCTAGAGTGTGTGAGCCTGTGCTCTCGAGTCACATCTCTTACTGAGAAAAATGATCAGGCAGGTGAGGCTGTGGGAGCTCTGTGCGTAGGGTTTATTCACTGTGCATGTTCTTTTTCAGCTGCCATTTTGTTCTGGACACCTTGCTAAGTCCTGGGAGCACAATTAAGCATTTAAACAATTAAGCACAGTCCTGGCCCTTGAGCTCCCTGCAGCAGTGAGTTGCAGAGGAGACCTGCGGACAGCTGATCCTGGGTGCTAAGTTCGTAATAGAAGCAGCCCCCGGTGCTTTGGTGTGCAGAGGAGGGAGGCCTGAACACCTGCTGGGATGGGGTGGGCCCTTTTCATTTTGGCAAAGGTTTGAGGGCACTGTTTGAAGTCTCCTTTAACAAAAATGCCCTGTCTTTCCTTAAATTCAGCCTAACAGAAGGAAACATTTCTCATATAGGGCAGGTGCCTGAGTAGCTTGCTAAGGTGGTATAATAAGGCCAATGCTGCCCTTCAGAATTTGGCTGTGTAACTTGTCACAGTAGGAGAGAGGAGAAGTGGGTCATTAAATATATATGTGGTAGAGCCCTTATAATAAAATATTTTTATTTTATTTTTTAATTAATTTATTTTTTTGGTACCGGGGATCAAACTCAGGTCCTTGCACTTGCGCAGCAGCCAGCAAAACCACTGAGCTAAATCCCCAGCCCCTTTTATAATAAAATAAACAAAACTTTTTTATTTTGTTTTAATTTTTGGTACAGGGGATAGGACCCAGGGCATACAAACCATGGGCTTTGTTACTGAATTACAACTTCAGGGAGATAAAGTATCCAAAATTTTAATTGTCTTTATACCTGATAACCTAGACTCTTACATCATAGATAGTAACTGGGAATTTTTGGAATGAGTTTACTTTTCTAATAATTTATTTGCACTGAAAAATTTGAGTTTTGGCTGACCTTTCAGCCGGTCAGCACACATTGCTGCTCGCTCCGCCTCTGTGCTTGATGTTGTGCTTCTGCACAGTTTAGGGACCCAAAGATGGGGACTCAGGTAGAATTTCAGTCCATTCTGTATTGTGGTGACAGGGCTTTTACAGAGCACAATGGGGACCTAGGGAAAGGAGTGCCCTGAAGGCTGGCACTAGGGTGTTACCCTGAGCCCTGAAGGCCTTGTGGTAAAGCTTGGGCTACCAGGCACAGAGGCACAGAGAGGTGGTGTGTCAGGGATTGTTTAGGCATAGAAAACACTGCCTTTTTCTTTTCTTTTTTTTTTGGTACCGGGGATCAAACTCAGGGCTTTGTTCTTTTGAAGCAAGAGGCGGAACCACTGAGCTAAATCCCTGGCCCTAGAAAGCACTGCCTTTTGACCTGAGGTGGATTGATGGACTCCAGTGTACCTTTTCCTTCCCCAGGTTACCAGGTGACAGGGGTGTTCATGAAGAACTGGGACTCACTGGATGAGCACGGCATGTGCACCGCCGACAGAGACTGCGAGGATGCTTACAAAGTCTGCCGAGTCTTAGACATCCCTTTCCATCAGGTATCCTACATCAAGGAGTACTGGAACGAAGTGTTCAGGTGAGTGCAGGCTGCAGTGCGAAGAAGACTTCCTGTGTCTCAACTCTGCCCACGGAAGCATGGCCACAGTCAGCCAAGGCTGATGGACATGCAGCCCAGGTGTCGCCTCAGCAGGGTTGTCGGAGACTGTGGGAGCTTTCAGCTGCCCTCTCTCAGGAACCTCTGTGGTAGAGGCCTGGGCCTCAGAGTTCCCCTCGTGGCAGTTTTTTCATGGGGTTTGAACTTGCAATCCTCCTCCCTCAGCCTTCCAGAATACTAGAATTACAGGTGTGTGCCAGCACACCCCACTCAGATATTATTAGTTAATTAATTAATTTTTGTGGTACTGAGAATCGAGCTACACCCCCAGCCCTTTTTTATTTTGAAACAGAATCTTGCTAAGTTGCCAAGGCTGTGCTTGAACTTGTGATTCTCCTGCCTCAGCCTCCCAGAGTGCTGGGATTATAGGTGTGCATGTCTGTGTCCAGCTAGATGTTCTGTTTGCCATCTCCCTCACTCAACACAGGAGCAGCTTCTCTTATTCCTAGCAGAAGAGCAATCAGGCTGTTCCCCTGTTGTTTTTTCTAGTGCCCCTGACATGGATTCCCTCAGTCTGCCAGGAGCTGTCTTCTGGTACACTGGCTACCTCTTCAGTGTTTATTTGATGCTTGTGTAGAAAGTTTATTGGGTCTGTGAATGTATGAGAGACGTGGAAGAGAGAGCATGGGTGTTAGGGAGTTTGCAGCGTAATGAACCTCTTGACAGCTTTCAACAGTTAAAAAGAGTGGAGCTGGGTGTGGTGGCGCATGCCTCTGAAACCAGTGCTATGGGAGGCTGGGGCAAGAGGATCGAGAGTTTCAGCCCAGCCTAGGCAACTTTGCAAGTCATTGGTGCTCGCAAGGGAGCAGTAGAAAAAGTGAAAGAAAGGGATAAGCTAGCTGCGACTGGTAAAATCACTGCATAAGACACACAGACTGGAGAAGTGAGTTGGCACCATGTCTGTGCTTTGCAAGCTGAGATAAATCACTTTCATGGTAACCAGATCTACGACTACAACAGCATCCTCCTCTGTACCTGGGGCAGCAAGTGCAGTTTTATGAAATGATTGCAGAAAAGCTGAGGCAGGCCCTCAGCCAGATGGAATATGAAGAAATCTCCAGAGTGCTTCTTTCTGACTTGGGACAGTGCGACCCTGTCTCAAAATTTAAAAAATAAAATAAAACGGGCCAGGGATTAGCTCAGTGGGATGGCCCTGGGTTCAATCCCCAGTACTGCCAAAAAAAAAAGAAAGAAAGAAAAAAAAAAGAGGAGAGGGTAGCAGTCTCATACGGTGTCACATACCTGGTACAAGGCAGGTTTTCATGCACTCACGGGCGGAATGATAGAAAACAGTTTGCATTGCCTGCAAGTAACCTGCAACCTGGTGCAGATTCCTGCTCTGTCTTTGTAACGCAACCTTCCCGGTCAGCATTGGTTTGTTTTTTTGTTTATTTTTTAGCCTTCGTTGACTTATAGAGAATTTTAGAGTAATGAAGAAACACGCATACTAGAAATACCCCTGATTTTAAACTTCTGGGATGGGCTTGGTGTAGCTCCTCAGGACTGTAGGATTCTGCCCCGTCTTGCTGAAGTGGCAGCATCCTTCACATCCCGTCTGTCTGTTAGGACAGAAGTCCACTGAGTCAGCATGACCAGCCACACTGTACCCCCCAGTCCTCGGACGCATGTGTCTGTCACATCTGAAGAGATTTCTTGGTGCATTTGCCTGGTCTCCTGGGTCCCCAAGCTGGGACTGAGAAGGCCTGATAGAGCCGTGGTGGTTTTATACCTAGTGTGTTGCAGCTGAGCTCTGTCCTCCCATGAGCCCTCCTGTACCGGAGGAGGATGGGAGGCAGGAGTGCAGTGTGGCCCTAGGGTGAGGGTAGACGGCACCTGAGCCCCCGCAGCAGGGACAGCGCCTGCTCCTTGTCCAGGCTTAGCGGTTATCACGGAGTCAGACTGTGCATGCACCAGGCGCTAGGCACATGTTTGGTGAAAACATGGAAGACAGCTTGATACGGGAACTCTCCTGTGTTGCAAAAGATTATAGTTTTGGCACGACAGTGAGGAAGGCTACATTAAACAAGTAACCACCAGTGTATTTTTTGGAGGAACGTTTCACACTTAGAGCTGAAGAGGCCTTTTCTTTTATTCCAGCGATTTTTTGAACGAGTATGAGAAGGGCAGGACTCCCAACCCTGACATAGTCTGCAATAAGCACATCAAGTTCAGCTGCTTCCTTCATTACGCTGTGGACAACCTTGGTAAGGAAATGGGGTTTCTCCATTTGTTTTAAAAAATCATCAGTTCTCTAAGATGACCAGAGGCCAAAACCTTGGAAATAGTTCTGTGTTTCAGAAAGAAAGGGAGCACTGAAAGCAGTCCTACTTTGTAAGCACTTTCTAGTGAAAGGCAAATAGCAGGAGGAGAGGGTGCTGTCTGGCAGCAGCTTCAGGTGTTCCAAGGAAAGGTGGTTGGGTCGATGCTGAAGTCAGAAGGTGACAGTGTCCCAGGAGGAGGAGATTTGAGAAAATAAGATTCTGATAGTAAAATATTAACGACCTTAATGAGGTATCAGCAAAAGAGAGAGAAGGACAAATAGATGAGCCTCTTAAGTGTACCAGGAAGAGTAGAGCTTCAGGCGAAAGACAGCAAGCTTGCAGAGGCCTGGCCGGCGCTCAGGAGCACAAGAGTCTGCTGCCTGCACAGACAGCGTGGGCCCAGGAGCCGGGGCCTGGGGGCAGCACTGCTGACTAGGAGGCTTCTTAACTGGGAGCTGGGGCAGTGCAGAGGGCTGCAACCCACAGGAGGCCAAAATTTGTCCCCACATGCCACTGAGTCGTGACCCATCAGATCCTACCTGGCACACTGCCAGGCCCCCTGCACCCTTCCACAGGTTCTGTTCTGCTGGAGGGGCTCTGGTTCAAGATGTGGTTGTGTTTAGGGGAAGGCTCAGGAGCTGGAGGTCACAACTTGAGAAGCACAGGTTTATCATCCTGCTTCCTGGTTCTGCTGAGACCTTTCTCCTGCTTCTGAAAGTGAGTTTCTGCTTTGTCCAGAGAACAGGTCTGTGGTCCACCTATTCTGATCCCGGGTCCCTGTTCTGTCTTGGGTGTGACACTGTCTTTGTGACCTGTTCTGAGGCCCACTTTATGGTCAAGGCCCTGCACCACCTGACAACTCGATTACCCACCAAATCTATAGATTGTGTCTGGTCTTAAATTTCCCCTTTCTTGATTCCGTCTACATACCTGACATCCCATTCTTCTTTGTCAAACCTCCCCAATGCTACAGACATTCCAGGGACCTAGGTTCCCTGTAGGTGACAGAGCTAATGCTCCAGTGTTTGTTATCAAAGTCTGTGCAGTCAGAGCTGTTGCAGAAAGGGAGAGGAGTCCTCGTGGTCTGCCCAGCTGGGCCATGGTTGTCATTCAGGGAAAGTAACAGACAGGTGGAGTGAGGGTTAGTTTTGATTTCCAGGGTGTCTGGATATATGTCCCCAATGAACCGTGAGATTGCTGCAGGTCATCCTGGCAGTGGTCAGGTGTTCCTTAGGGTTACATTCCCTGTGTGATACCAGAGGATGGGAGGGCTGGGACTTGGCAGGAGAAGGATTTCTGGGAGCAATACATACAGCTCTTCAGGAAATGCTTGCCTTTGGAGGTGCGAAGTCCCTGTCAGCATTGCTTTCTCAGAGCCCTTGATGGCTACCTGTGGGATGTATTGGAAGGGAATTCTGCAGTGAGTGAGTGCTTCCAAGTCTGAACTGAGTGCATGCACAGTGCAGCATGGAATAAAGCACATGAAATGTAGTCTCTTACGATCTCGGAGCTTCTCCCCTAAGAGTCCTACATGCCTGGTAGTGTGAGTGGTGGTTCTCTAGGGAAGTAACATTTAAAGTGGGTTTTTTTCTATTAGAGACTGAGTTAAGATGTGTGTGTTCCTGAAGGTCCTTTCTCAAATAGTTAATCCCCAAGGGCAATTCTTACCGTGCCTCTTGTTGTGCACTGAGTTAGTCTGCTTTATTACTTAACTGGATCAGTTTTATTTCCCTTCCCTTATTGAATATCCGCAATATTGAGTATATGACATTTCACATGACAGAAATGTTATGGACCAGTGTGTACTTTTGTAGATTCCTTGGTTCTCTTTTTTTTCTTTTCCATTATGTGGACAGAATAAGTTAAATGTGTTGGATGGTCCTTCACCGTGATAAAATACTACGTATTTATTAAAGAAAATGTAAAACTACTGAACAATGAAAAAAGAGGGAGACATCATCTATGATTTCATTCCCAGAATCAAAGAAATAGATGTGTGTTTTTTGCTTGTTGAATAAGGACAGGGTCATCGTATACATCCCTGCTCCCTGTTAGAGTCTGAGCACTCTCCCATGGCATCGAATGGGCTTTGTCAGTGCTGGTATTGCTGCAGCTGTGGCATTAGGGTTCATCTCGCATCCTCTCAGTGTCAAGCACTGTGGGGGTTTCAGTTTTTCCTTAATATTGTAAGGAACTCTAAATGGGCTTTTTGTGCTTAAACCTTGTGCGCACGTGTGATGACTTGAGCTAGAGTGGGTGAACAAATGGATGGCACTTTGGAAAGCCTCTTAGAGAGGCATGGTTCTGTCTGCTCCGATTAAGAGTTGAAGGTGCCTTGCTGAGCGGGGTTTCAGGGTTGGGGCGAGTGGGCGTCCGGCATCTTTGGCACCCTTGGCTCACACAGACTAAGTCTGGTGAGTTCGAGTCTCAGGTCATTTCCTTGTGTTTTCAAAAACCTCACAGGAGCAGATGCTGTTGCCACAGGCCACTACGCAAGAACCTCACTGGAAGATGAAGAAGTGTTTCAGCAGAAGCATATAAAGAGGCCAGAAGGGCTTTTCAGAAATCGATTCGAAGTTAGAAATCGTAAGTTGTAGTGCCCGGGTCAGAATTCTTGGTGTGCAAAGTAAAATAATTTGAGAATGACAGGAGCTAGGTCTGAGTACACCAGCCACCCCTTTCTGTGCGCTCCAAATACATGGTTCATTTGGAGCTCATGTTTGAAAGGTGCAGGTCGTTTTCCCGAGGCCTGTGATTGGGCAGTAATAGAGGGGCTCCAGTCAGGGACCAGGGCAAGGGCCGTGGGAAGTTCAAGAGTTCGGATCTAGGTTCAGACACTGTGTGTTGGTAATCTGAAATCCTGACCATACTCAGGGAAATATTTGAAATAATATTTGGGTGCTCTAGGCTTCGCCAAGGGTGTAAGCTCAGATGTGAACCGCTCAGGGGTCTAGCAGGCAGCAGTGCTGCATAGAGGCGTGCGAGCCGACGCGCTCCGCTCCTAAGCATGAGAAAGTGAGGCTTCCCAGCTGGGGAAGCAGAAACGCTGGCAGTGAGCTGGGACGCCACTGGTCTGACCTGGCATGCATTTGTGTGTAGAAAAGAGGAATTCATGTAACTGTCGAGTAGAAAAGTGGGGCTCAGTCCCATGTCTGCTGCGGTGTGATGAGGGGCAGCACTCCCTGTGTGTCACCATGTGCTTCTGAGTGGAGTTTGGAGCGCAGCTGGGGAAAGGGTCCTCCAGGATGGGCAGCTTCACACCACACCTTCTGTTCCGTGCCGCTGTCCCCTATTTCCCTGAGGAGAGCGAGGCTTGGGTGGCATCACTGTCCCGGGCACCTCAGGTGGCAGGGCCAGGCTTCCTCATCCCTACTGCTCCTCAGCCAACAGGCCCCACCGAGTTCTCCCCAAGCCACCGAACTGTTTTGAAGGCAGTGGCAGTATGCTTTGTCAGGTGCACTGAGCGTGCCTGGGTGCTGCAGTGCTTGGGCCGCCTCTCTGCCCAGCCCAGATAGGAAAGCTGCCCCTCTCGTCGGGTAGGAATCGGAGCGGGGGGCCACCTGCTGCTGCTTTTGGGATGCAGCCTCTTCTCCCTCAGCCCTGCTGCCCCGTCCCCCACTTGGCCAACACTCACCTCGGAAACTCCCATTCCGGAGGACTTGGGAGCCCCCAGCAGAACACACTGCCCGAGCAGGTGGAGGGCCACTTCCCATGCTGAGCGGCCACCACCACTTGTCCCCTGCATGCACCACACTGTGGCTGTGCTGTGTAAGCCCATCATCTCTTGTGTGGCATGCTCTGTGGGTACCTTGGGAGGAGTCCCTTAGTGCCAGGTATGGGAGGTGTGGAAGTGGCTCTGATCCGGACCTCAGGTCTCTGATGAGTGCGGGGAACCTGACAGTTCCCATCTGGGAGGCTCTGTAGCATGTGGCGCAGGGCTGATCTCTTCAGAACCAAGGTCACACACGCCTCATACAACCTTTGCAGTGAAAAAGAGTGTTAGAGGAGTTGCCAGGCAGCTGCCACGTGTCCCTGGAGTCTAGACGAGACCACTTCACCAAGACAGAGCACAGCATGCCCAGGAGGACAGAGGCCTGGGTGCGTGCCCTGCACCGAGCGCCCAGCCAGGCCACTCAGAGCCCTGTGCAATGTGTGTGTGCACCTCTTGCACAACTGACACTGGTTAGCTTACTGGAATTTTTGTTAAGTGCTGCCTTGTCCATTTTCCAAAACTTGGCTGAATCGATTTTCAGCTTATTTTTTTTCCTTATCACTTCATATTTTTTCATGTGATCTTTCATCTTTGAAAATCTTACAGTCTCAATTATGATATAAATTATGAACTGGAATAAATTTCCATATCATATACAATCCATTCTCCCTGTATATTTTGTGGTAAAGTCGAGGTGAGCATTTTTCTCACACTAGCAATGCTGGTGGTCTTTGCAGCAGACTGCTGGAAAGAGGGTCCGCTTTTGCTTCTGACAGACCAGGGTTACTAAGTAAACATGAGGATGTTATGAAAGGCAAAATGTCATTAGGTTTACTTTGTAACATCTTTTGTTCTTTACTCTTGGCAGCGGTAAAACTTCTCCAAGCAGCTGACAGCTTTAAAGACCAGACCTTCTTTCTCAGCCAGGTTTCCCAGGAGGCCCTGAGAAGAACCATCTTCCCTCTGGGTGGATTAACGAAAGATTTTGTAAAGAAAATAGCTGCTGAGAATGGACTCCAGCATGTGCTTCAGAAGAAAGAGGTAGGCCGAATTGTCTGCCTGGGAGTCTGCCGTGGCTGGGTGCGGGGGGAGCTGAGGCCGTGGGGCCCTTCTGGACCGCACACCGCACAGGGCCAGGGAGGAGGCTCAGCTGGCAGGGCACGGGGGAGGCCCTGGCACTTGGCGAGCTGACCTGGGACTCCCACCTGGCCCGCCCCCGCCCTCCCTCCGGGTCAGGCCGCTTCCCCAGCGCCGGGCAGCCGGAGGGGGGTGCTGTTGCTCAGCCCTCGTAGCACCGGTCCTCCACCACCCCTCACTTCCTGCTGCCCTCCTTTCGTTTCAGAGCATGGGCATCTGTTTCATTGGTAAAAGGAATTTTGAGCATTTTATCCTTCAGGTGAGCATTCTCACGTCGGGATGGGCATCTGCTCCACATCTGGAGCTCCCTGTTTTAATGAGGTGTTTAGGGCTGAGGAGTTAGCTCAGTGGTTCCGCCGCTTGCCTCACAAGCGCGAGGTCCCGAGCTTGAACCCGAGTACGAAAAAAAATAATTTCTCGAGTTAATGCGGTATTTGTCTTCTAGTATTTGGAGCCTCGGCCTGGGAAGTTTATTTCCATCGAAGACAATACACTTCTGGGAACACACAAGGGTGAGTCGCGGCCTGGGCCACTTTCTCTAGGCTCCTCGGGTCATGGAGCATGTGTCAGCTCAGTCCCTTCACCATGGTGCAGTCACAGGAGGCCTGCGGGGCAGGCTGGGGGGGGTGCTTGTGGTCTAGGGCCCTGGCAGTCACCCGGACTGGGGCTTCGTGCATGTCACGGTGCCGCATGCCTTGAACACTAGAGCATGCAGGGGTGATGAGAGACTGCAGGAAACTCCACTCTGGAGAGGGGAGCCGGGCTGGCATCACAGCCGACACCAAGGACCATGTGGGCAAACGGGCGCGGGTGTCCCTCAGGCAAGGTGCCACTTTTGGGTGCTGCTTCTGCGCTCACGGGCATTTATTGGTGGGGGAACTGGGCCTGTGTGCTGGGAGGACAGGGACAGGGCCAGTTGCAAGTGCTCAGCCTTGGCGCAGGGGCCGGTGTGTGGGCCGGTGGGGATGTGCCTCCTGGGGCACCTTGGCTGCACAGGCCTGCGTGGGGGGCTGAATGGGGGGACAGTGTGGGCCCGTATGGGCTCTTGCAAGCAATTGTGCTTTGGAGATCAGCCTTGAGGAGCCAGGTAGAGGTGGCTGAACAGGAATCCAGGCTTCCTGAGACGACTGTGCTGGAGCCTTGTGGCCTGTGCCAGGGCCCAAAGCACAGTGAAGCCCGTCAGGTTATGTCCATGCAGCGGGCGTGGGCAGAGCGTCAGGCTGGGGTCCTACCCTGTGTGTGGGGTGAGGACGTGGGGCCCGGTCTGAGTGACCGGGTACTGGGCACTGCTTAGGCAGCGCAGGCTGCAGTGTGCCTGATAGGTGGGCCCTGCACCTGCTTCGCACGCTGCTGACACCAGCCAGCCCTCTGCCCGCACTCCCTGAGCCGGCCCTGCTCCGGGCATTAGGTTTGCTCTTAGTCACGGTCGCAGTCCTACAGCCTGCTCAGGCCTGGACAAGGGTAGTCTGTGGTAGAGGTGGTCAGGGCCACCAGGCTGCCGTGCTGTGGAAACCTCCTCCTCCCCATCCTCCAGTGTTCTGCATGGAACTCGTTGCCTAGCTTCACAGACAACCTTCCTGTAGGTTGGTTCCTGTACACCCTGGGCCAGAGGGCGAAGATAAGCGGCCTGAGCAAACCCTGGTACGTGGTGGACAAGGATGGCACCAAAGGCGACGTGCTCCTGGTGAGCGGTTGCCCCTCCTTGGGGCCGATGGGTGGAGCTGGTGGGCGTGGGGCCACTGAGGGAGGTCCAGAACTGTCCTCCACACACCCCCAAGGTGACAAGCGAGTTTTTGCTAAGACATTTATTAGGCTGCTGGTGTATGCTGGCCACTCCAGTCATCACACAAATGCTGTAAATGCTGCTTTTCTGAGTTTACAGAACAAGATAGGACTCAGACAAAGTGACTTGCAAAAGTCACTTGAACGGGGGTGGTCCCGTGCCCAGGACAGTGCTGCTGGTGGCAGCACCCTGGAAGTCCTCATGGGCAGGGAAAAGTGGTGGCCTGGCCAGGCTGGGCCCTAAGCCATCCTGGTCCTGGCCTGCTGCCCAGGCTCCTGAGGGGAGCATCTTGAGGGGGTTAGGTTGCCCCAGCCAGGAGACGGTAGCAGCTTCCAGACACAATTTTGGTTGTCACAACTTGGATGGGGCTGGGGGAGCAGGCACTGCTGGCACCCAGTGGGTGAGGCCAGGGACACTGCTTAACACCCCGTGCCCTCCCCTGGCAGATGTGTGGAGCCCAAGTCTTAGTAGGTCTGGACTTGAGAAGCCTGCTCTGAGCTGGCCAAGCTGCCACCTCACCCTGTCACAGGTGCTAGGGATGGTTCCTCAGACCAGGCTGAGGCCGCCAGACCTCCCCTGCCAACAGGGGCAGCTCCTTCCAGGAAGAGCTGTGCTCAGATGTAACAGACTGCAGTGTGACCTTCCAGGGGTGTGTTTGTGGGGAGGACCCAGAGGCCCATCCCCAGCAGTCCCTAGACAGTCCCAGGGCCAGCTCAGAACCTGAAACTCTGGACTGGAAGCTCCTGGTCCTGCCCTAGGGGTGGGAGAGGCTCAGCCCTGTCCTGGGAGGAGCTGGGTCCAGGTGTAGGGCCCACGGGGCAGGTGCTGGTGGAAGCAGAGGCCTCAAGACCAGCCCCAGGTGCGAGCACAGCCATGAATGACCGGGGCCACCAGCGCCTCTGCTCCCTGCTTTCCTGGGTCACTGGGTGCTGGTGGGATCCTTGGCCTTCCTGAGACACCAGCCTCACACTCCTGGGAACAGGGGACCAGGTCCTTGGAGCAGGGATGGAGGGGCAGTGAGACCTGGAGGAGTCTGTAGACACAGGCTCAGGCTCACCTTTGCTCTTTCACCCGTGACCGTGATGAGGTCCTTCCCTCCTGTGAATTTCCACTCGTAAAACACTGGGGTTGGTTCCCGATACTAATGATGTGTGTTGAGGGGGATTTGGGGAGAGTCTTTGTCCTGAGTGCTTGGAGCCATCACGATCCACCATTCTGTCCGCAGGCCCCGGGGCCAGACCACCCTGCCCTGTATAGGGACCTGCTTCGGACCAACCGCGTGCACTGGATCACAGAGGAGCCACCAGCCACCCTGGTCCGGGAGAAGATGATGGAGTGCCACTTCCGCTTCTGCCACCAGATGGCGCAAGGTAACTGGGAGGGAGAGGTGTGGAGCTGTGTGGAGGGGTGAGACCAGGTGGGCAGAAGGTCCCCGGCTGTTGAGATTCCGTGACGTCTAAAGTTGCCTGTGCCTGCCAGAGGGGCCTGGGGCATGGCTGTGGCTCACGGCCGACGGTCCGGTGTTTGGGGCAGGTTGGTATGTGGTATGTGCTGCCCGGAGTGTCCTGTTGTGCCCAGGAGCCCCTCTGGCTGCCGCCTTGTCCTTCCTGGCCGAGGCTTAGACCACACGTGCTCTAAGGCCCTCTCTCCACCCAGTGCCCTGTGTCCTGACCCTCAATCAAGATGGCACTGTGTGGGTGACAGCTGTGAAGGCCGTGCGGGGCCTTGCCCCAGGACAGGTAAGTGGGGGCCCAGGGGTAGGGACCCTCGCGGGAACAGGACAGGGCCTCAGTACTGCTGTCCGTGTGTGGCCAGGCACCTCCCTGGTCAGCTGTGATGAGGACAGGCGGGAGCTCACACCAAGTCCCTGCCCCTCCCATTCTTGAATCCCCTGCCACAAGCCAGCAGTGTCAGGCCTCATGCTCTGTGGGCACCCCCAGCCCACAGCCAGGTCCCCTTCTTTCCAGTTTGCTGTGTTCTACAAAGGGGACGAGTGCCTGGGCAGCGGGAAAATCCTGCGTTTGGGGCCATCGGCCTACACACTGCAGAAGGGCGGGAGCAGAGCCACAGCAGTCCCCAGGGGCTCTGGGGATAGCCCAGGTGACAGCCCAGCCCTGTGTCCCACACCCTGATGGGACAGGCTGCCAGGAGAGGCCTGGAGAGCAAGCTCAGGACTGGGCAGCCCAGGCTTGGTGCTACCTAAACCAGGGGAGCCTGTAGCCCTGGTGTCACCCCTTGAGGAGCCCTGCCTTCTCCATGTTGGGTGGCTCTGTGCCCCGGGCCTGTTCTGGAGTCCTCTCACACCCACTCCAGGGAAGATCCCCTGTCCAAGCATGCTGCAGGTCACGGGGCTGTGTGGGCCATGGGACAGCATTGAATAAAAATTCATTCTGTCTGGGACGAGGAGTCTGACTGCTATGTCTGAGGGCCAGGGCAGGCCTGACCGAGCCATTTCAGCTCAGCTCGTTGCCAGCATGCTGGCGGTATGGACAGCTGGGTAGATGGTACAGGGACCTCCACTGCTTTTCCTCTTGTTCACACTTCCGAGGACGACTCCAGTTGGACAGAAGTGTGTCCAGAATTCTGTAAGAAACCTATCTTGCAGACAAAGTGATTAAGGGTTAAGCCTGACTGCCACCTTGACTGGCCTGGCTGCTGCCTAGGCATTTTGTATAGCACACTTCTTGTGGGTGTGTCCTGGTGGGTCACAGAGCTACAACCTTGGGCTCTGTATCTGGGTTCCACTTTAGTGCTCTTTCCAGTTGCTCTTCTTCCCAGCCACCATGAACAGGGCAGCTCTGTTCTTCCACATCCCTCACCATGATGCTCTTGCCTTAGAGCCGACCATGGACTGAACCCCTGGAATCATGAGCCAATTAAACCTCTCCAAGTTGTGGGTATCAGGTAACCCATCCCAGCAGTGGGAAAGCTGACCAAGACAGAAGCCAAGATAAAGCAGCCCAGAGGTTAGGGCATGAGGAGAACCCCAGGGAGGTAAGGACTGGTGAAGTGGTCAAGGCCTTGCCAGTGGAACCCACGGTTCCCTGGGAAGACAGAACTAGGGCAGGGAACATGACTGGGTCTCATGCTGCTGGAACAAATGATGTTAAAATGAGGGTTTTTCACCTGGTTCGGGCTCACTCTGCATACAGAAACCCCAGGAAAATGCCCAGAGACAGCAGACAGGTTTTGAGCACAAGATGACCCAGCCACCACACCATGCCCCAGTGAAACAGTGGCAGCTGCAAGGCCCCACCAGGGAAATCAAAATAGGAAGCCACTGAAGTTTTAAAACTGAAAATTACAGTACTTGAAATAAAATAACTGGACAAGCTTAGTAGCAGAATTAAGACGACAGAAAAGCATAAGTGAACCTGAAGATTGATCACTGCAAACCATCAAATCTGAACGGAGAGGAAAGAGATGAGCAGAACTGAGGTGCGGAGGGAAGGTACCCAGAGGTCTGTATCTGTCCCTGGGCATCCAGAGAGGAGAGAGATTGGAACAGGAGAAAACCTGACACTGGCTGAATGTCCCAGATGTGACAGGCACACTTCCTGCATTGCAGGAAGCCCTACATAAGTCGCCCCATCATGGTGTGGCAGGCCAGAGGACATGACAGTTTTGGGGGGTCCATCCACGTCCCAGGAATGGCCTGTACATCCATGGAAGGTTTTACCACACTGCCCCCGGGGACGGAGTGGGGTGGAGGCAGAAATAGCAAATGAGGGGTACAAATTCAAAATCTTAATTTATTGTAGACTCTTCTCATCTGTGTTGTCATTCCAGTGTTCTGCACATAATAAATACACATTTGTTAAAAACCTCCAGTGTCTAATCTCTCCCATAAACTCATAAAAATAGGTTTACATTTTTCCTGTCTTGAAACTTTTTTCTTTTTTTTTTTTTTTGGTAACAGTTCTGATCACATTTAAAAAGCAACACTCCCAGGGCTGAAATCCACCCGAGGAACGGTAGGGAACAGGAGAGCAGGTTCTCTTAAAACCTGGAAACACAGGTGCCTCCCCAGTGCAGACCTCCGCTTCAAGGCTGCACACCTGTGAGGCACACAGCAGTCCACTCAGGGTCCCCCTGTTCTGGGGCAGCCTTTGGCCCTGTCTGGTTTTCCACCCTTGGGCAGTCATTCAAGCAGTGCCCACGTTTTCCTCAGACTAGACGGACACAGCACAGAATGTGTGCATTTCACTCGATTCTCTTATTGTTCAGTTCCTCCTGTTTGGCAGCAGGCGTCTGATCACGTATTTGGGCACCTGATTTAAAGAACAAAGGCAACGCTGAAATCCAATGTGTCTGGCTAACTCCAGGCCCTGTCCCACAGCCCCTCGGGCCACACTGTGCCGATGCTGCAGCCACAGTCTCCGTGTGAGTTTCCAAAAACAGTTCATAAGCATTGAGCAGTGTGCCTGTGGCTTTGTCCCTGTGCACAATTGGCCATTTGAAGCAAAATGATGTAATTGGTAGACTCTGGGGGTGGGGCCCCCAGCCTGCTCAGAGAGGCCTGGAGTCTAAAGGAGCTGGAAAATTGGCAGGAAGGAATGTGATATCCTGGAAGACCTCACAGCTCCATCTGGATTGGGAATGTGAACACTGAGCTACCCCCGGGAGCAGAAGGGGACAAAGGAATGCCTACCTGTGGTACTGGGCTACTGGGCAGGGCTCCAGTGGGCCTCACTGGGCCCAGCACCAGGGTGGGTAGGGATGGCATGCTGTCAGGAGTGACCTGCCTGGTCCCAGGTGGCCCTGTCAACCCACGCCCCTGGGGCAGATGGGCACCGAGGGCACACATGCTCAGAGCATGCGCTGTGGGCTGGGGCAGTGGGGGCACCCACACTTCCCTGCTCACCAGCTGGAAGCAGCTACAGGGACTAGGTTTTGACCTCACTGCCGAAGTCCTCCCCACCTCTGCTCTGCTGGGACACAGGCAGTGTCAACACATCCCCGGTTCAAGTACAGCCATGCAATCAATCTTATACAAAAGTAGCAGGACATGACTCCACGGATTGTCCGCATCCAGGCCAGTACAAATGAAAACTGCACAGCTTCCATCCTCTGCGAGCCCGGGACAAGTACACAGAAGCGCTCCCACCTTGCAACACTAAGCCAAGTGGCTTAGGACAAGGCTGCCTTTGCAGAAGCAGTCCAGGCGCTGGCCACAGGCCGGTTCCTCAGTGGGTGCCGCAGGGATGGAGTCCCAGCCATGTCCAGCGTCTCTGAGCCCTGGCGAGCTGAAGGTGCGCCTGATGGCTCTCCTGCTGCGCTAGGCCAGCCCAGGCTTGGCCAGCTCTTGCACTGGGCCCCCGGCCAGGCCAGAGGTGTGGCTTTGTTTCTGTCTGCAGCCAGGACCAGCTGTGGCCCAGAGGCCATGTCTCCCTTGAAACCTCCTGTGGCTTTGGCACTTGTCACAGGGCTGACCAGCCCTGGTCCCCAGAAGGGCCAAAATCTGTCTGGGTGATCCCCTGTGGAGCTGCACCTGCGGCCCCCGGGCTCTGTGGTCCAAGGGCCCTGCCCCAGCAGCCTGTGTAGGTGACAGGTGGTCTCACGGTTTCCTGATGGTTCAAATTGAAGTTTCATTACTGCCTCTGCGTGTGGGAAGAAGTCATCAGGCAGGCAGGGTCAGTGAGGGCATAGTACGGAGTCTGTCCCGCAGGGGCAGAATCCTCCCACTCTGGGGAGGGGGACATGTGGGGCCCCACCCTGCCCCCTCAGCCCTAGAGTCCAGGCCACTCACTCGGAGTCGGAGCCCTCGGCCTGGGCACTCCCCACGCACACGTTCATGGCCACCCCATTGAGGTGCTCTCGACCCGGCTCCCTGCCGGGGTTCTTGATGGTGATGACACAGTCGGGGGCATGGACGCCATCGCCAGAGCCCAGGGAGGAGGTGCGCGAGGACGCTGGGCTCTGCTTGCAGTCGGCCAGCTTTTCCCGAAGCCGGCACTTGAGCGGCTGCTCAGGGAGTGGCGGTGGGTAGGTGACCTTGTTCTTCAAGATGCCTGGAGGAGGAAGGGGCCCAGGTCACACCCAGGCAGACACTACTGGGCTCACAGACTCCGGGTGTGGAAGCAAGGACTGGGCCAGATGGTCACCTCTGACCTGCCGGGCCCCACCCTGCCCGAGAGACCCCCGCCGCCCCCACCCTCAGGTCAGGTACCTCTCCTCTGCTCGGGCAGCTGGGTGCCCAGCACGGCCGCAGGCTTGGTGGGGTCCAGGGGGCGGCTGCCACAGTGGTTGCCCTGCTCCTGCCCGTGCAGCTCCACGCTGACCTTGGTCTCCACCCGCAGCGGGGGCTCAGGGCCCGGCTCCTCGCTGTCACTCCCTGCCAGGCTCTCGTCGGGCCAGCCGGCCGGGATGTGGTTGGCCAGCGTGTCAGCTGAGACCAGAGTGACACTCAGCCCGGCCCACTGACGGCTGCGCCCCAAAACATGCTGCCTCTGGTGGCCCCGGAGAGTGGCCCCGACTCCCTCCGAAGGGAAGGAAACTGAGGTCCTGAGATGAGAGGCTTCCACCCTCCCAGGGCACCAACACTGGAAGCCACATCCGGCCCTCACAGGGACCAGCAGTGCTCCCCCTCACTGCCTCGTGCGGCCACAGCTGTGCCGGGAGGTCCTGGAGGAGGGGACACTGAGGCTTGCCTCAGCCTGCCATCCACAGCCCAGGCTGGCCTGCATGCCGCTCACCTTTGGGGGTGCTGTGGACAGGGCCCCCGGCTGAGTCCCACTTGTCCTCGGCTTCCCCGATGTCGTCCTCACTGTCTGACGAGTGTGAGGAAGCGTAGGAGCTGCTCTGCTCACCCAGTGACATCTCACTGTCTGAATCCGAATCAGGGCCTGCATGGGCATGGTGGGTGGCTCAGGCACAGGCCCAAGTACAAGGTTCCCCTCATGGGCGTGTGTCCTCGTGTGGCGGAGGGCATGTGGGCAAACCAGTGTATGCCGGGGGAGCCATACCATGGGCTTTCTTGGAGTTCCTGGGGACAGGAGACGAATCTGGCTCCCCATGGCCACCACGTGCTGGCCCTGAGGACACACTGAGCTTCTGCACCCCTTCATCCCTGGGAAGAAGAGGGGGCTCAGGACTGTCGCTCAGAGGGACAGACACAGCAGCGACTGCATGGCCACGTGGGCTCTGGAAGGTCCCCTGAACTGTCCTGATCAACAGCATCGACACAGAGCCTCCCTGGGCGCACGGGGAACAGAGCCCGTGGCTCCCTGGCCCTCTGCCCCAAGGCTGCCTCCACGCCCACCCCACAGCAGGAGGGCGCTGACCTGGTGGTGCTGTCCAGGGAGGCGGTGGACTCGCCCAGTGCCGTGCGGAGCATGTCGGGCCCCTCGCTGTACGTGTTGTTGCAGTTGAGGGAGCGCTGGGGGAAAGGAGGCAGCTCAGAGTCCCTTAGCTTAACCCAGACCTGCACCGGAGCCGTGTCCCTGCCTGGTGCACAGGAGGAGCCCACACAGAGCCAACAGGAGCCTGGGCAGGCCAGGGGAGCTCTGCCTGGCCTACACTGAGGCCACTGCATCCAGGTCAGGTTCCTTGCTGCCCTGGTCCTTGTTTTCCCTTGAGAGCTGATTCTGCTCATTTTCCCAGGCAGCATCAGGAGCAGCACTCCAGGGACAGCTCTGGGACATGAAGCTACAGCTCTCCCTTGAGGGGACCACCCAGCTCCCAGGCCCAGGGTGCCTCCTACCGTCAGCAGAGTGGCCCTCGTGGTGGCTGATTCGTCCAGGTGCGGCTTCTTCCCAGCAAGCACGGCCCTCAGGTGCTTCCGGACCTCCCTGTTGAGCACGCAGTGGGACAGGAGGACGAAGAGGCCCTGGCGGGAGGAGGTAGTTGTCAGCAGCGGGCCCAGGGGAACCCCAGAGACTGAGGCTGGGCAGGGCAGCCAGCACACGGGGCTTCTTGGGTCCCCTCCACATCCTCTAAACTCACTAGGCAGCACTTGGTGTGACCATAAAGGGCCACTCCTCTTCTGGGGACCCAGCGGGATCCGGTAACCTGGCATGGCGGGCAGGGACCCAGCCTCCTTCCTGGTAGTGAGACTGAGCGCGAGGCTTCTCCCTCACCCTTTTCCACAGTACTGTCCCAGGACAGAAGCCCCTCAGGCGACTCAGGGACCCCTACCTGCAAGCAGCTGAAGGCGGCGAAGAGGTAGTGAAAGCTGAGCGAGTCGCTGTTCACGGCCAGCAGCCCCAGCAGCCAGGTGGCGCTGACGAGCAGCAGCAGAAGGAAGGCCGTCCTCAGCAGGGAACTGTGGGGGGACGGCCAGGCCAGACTAGGGTCAGGTCGGCGCTGTCCTCCTCCGTCCTCCTCCCGTCCTGCAGGACATCTGCTGTCCCTCCAGTCCCCTTCGTCCCCAGCCCTTTCTAAGCACCTTCAGGAGCCAGGCCCACCCTCCAGGGCAAGGCAGGCAGGAGTGCTAGTGGGAACGGCTGGGAAGGCTGCCACAAGCCAACTGTAAATTCCTAACAAAGCAGGCACCTCCAAGGCTACACCGGCCACTGCCCGCACCTCTCCCAGAGGCGCTCAGGTCCTAAGGCCTGGGGCATGAAGATGCCAGGAAGCAGGTCTGTGTGTGTGCCCGCTGCATGTGCGATTCCCCACCTGCCCATAACTAGCTGTGTGACTCAGGCAAGCGACTCGCTGCTTCAGTCTCCCCATCGTGAAAAACCCTCTCCACCCCCCACCCACCAGTCAGGACTGGTCCCAACTTACCGGACCCCCTTTCTCTCATAGTAATGGTGCTTTCTCTGGCAGGAAACCTTTGCAGACAGGACAAAGATGACTGTATTGATCTGGAAAGAGAGTCAGATGGTCGCCCCTTTAGTCTTATTGACCCAGACCTCCCAATGCTTCTGCAGCTTCTCTGAGGTGGGATCTGCCCCGGGCCTGCTGGGTGAGACTGTCCTGTGCCAGGCGACAGCCAGCACCCTCAGCTTGCCTGAATGGGGATCCTCCTGAGGCCCAGGGAACATGAACTGTGACCCCCAAATCCATGGACCTGAGGGTGTCCTCAAGGCAGCCTTGGTGACATCACTGTGAGATGAGCCCTTCCTGCCCACCCTCGGCTGCCTGGGCTCCTGTGTCCCTGTGTGCCCAGAACAGTGGGTTCTGTGAAGGCCCCAACACTTACAATGATGACAGCTCCAATGGGCCCGGCAAAGCTCCAGATGAGTGAGTCGTGGAGTGACAGCCAGCAGAAGTCAGGGTTCCCGTAGCCCTGGGGATCCAGGCCAACTGCCAGCCCTGGGTACATGACGGGCAGAGGAGGGTGAGGGCCACACTCCTGATGGCTGCCCCCACACCCAGGGCCAGGCGGGACGGGGCTGTACCTGGCACCCTGTACTGCCTCCCCGAGAGGAAGAGCAAGGGGCCCCACAACACCCACCAGGATGAGACCGAGGCCCGGAGCCCACACTGGCCCCTCAGCAGAGCAAAGCAGGCCATGTCACAGGCCAGCTGCACCCCGAAGCTCCTCACAGGCACTGCTGTGGATCTGCCGTCCTACAGAGGCAGAGCCCACAGGGCTGGGCTTCGGAGAGGGATCAGAGCCAGGAGGGCAGCGACCCAGGCACACAGCGGCTGGGAGGAGCCTGCCAGGGCTGCTCAGACCCACGCAAGGCACCAGGGAGGAAGGAGCAGCCCGAGACGGTGGGGGACAGCATCGCCTACGGGGTTGGTTGTGCAGCACAGGCACACAGACCACACATAGTTCATCATGCACACACACACACAAACACACACAAGCAGTTTCTGCTGCCTCACGTGTGGAGGTTAGTGCACACGGTGTCCCCACGTCACCTAGAATAGCATCTTTCTTTCTAAGCACTGGTGACAAGCTGGCTTTCCTGGGGCTCCCTCCTGTAGCTCCCCAACTGCCCTTGAGTCATTCCACACCCCTGTTCTCCTTACTTAAATCTTGAGAAGACCAGGACTTACTCTAATGACCTCCCTCGGCCTTGAGACTCACTGGGCCACTTCCGTGGCCTCCAGGGCCCTCATGGTAGGCTACAGCCCCTGTGCTGCCCCAGTGCCTTGTCCTGGCCTCAGGTCAGGTGCCAACTGGACACACTCCCTGCTGGGTCCCCAAGTGTGCCACCTTCCCACACTTCTGCCCTCCAGGTCGGGCCGTAAGGGCCCCTGCTCCCAGAAGCCCGTGCCTGCTGAAAGCGAGAGCAGCCTCCCTGTCCTCTGCACCCCCTTCAGGACCTGGTGTCAGGTGAGCTTCACTTACCACCCTCTGCCCTGGAGGGGCGGCTCCCCCAGGACAAAGGCTTTGCTTCCTCCCTAGCTGCTGAGCCCAGGTCTAGATCGGAGCTGGGTATAAAGGGGGATGAATAAGCAAGTTAGGCAATGAAGGGGTGCATCCCCCAGTCACAGGGGACCTGGACAATGGGGACTGCAAGGGGCCCCAGTCCCCCAGTTCCCCAGGGGACAGCCAACTGCAGGGCTAAGACCACAGCCGGCAGCCCAATGCGTTCAGCTGAGGTTCCTCGGAATCATTTTAAGATCCCTTCGAGAGATGTGGGGTTTTTTTAAAACCTGTTTTTAAAGCAATTGGAGATGTGTACTATCTGGATTTGGATTCCAAAGCCTGCTCGGAGGCAGTGGCTTCCCACACATCACAGAGGCCGTGGGGGCGGCCTCTTTCTGCACAAGGCTTCAAGATGCCTTTAAGTGGAGACGCTAAAAAGATCATTTGTGAGAACCCGCTTCTCAGTTCAGTGCTCTCTTACAGTGATGCATCCTAGACCCTGACATGGCTCTGCCTGCTCTGCGTGGACAGAGGACTCCGTCCCTCAGGGCCTGTGGAGGGGATGCGTCCCAGCCGCAGTGCCTCCTTAGCACTCACTTCACCAAACGTCAGCCAGCATTGGCTGCCTCGGAGAAAGGTCCCACTTCTGTGCACACCAGGAGAGCCGGGCTGCCTCACAGGTGACCCCCGGAGGGTCCCGGGTGGGAGCAGAGGACTCAGGAGGCTGGGACCCGGTGGCCCAGTGACCTGTGCAGGGCCTGGGGGCAGGAACGACCCCTCCCCAGGGCCTGTGGCCTCAGACTATGTTCAGATCAAAGGAACCAGGGATCACCTGTGAGAAGCGAGCTCAGCTCTTCTGCTGGGCACAGAAGAGGGATCTTTCTCGAAAGGAAGCAAACGCTGACTTCGTGATTTTTTTTTTTGGTACTGGGGATTGAACTTGGGTCCTTGTGCTTGCAATGCAGGAGGCGGAACCACTGAGCTAAATCCCTGGCCCTGTCTTTCTTTTCCTTTTTAAAATTAATTTTATTGGTACATTTTACATATACAATATAGTGACATTTATCTTTGGAAATGTGCACCTTCACATAATCTCTCTTGGTTCGTATTTTTCCCCCTTCCCCTGCCCTCCCTTCAACCCCTCCATCCCTCCCTATTTACAAAGACTTTGTTTCCATTTTTTCATTTTCTCACCTGACTTTCTTTCTTTCTTTCTTTCTTTGGTACCGGGGATCGAACTCAGGACCTTGTGCTTGTGAGGCAGGCACCGGAACCACTGAGCTAAATTCCCCAGCCCTGACTTTCTGATATTCAGTGAAATGCATACTAAGGAGGCACTGCTATTCTATCCCATGCTTCACTCAGTCACCCATCCACTCATCCACCATCCTTCCCATCTGTCCACTTACCTATCCACTGACCCACCCTTCCATCCACCCACCTTTCCCTCCATTCATCCACCCACCCATCCGTCCACTCGCCTATCCATTAACCCCTTTCTTTCTTTTCTTTTTTGAGACAGGATCTTGCTATGTAGCCCAGGCTGGGCTTGAACTCACTATGTAGCCCAGGCTGGTCTTGAACTCACGGCAATTCTCCTGTCTCAGCCTACTGAATGCTGGGATTACAGGCATGCACCACCACACCTGACTCACTAATCCATCTTTCATCCAGCCACTCATCCATCTACGATCCACTTATCCATCCATCTGTACTTCATTTATCTATCTGCCTATCTATCCATTCACTCACTTATGCTTTGACCCATCTTTCTATCCAGACACCCATCCATCTATTATTCATTCATCCACCCATCCTCCATCCATCTATCCATCCATCCCTTCATCCACCCACTGGCAGCCATGGAGCTTTTGTCCGTCAGGTGCTGTAGACAAAGAACAACTTGGGCCCAGCTCTTGAGAAGCCCACACCTGACCAGAGCCACATCTCCCAGGTGGGAACTGGGCAGCCTCACTTGTGTGTCCACAGTGTGTAGGGTCAGGAGAGGAAGGAGGGCAGGTGGCTCTTCCTGCATGCGGCAGCTGTTGTTCCTGGGCCAGCTGTGATGCACAGAGCCCCACTGAGCAGTGGTCCACTGGAAACCTGTATTTTCATGCAGGCCGCCCTGGTAGGGCTGCTCTGTCCTCACCTGTGACAATGGCCGGGATGCCCCAGCCCACGACATAGTAGAACCTCATAGGCCCGGCATCGATGTTGCGCACCTCGGTCAGCATGCGGTAGACGTGCAGGCTCTCCACCAGGGTCCAGGCGAAGGTGCTCATGTAGGTGTAGTGGAGCAGGATGGCGACCACTGTGCAGAGGAACTGCACAGAGAGAGGCCGGGCTCAGGCTCAGCAGGGCCCCTGCTGAGGCTGTCACGTGAGCACGGGGATGGGAGGGACCACACTGGGCCACCCTGCTACGTGAGGGGTCAAGCTTCTCCGCTCTCCTGTGTGTCATCAGGGCCAGCTGAGTGCCAAGGACCACGGTGTCTCAGGATTTCAAGGTGGAACCAAGGACAGAAGGAAGCAGGCACCCAGGGGCCCTGTCCAAGGAACAAGGAACAGGCAGGACAGCTCCTTTTTTAAAGAGAACCCGGAATATATGCTGTGTGATGGCTCCAAAATTTAAATATTGGCATTTAATTTAAAGTTGAAATAGAAAAAAGAAAAACACTGTAGAGCTGGATCTGTGCCCACCCCCGCTGGCCTCACAGGGGTCCCCACCACCCAGGGGGTGTGGCAGAGGGAGAGAGGGCCTTCGTGCAATGACCTCACTGTCCAGCAGGAATAAGGTCCTTAGGTTTCCTGCCGAAATAAAACAGGGACAAAAGCTTCTGTCCTTGGCTGGTCAGGGGCGTGTGTCTACCCAGTGACCAAGCGCAGAGAAGAGAAAAGCAATGTCCACAGGGTGGCCAAGGGCCGCTCACCTGCCCTCAGAGTGGAGGGCGGCCCTGCTCGCCTGGGCACAGAGACGGTGAGGGGCCAGGAGTTGGACAGGGCGAGGAGCGGCGGGGACACCGGGGTCACAGATGTTCAAGCTCCGAGGCTGTGAGCACAAGTCCGGCCCCGCAAGCCCTGGACAGGACTTGAAGATGTGGCCTAGGGCAGCTTCAGGAGGGCTTTCAGGGAGGACCTGCCTGGGTCAGGCTTCTCAGGCCAGACAGCGGGAGAGGGCGGGAGGTATCCATCCAGGGGCCAGCCCGGGGTGGGGCTCGAGCACCCCGACTCGACCACACAAAAACCAGAGCTCACAGAGCCACGCCCATACACAGGCCCCGCCCCGACCGCTCCCACAGCAGGGCCTCCGCGGCTCCACCCAGCGCGCTGCAGCCTCGCACTGTCCCCGCCTGAAGGCCTTGCATGCCACACACGTGAAGGTGTAGCAGAGGGCCACCATCCTGACCCCGCCAGGGAAGCACCTCTGCTCGGGCACCGGGTCAGTGCACCCTGAGGGCAGGTCAGCAGCACAGGCTGGGGCCACGACCCAGGACCCCAGGGCCGTCAACTCTTTTTATTTTGAGGCCAGATTCTCTCCAGAAATAACCCCCAGGAGGGGGAAGGAACTATTTTCTGCTAACATTTGTCAGATCTGCTGCCGAGCAGGAACCCGAGTGGAAAGAGAAGCGATCTGATGTATGGTTGGGGACAGGGTTGCCCTTCGGCTGCCCAGGAAGCCAGCTGCGGGCGGTGTGCCTGGCTGGTGACCCCATTTCCCTAGTGGAAAGTGCAGCCAGCTTGGGAAAAGGAAGAGGGCGAGAAGATTGCCTTTCTTGCTGCCTTCAATAACACAAAAAGTTGGGCTGGGGATTTGGCTCAGTGGTTTCACCACCTGCTGCGCAAGCGCAAGGACCCGAGTTCGATCCCTGGTACCAAAAAAAAAACCCCCACAAAAAGTAAACCCACAAAACCACCGCTTGATAAAACAAGCACTAGAAGTACAACTTTCTCCATTCAGTGGGTCGCACACCCAGACTTCTGCACCAAGCCTACTGCCGTTTCCAGAGCAGAACAAAGAGGAAACGAAAGCACAGTAAATCATTTCAGCCTGCCAGGGGCTGGGAGATGGAAAACCTCACCCAGAGACAGGATTGAGAATTTAGAGAAAACGCACAAAGGCCAGGCCCAGCGCCAAGCCCCAGGAGCTCCTAGAATCGGCCTCCTCCGTTTGTCCTGCTCCCCAGTGCTACACTGCCTGGAAAATGCTCCGTGCAGGCGGCTGACAAGTCAGACACAGCTGGGTCCTCCACATTTCACTGAGGTGCAGCTGCTGTCCAGGCCTCTGTTTCCCTCCAGCTGAGCCCCTTGAGCATGGGGACCGCGCGGCTCCACCGGGGCCCTTACCTGTCTGGTACCTTAAGATCCCGCACGCAGGTGGAGGTGAGCCTGCCTCTCAGGTGCTGGGAGAGGCCCCTCCCACAGTGCGCACACTAACCAGCGCCTAGCCTTGGGGAGCAATGGTGGGCAGCAGGAGGCTGGGCCCTTGCTCATTGAATGGAGGCCCAAGCTAGGCTCAAACTTTCGATCCTCCTGCCTCAGCCTCCTACAGAGTGCTGGGATTACAGATGTACACCACTCACGTCCACTTGTCTTTCATTCCTTTTCCCCTAGGGCTATGCACCTGCCAATGGGTGTGTCAGCATGTGACCTGGGGCAGAGGACACCAGCCTGGGTGCCCAGGGTGTTCCCACGGCACCGGACACCACGCACACGCGGGTGAGCACACAGTGCTGTGTATATCAAGACCACAGGCCACAGTGCCAGGGTCCCCAGGGCACCCAGAAAAGCCCGGTCTGCCTCAATGGTATGATCCCAAGGGCACACAGAGGGCACCGGCCGGCAAGGGCTGGCTCACACTTGCTTGTGCTGTGGATGACTGTGCAGTCCCAACCCAAGAAATGGGTCATCCCAGAGTCACAGGGCTGGGGGCTTAATGAGGGGATTGAGGATCCAAGAAAGGTGGCCTGATTATCGCTGTCCAGAACACACTCACTGGCTTTACCTGTGTAATGCTACGAGCTTCCGCGACCCTCAGGTGCTGCACCCCTGCATTCAATCAGATCAAGCGTCTCTGCCTTTCTCTCCTCCTCCCCCATCTGCTCGAAGCTATTTATGCTCCAGCAGCTGCCCCACCATGCCCAGGCCTGCTGCAGACTTCTCTCACAATGCTCATGAACAACATGGACCACACATCTTCTGGCCACCAGCGATCCCGTGACAGTGCCAGGGACTCTGTGATTTTCTATGACCTGAGGGTCCCAGCTTCACACAGGAGTCCCTGCTGCACTCACTGAACTGCAACATTCGTGGCACCCCCCACCCCAGCCCCTTAAAAAAGCAAGCAAGGCTGGGCATAGTGGTACACGCCTATAATCTCTGCTCGCCTGGAGGCTGAGACAGGAGGATTCCAAGTCTGAAGCCTGTGTGGCCGCTTTTCAAGATTCTGTCTCAAAATAAAGAATAAAAATGGCTGGGGATACAGCTCAGCACTAGAGCAGCTGTGAGCAAGCGTGAGGCCCTGGATTCAAGTCTCAGCACCACTGTGCCTGTCTTGCAGGAAAACAGGAAGAGGAGAGGTGGCACACGGTGCCACCTGGGGACACCATGCTGGGCAAAGGGAGCAGAGGGCCTCACCGGGTTCTCTGTCTGGCTGATGCCGACTACGAAGACCAGCTGGGCGGAGAAGAGGGCTGCCGTGAGGCTCCTGTGGATGCTGTGCAGGTTGGAGCGCAGGGTCTGGACCAGGGTGAGCAGCACGAAGGCCACCAGCAGGGCCACCAGGGACAGGGCCATGGCAGCGTAGGTGACGATCTTCAGGGGCAGGACCTCCCCGTGCTGCAGGTGGGGTGGACAGAAGCAGGACAGGGTGAGGCTGGCTCTGCTGTACCCGCTCTCTACTGCACAACACGGGATTTCTGCACCCGATCGTCGAGGTATCAGAGACTGGCAGGACCAGTGCAGCTCTGACACCAAATAGCATGTCGGCCGTGAGCAGCAAGCTCTGGAAGCGGAGGCAGTGATGCCTGGTCAACAGTGGGGACACACTAAGGCCACCAACGATACCATTGTGAAAGGAGGATTTTCTATGATGGGTGTTTTGCCACATTTACAAAAGAAACCTCATACGTCAATCCTGTTGTTGGCGGATTCTATCTATCCAAAATCCTGAGCCCGGGAGTCCTTCCAAAGGGGCGTGGTGTATGCAAAAGGCGCTATGTCAAGCTGGGTGCACACCTGTAAATCCCAGTACTTGGGAGCCTGAGGCAGGAGGGTCACTGCAAGTTCAAGGCCAGCCTGGGCTCCATAGTGAGTTCAAGGCCAGTCCAAACTACGTAGTGAGATCCTGGGTAATATGTGACAATGTAATACCAATAGCTAACGTGTTTTGAGTTCTTATGTGGCAGGGATTCTCATAAGTGAGTCAAGTGCATTATTTCATATGCTTAGATGGGACTTTAAGAAAGTCCTACACATAGGAAAACTAAAGCTTCAGAGGCTGCAGAATTTGCCAGTGGTCACCCTGCTGGATGGGGGCGATGGGACCAACATGACACCCTGTATACTCAGCTGTCTCTGGCAGGAAGTGAATGGATCCTGGGCAGCTGCTCCTGTCAGACCAACGGACTTTTTATAATTTCCAGACCCTTCATCACCCATGTCTTAAAGGCAACCAGCACATCTTCAGTGGTGGTAAAATCTACACGAGAATCGCTACGTGAGCTGTTTCCAGTGTGAAGCTCAGAGGTAAATGATTCATGCTGGAAGCTGCTTCCTGGGTCTTTGCAAAGTGTCACCCCTGTCCAGTACCCTGTGCCTGGTCAGCTGTGGCGTGTGGGTCATCAGCTCTGCTGCTTGTGGTGCAAGAGTGGTGGGCCAGGAACTACCTGTGGGTCCCAGAAAGCCAGGACTGGGTAGGGCTGAGGAGGCTGGGTGCCCAGGGCCTAGAACTGCTCCTCCTTGGCTCCCCCAAGTGCCTGGGGTCCCTGGGAGCCTGCAGCACCCCAGGCTCTGTGCCTGGCCAAGGGCTCGTGGGAGACTTGTGGTTCTGAGGTGCCTTAGTATGGGGTCCTCTGACAACTCTGCATTCGTTTCTGGGCCCCCTAAGTCCTGCCCTTGTGTGGCCAAGACCACTGATAATTAAACTCCACCAGGGGCCACCTGCCACAGGAGGGGCGGGCCAGAGCATCACCAGTGTGTCACAGAAGGCTGCTCGCTTGCTCCAGTCTGAAGGCTGACACACGCTTTCAGAGTGTGCAGTGACCTCGAGCCACTTAACATCCCAGTGTGGGGAGGTGGCAGGTGGGGACTCCCTGGGTCTGGCTCGGACACCATCCCCGGCCTCCATGGTGGGAGGCCAGGTCCCCAGGCACCCGGCCCAAGCCCCTCTGCCAGATTCCTGCATCCTCAGTGGCTGCTCACATTCCCAGGCTGTTTGCGATGCCAGAGGGTAAATGTGATCACTCCACTGTGTGTGTGTGGGGTGCTGACCCCTTTGTCCTCAGGGCCACCGCTGTACAGGTCAGTGTCTACCAGCCAGATGGCCAGGGACCCTGCTCTGAAGGGGGTGACATTCCTGGAGCTCCAGGCCTCAGGTTAGGGTCTATACCGAGGATTTAATGTGCAGCCCAGGCTCTTAGAAAACCCTTACAGCCAGGGGTGGTGTTGCATGCCTAGAATCCCAGCACTCTGGGAGGCTGAGGCAGGAGGATTAGAAGTTCCAGCCTAGTCTGGCAACTTAGTGAGACCCTGTCTAAAACAAAAAGAAGGGGTTGGGGATGTAGCTCAGTGAGAAGGAGGACCTGGGTTCAATCCCCAGCACTGCAAATAAAAAACAAAACCCCACCTTTTAAGGGAGCTTTGTCAGGGACAGCCTCACGGATTCCTAGAATACGGGTTTTAGTACTTGCATTTGGTTTGCTCAAAGGGCTCAGAAGGATGATGCGGTTTGTGCAGGTCGGGCCGGGGGCCGGGCTGACTTCTGGCATGCACAGGGCTCAATCACTCTCCAAGTGAGTGGCTATGGGATGCCCACCTCGCGCCTCGAGATGTCCATGAGCACCGCGCAGCTGGTCACATGACTGCACTGGCAGGTGACGTGGGTCCGGTTCCGGGACACAAGCTCGCAGCCCTTGGCCGACCACCCTCCGGTCCCTCCAATGCTGTGGAGAATGGGAGCACGAGTGAGACAGTTCCCCTGTGAGGGGACACCAAGGGCCGCACTCACCTGCCCTGCGCTCTCTGAGGCCATCCTGGCCCAACAAAGGGAATTGGAAACACAGCACACAGCCACTGGCATCAAACCTCAGCCTCGGGCAGCCTTTATGAGGCCCGCACCTTCCCCACTGTGCAGAAGCCCAGTATGCGGCCCTCTCGGGCCCTGGCACCATGTGGACACTTCCTCCCGCCAACACTTCTGAAGTTCTGTGTCAAATGCCACTGCATGGCCTGTGGCCCAGGGCATCAGCCGTGGCCACAACAGTTGCTTTGTTCCCAGGCTGCACTTGAGCCTTGGTGACTTCAGAAATAACATCTCACCTTCTGCACACACTTTCATCTTCAGATTGCCCAACGTTTTAAAGCCAGAACTCAATTATGACTCCCGAGTCACAGAGGGGGAACCTCAAATAACAAGTGTTACGAGGGCCCTGCCCTCTCAACTCTGGGAAAGTCACATAACCGCTCTGATCCTTGCTTTACTCATCTGTAAATTGGGATGTGACGGTTAACATGTTTTCCAGAGTGTCAGATCCAGGGATAATAGGGTGACATTAAGCAGAGGGTGGATCACAGAGTCAGAGCTAATTGCCTGGATTCAAACAAATGACCTTGGACAGCCAGCCGTGCCCAGCAGCCACCCAGCCCTGCACACTGGACGCCTATGCCTCACGCCTGGTGAAAGGGCTTCCTTCACTCTCTCTTTGTAGGCACAGTGTCTATTATGCTCCAGACACTGTGCCGGCTGCTCATTAACTGCATCTGGAATGCATGGGGGCACAGAAAGAGACACTGGCCTGGGTAGGAGCCTGTTTGTTAAGCTGGGCCACCTCTGCATCCCACATCCCCACTCCACGGCCAGCTCCTCCGTCCAGGGGACCATGACATGGCCCAACTTAAGGCTGGCAAGTATGGGGCTCAGGCTGATCCCCAAGCCCTGGGCGTCCTTGCCCCATCCTGGGCTCTCCCCAGTGCAGGACGAAGCAGCACTGCCCTGCATGCGAGACCATGCTGAGGATAGTACCTCCACCCGCCTGCTCCACCAAGTCTCCTCCATGGTGACAGCGAAAGGGATACACATGGGTGGAGGAAAGCAAGCTCCTTGTAAAGCCAGGTGGCACCTCCGGCAAACCCTGCTACTACAAAGCCAACACACACGCCAGGACCCCACTGGCTTCTGGCTGAGGGGACATGGCACTGGCCCCCAAGCCAGTCTCGCAGGTGCACGAGTCCCTCCACACACTGGCTCTTCACCACGAGGCTGCTGGTGGGCATGGCTGTGCCCTACATTGCCCCTGCCGCTCACTGGAGGGCCTGGCAGCTTCTGAGCCAGACCTGACAAACCCTGTTGGGGAGGGGCTTCCTGGGCTGGGGGGCAGGGGATGCCAGTGCTGCAGCAGTGCTCTGGTTGGTCTCCTGGCTGAGGTCAGGGACCCTGCCTGGAGTTCCCAGGACCCAGGACCTGACCTCTGAGCCACACTTCCTGTGTGTCCCAGCCAGTCCTCACCTCATCTGCAGGGAAACGGAAACCTGAGTCTGCTGGATCAAGGGGTCCTGTCTCCAATGCCACCTTCTTGAGGGACCCTATGTGCCTGCATGGCTGAGTCTGTGTGCACGTGTCTGTGTGCATGCCTGTGGGTGCCTGTGTCTCCCCTATATATGTCTCTCTGTGATGCATGTGCACAGCTCTGTGTGTGTGCACCTTGGGGACCCTCTGACACCCGCAGAGGCAGTGGGGGAGGAGAGGCCACCTGCCCCATGAGGGACTGAATGGGGAGCAGTAGGCTAGGACAGAGGCGTCTGGGGGACCCTGAGCCGCGGGACCTGAGGTACACCGACCTCAGCACGGCCCTCACATGGAGTGCAGGGCTCCCCGGCAGGCAAGCCTCGCCAGCTCCCAGCCATACTTACTCCAGGGAGTGGTTCCAGAACACACAGACCGGCTTGGTCCGCTCCTCCGTCTCCAGCAGGACGAACTCCACCAACACTGGCCGCTCCAGGGAGCTGGGGAGCAGGGCCCCCTCGCTGTACACCATGGCACTCACCACCGGCGTGTTAATGATGGGCCGGTTGGGCAGCCTGGGGCAGAGAAGCAAGACCACGGGGACAAGTGCCATCAGGGCCACGTTTGTTTAAACTTGAGTGTGGATGCCACGAGGACGTGGGTCAGACCAGCAACTGAGTCACAGTCCACAAGCAGAGACCGCACCCTGCTCTCCGGAGAGCCCGTGTCTCAGAGCACAGGGTGCCCTCCACCTCTGGGCCAGAAGGTGGCTTCAGGAAGTTGAATATAGAGAGAAGTCACGTGTGGGAAGACCTCAACAGCCCAGGACACATGACAGCAGGGACAGTTCCAGAAATGACCACAGACCAGTCAGCCAGTCACCAGGACGACACAGGCATGAGGGCTAAGAGGTCATGCAGAGAGGCTCTGTGGCTGCGCTTGCTCGTCCATGCAACGACACAGGTGCGCTCAGGGACTACCTGTACCAGCTGCGGGGCAGGGCATGGGGCAGGACAGGACGGGCGGGAGGGGGAGCATGCCCTGGGGGCATCTGGGCTGAGCTGGTGGGGGGTATGTGTGGGCTGCTGTGAAGATGGGGCTGACCAGGACTCGACTCCTGGAAGCCCCAGGACCCCAAAGGATCAGCCCCACCCCCCCCAAGCTCTGGGCACCCGGCCTTACCAGAGGCTGCGGCGGTCAGGGTCATAGTGCTCAGGCAGGAGCTGGCCCAGGGTCCGGTACACAACGACCAAGGCCACTGCAAACTGACCAGGGCTGTCCGGGTGTCTCCTGCGCCTGCCGGTTGGGGCCTCCATCTCAGCCCCGGGCGCCGGGCGTGTCACCTGCGGTGTGGCCCTACGGAGGCCATCTGCAACCCAGCACAGGGCTGAGCACTTGGCAAAGAGCCTCGAGCTAGCACATTTTAAAATCCCAAGTGTCTGATGGCAAACGGGATGCTGGCTCCTCAAAGCTACACACAGAATTGCCATCCACTCCATTTTTGGGTCTATACCCAAAAGAACTAGAAACAGGGTCTTGAAGAGATATTTGCACACCCATGGGCAAAGCAGCATTATTCACCATATCCAAAAGAAGGAAGCAAGGCACATGTCTGTGACAGATGAGCCGCTAAGAAAGTGTGGTCCATCCTCATGATGGAATAGTATTCAGTCTTGAAAAAGAAGGGAATTCTGACACATGGCACCATGTGGGTAGACCTCAAGGATGTTACTCTATGAAATAAGCCAGTCACGAGGTGACAAACACTATAATTCCACTTCTGTGGGAGACCCAGAGGAGTCAATTTCAGAGACAGGGAGAATGGTGGCGGCCAGGAGCCACCCACGCCAGAAGGAGCCAAGGCGGACAGCCAGGAGCCTCGGCAGGGGCAGATGCATGCAGGGTCAGGGCTTTCTTCTGGGAACAACATAAGGATCACACACATAAGGAATGCACGCATGTACAAACACATATGGAGAACACGCACACATGCACACACACGCGTGCGCACACACACACAAAGAAAGAGTTCTCTTCTAGGTAAAGGTCCTAAGAACAGGTGCAGGCACACAAACTACTACACTCAAACTGTTCCACACGTATACACAGTCCCTCGGGTGAGCTCTGAGCAAAGCACAAACACAGCACAGAAAGTGGAAAACGCCCATCCATCAGCAATTCAGTCAGTTTGGAAGACAGGTCAGCATCAAGCTTGGCCCTAGGGCGTGAGATCCTTTAGTCGCTTGTACCCTCACACACCTGATAAGACTTATTCCCTACAAGCACTGTAGTTTTAAGTGGTCCCTTGTGGAGCAATGCTGGGAACAGGTTTTGGCAGAAGGCTGGCCACATGCAGTGTGGGATGCATCATGAGTCACCTAACTATGAGCTTGTAGGGAGGACACACGCCATTATGACTGTCCATGGAAGAGCACACCACTGCTGCGCACAGCAGAGGCACACTCTGCTCCCCTCCCGGGACCCTCAGGGCACGGCCCCCGCCTCCTGGGTGGGCAGTGGGTCTTCCTAAGGATTCACCTTTTTTCTCAAGTGGTTTGAAGACGTCAGCAGGGAAGGACACGGAGGATTCCAGTTCCCTGGGGAAATCTTCCTGAATATCCTCGAAGCGCGGTACCCTGGCACCCGTGAAGTTGAACTTGTCGAAGACGTCCACAGCGAGAACTGGGAACACAGGTCCCGAATCGCATGCAGCCACGGAGCATTCCCGAGCCCGTGCCGCTTCCAAAGTGACCATGGGTGTCATATCTAAACAACTGGCTGTCGATTTGTATCATTCTGTGTCCTTTGAGGGTGACACTCAGAACACCTGGGGGTGACGTGGAAGGGGCTGCACCCAGACTCAAGTCCCTGGCAGGCAGGATCTGTGGGGTAAGCCTGGCCACGGCACAACTGTGAGCCCTGCCACGGGGATCATCTTGTGTCCTTGTAGCCCGTCCGGGCAGCAGAGACGACTGTCACACAGGCAGTGGAACTTGCGAACTGTACCCTGCACTGCCCAGCAGCATGGGCCAGCACTGCCCTTGCCCACTGTGTGTGGCCAGTCTTCTGTGCTGTCTGGGGACAGCCCACAGGGGCTGGTGACAAAGGGGCAGTCACGCCTGCTTGTGCCAGGGGACCTGCCAGTCATCTTGTTCGACCCACCACTTCCCATAAGCAGGGCAGGCCCACCTCAGGGGTAAGGCTGTGGCCAAGACCCTGAGTGTCAGCGCCAAGGCCGGTTTTGGCGTCCCTCTGAGGGTACCAGCAGGGCTGCCACCCCCCTCAGGCCCTGGGGACTTTGTGCCAGTCTTGTCTGGATGGGGTGGGGCTGGTGCTGCCATTCTGTGGCTTTCTCTGCCTGAAGGGCTCTGACCCAGGGCAGCAAGTCCTGTGCTTGGGGTGATATGGCCCCAGGTACTGGTTTGCTGATGGCTCTGCTCCTGCCCCAGGGGGTGGGGTGCACATCTTCCCCCACCGCCCGGGAACTGGCTGGTGGTGACCCTGCACTTGTGTTTACCATGTCCCTCCTGTGTCTGTCCCCATGGCTGTGACCCTGGGGGCCTCTGTGCACCCCCAGCCCCAAGCTTCACAAGGAGTCTCCACACTGGACCCACAGCCCAAGGGCAGAGCCTCTGCCAACCCCTGGCCCAGGCCAGATGTGTACATGACTCCAGGATCCTCCTCCCGAGGGCCACGACCTTGACCAGTTCTGCCATTTTACAGACAGAGGACGGAGGACAGAGCCATTGGCTCACTTCTCCGAGTCTGGCCCAGCTCACCCCCAGCCCGCCCAAGATGGCCCTGGGCCCCCCTGGCCCGTACTCATGTTGGCAGTGACGAGGACAAAGGGCCGCAGGTAAGTTCTCCGCAGGTTGCGTGCCACGTTGCTGAAGTAGGCCTCAAAGCGCCTCAGCAGTTGTGCGGCACCAGCCTCACTGCGCTGGATCTGCTCCCACGCGGCCCTGGTGTCCGGGGCCAGGAGGGCGCTGCCCGTGTGGACGACGTCCTGGTCAGACAGATGGACAGTGAGTGCTCAGCCCCGAGCCTGAGGAGGCCTGGCCACCATGGACACACCCAGGCTCTGCAATGCTGTCGGCTGGCCGGGGGGAGAAGACACAGCAGGGGACTCAGCCCCCACAGCCAGCTGTCAGGAGGGTGTCACAGCAGGTATGCCCAGGACACTAAGGCAGACACACACAGACGCCTCTGGACACGTGGGAGCCCAGGACTACTCTGGGGAAAGCAGGTGATCCGAGGGCCACTCACGTAGCCAGGCAGGGGAGCAGTCAGTGACTGGTGTGACACTGCATCTGCACACATCAGAGGGTGGCCTGGGGCACAGGGGACACAAGGAGATGGACCAGAAATAGAGCGCAGTCTCTGTTACGGCCCACGGCTTCAGGTGGGGTCCACGTCACAGTGAGGGGCCTCACCATGCTGTGAGTGCTCAGCATGGATGGGGACGAGGGGTCCTGGAGCTCAGGAGGAGGCCTGGCCAGGAGCTGCTCTGGTCTAGAGGTTCCCAAAGCGAAGGGCTGGAGGGGGCAGGGCTGGGGTGGAGGGGCCCTGGGGCGTGGCCAGGAAGGGGCTCTCCCTCTGGCCCCTCCTGCGCTCTCCACTCACCGGTCACCATTTCTCCTCCACCAGGCCTTTCTGCCAAGCCATGGACCATGCAAGGACCGAGGTGACAGAGACTCCTGAAGCTGAGGGCCCAAGTAACCCTCTCCTCTTTTAGCTGTGGGTGTTGGGGATTTGTCCTGGTGATGAGGTAAGTGACTAAGACAGCAGCTGATGAGCAGCCTGGGGACACCCGGGAGCAGGTCACAGACCTCAGGACCCGGGCGCCTCTCGCCAGTCAGGCCCATAGGCATTGCTAACTGGACTCGGGGCAAGGGCTCTTTCCAGAGCCCACCACTGGCCCTGCCATTTACAAGCCATGCCCTGGACAGCCCTTTAGCTCTCAGTGCTGGCTACCCTGGCACATGCTATTGGTCCGCAATGTCAGCAGCCACTGCTGTCACCGTCATGGCTGTGACTGCACCTTCCCCGCCCCACCGTGAGCACACTAACACCTGCCTCAACCCGGAGACGGGGAAGCAGCACCTCGAGGAACCACACAAGGGGCTCGGCCTCCGTCTCCTACCTCATGGAAGTCAGCATCACGTGTGGCCGCCAGGTCGAAGCCCTGCTGCCCGCTCTCGTGCTGCAGGACACGGGCCAGCAGCTGGTAGGCTGTGCGCACATCATTGCCGAAGAGTGAGCCACCCAGCCTCGTGGCATTACGCAGCACCTTCACCAGCCGCAGGGCCTGGTCGCCGTCCATTCGAGACTCATTTCGGCTCAGCTTCTCATTCTGGAATGGGGGAGCAATTCTAGGGTTTGCACACTGATAGGCTGCCATCGGTCTCTCCTGTTACTCAGATTCCTGACTTTCCAGTGCAAGTTTCTTGCAGAAAGGAACTTTAAAACCCCAAAGTCCCAAAAAGGCCTGGGGCTGGGACTGGGGAAGGAAAACAAAGGGCCAGAGAATGCTGGGAAAAGATGTTCGGACAGAGCAAAAGGATAAACACACCATAAAAAGCAAGATCCGGCTGAATGTGGTGGTGCAGGCCTATAATCTCAGCACTCGGGGGGGCTGGGGCAGGAGGACTGCAAGTTTGAGCCCAGCCTGGGCAACTTAGACCCTGTCTCAAAATTTAAAAAAAATTTTTTTTTGGTACCGGAGATCGAACTCGGGACCTTGTGCTTGTGAGGCAGGCAGCGGAACCACTGAGCTAAATCCCTGGCCCAAAATGAAAGTTTTAAAGGGCTGGGAATGTAGTTTGGTGCAAAGACCCTGGATTCAATCCCCACTATCACAGCCCCCCCCCCGCAAAACAAAAGGGCAAGCAAAGAAAGCAAATGTGGGGAACGTGGGGACCCTGTGTTTACAGAACCAAAGCGAGGGAGCCAGGTCCTGACTGGTCAAGAGCAGCACTTGTCAGTTCCAGGCTCAGAGGCCAGGGAGCTGCAGACCAGCACCACAGCAGCCCTGCCCGACACCCCAGCACACCTACACACACGCACACGCGCATGGTGGACACTCACACACATGCCCTGCATGCACTTCCCCAGTGCTCCAGCCTACCGTGACTTTGAGGCCCATGAAGGAGCCGCTGGTACAGTTGAAGAGATCGGGGGGCAGCCAGCCCTTCTCCCCGCTGCAGTGCCGAATGGCATTTCCTGGGGAGGAGAATGTGTGTGCGTTTAGAACCTGAAACCCAACAGCTGATCAGTGCCCACTTGCTGCCCCAGCCTGAGCATGCCTGAACCCCAGAACTGAGCAGGGTGAGGATCCGGGCCTGCCCTGGGACCCACATATGCTCCCTGCATCCACACCCGGGGCCACCTGCAGGGCTACTCTGACATTAACCACTGCCCTTCCAATGCACAGCAACGATGAGCAAACAACTGTTGAGAAAAGCAGCCAGTCAGGCCGTGCGCTGAGTATCGACAGCTGCCACTCACCCCACACTGGACGCCCACCAGACCTCCAGCATGGATACCATCACCATCCCCATGTCACAAGGAGAACGTGACACTGAACGGTGCGGTGACCCCTCCAGGTCCCCAGGGAAGGGAGCTGAAGCGTCCTCAGTGCACCCAGCCGGGCTGACAGCCTCGTGCACCACACCACACACAGCCTCTGTCCCCTCCCTCAAGCCTGTCCTTCCCCCGAAGGAGGAAGTCACAGTCTGTCTCCCACTGCGGCCCGACACAGGACGCTCAAGGAGCACCGACAGGCCATGGGACTTACCCACGGATCCCTTGGGGCATGGCACCGCAGCAGGCTGCCCAAACTTGGTCTGTGGCCACCAGATGCTGGCCTCAAATACTCGGGGACATCCGTTGTAGATCACTGAGTGCAGAGGACAGAACACACTGAGCCCAGGACACCTCCGACGCGTGAGGCCGGGCGCGTCTCCCACAGGAGCCCTCCCCAGGCACAGACCTTCGCAGCCCAGGGAGGTGACTTCGGCGAAGGGGTTGTCACAGCGGTTGCACTGGCGGCCGATGACGCCGGCCTTGCACACACACTGCCCAGTGTCCATGTCACACGCGCGGCTGTGGGCGCCATGGGGGAAGCAGTCGCAGGGCAGGCAGGCGTCCTGGGCAGGGGGCTTGTAGTAATTCTCCTACAAGGTCGGAGGCAGCTCAGTGACCTCAGACGCCCCAGCCCGGGAGATGTGTGCTGAGCGACACCCAGGCTCCCCCAGGGTGCCCGGCGGGTGGCTGCCAGCCTGACCTCTGTGCCTCTCCTCCATACCCTGCCCACGTCCCCTGCCTCCTGGGCCCTGCAAAGCAGGACAGGAGAGAAGAGGAGCTGCCCAGAAGGACCTTGCTTCTTAGCAAAGCTGCCCCAGGCACCTTCACGCCAGTGCTGAGTCAAGATCCATCCCGAGGTGGTCAGGGCACCAGTTTGGGGTTTCAGAGTCCTGGGTCCAGCCCAGCCCCGCTGTTTACGGCCACTCAGCCCCTGCCTCCAGAGGCTCAAGTGTCCCCTTCTTGTACTGGGATGGCTGTGATGCTTGTGGGCCAGCATCTAGGACACTGTGCCAGGCAGGGACAGAGGGACCACGAATGTGCAAAGTTTGGATGAGCAGAGGTCTGTGCCGTGGGCAGCCACACCTGCAGGTGCGGTAGGTGACGGTGACCTTTAAACTCTGCCTGGCACTTTCTATATTTCTACTTTTTCTGGTGGGAAAACAATGACAGACACAGTTTCTCCAGACACGGGGTCCACCTCATGCCCTCCGTCCTGCCACCCTGTGGCTGTTTCCACCTCCACCTCAGGACACAAGGCCTCACTCACAGCTGGGACACCGAGGTGCTCGGGATGAGAGTGATGTCATGGAACGCATCGCAGGGTCCATAGCGACCACTCCCTGCTCTGGGTCCAGAGCGCCTGTGCCTGACTCTGAACGGGACCGCCCCCCTCAGACCTGGGGAATGTGTTTCAAGTCCCAGGCAGTGCACTGACAGTCACTGGAGCATGGGGACGGAGGTAATGACAGGTCCCTGGGCTGGGCAGCGGAAGGAGAAAACATGAGCCCAGAAGCCAGGCACCAGGCTCCTCAGGATGGGACACCAAGTCGGGTGGGACTGCAGCTTTGGTGCATGTGTGTGCGCATGTGAGCACGTGTGGGGCTGGGAATGGAGCCCAGGGCCTTGCACATGCTTGGCACATACGCTACCTCGGAACCACAGCCTCAGTCCCCCTCCAACCCAGGGCCTTCACAAGAGCTAAACTCCCCATCCCTTTTCACTTTTTTGAGACAGGGTCCTGCTAAGCTGTCCAAGCTGAGCAATGATCCTCCTGCCTCAGCCTCCCAGCATGCTGGAATTACAGGCATGCACCACCATGCCCTGCTTCTTGCATTTTTTAAAACTTCTGTCATCACTGAGCACCAGCTCAGGACAAGACTTGACAGTGACCACCCAGGACGGACAGTGCTGATGAGCTGACCTTCAGAGAGAGCGTGAGTCCGGTGCCGACCAGGCTGGGATGAGGAGCCCGTAGGGCTCAGGAAGAGCAGTCGGTGTCTGAGCGCACGTCTGAGCGTGAGTGTGCATGTGTGTGTACAGACAGGTATGCATGTAGGTGTGCATGTGCATGTGCGTGGGTGTCCACAGATGGGTAGGAGTGTGCACACATGTACACGTGGCCTGAACGCCTCGTCCCTACAGGGCAGTCTCACCTTGCACTGGCACTGGCCACTGGTCTTGTTGCAGTCGGGATTGAAGCCCTGGCTCACAGCACAGTGGCAGGGCCCGCAGACGGGGTTCCCCCACCAGCCCTTGGGGCAGGGAAGGTCGATTCTGTTAGGGACATAAGACAGTGGCAGAGGGTTTGTGTCACGGGGCATCTCGGGGTGGGAGGTGCCTGGGGACGCCTGGGCAGTGGAGACATCACCTCCCTTCCTGGCCTCAGTCCCCTCCCCCAGCTCCCAACCCCGCCCCTGCCCCCAGCACCCTTAGACTTCTGTCCCACCTGCAAGTGGGGAAGGGAGGAGCTTCAGAGGTGTGTGCCCCGTGGGTGCCCACCTGTTCTCACAGTACTGGCCGTAGTGGCCTGCCTCACACTTGCACACATAGCCGAGTGGGGAGCTGGGTGCGTGCTCACAGGTGGCCAAGTGCTTGCACGGATTCACCTGGCAGGCATCCACGCACCTGTGTCCAAAGAACCCTGTGGGGACAGGACCAGTCTCTCCAAAGGGTCTAGGGGCCTGTGGCGAGCTGCAGCCTCCCCAAGCCCACTTTTCCGGCTCCTGATTGGCTGCCCTAGGAGGGTGGGAGCTGTGGGGACAGTGATCTCAGCCACCCCAGGACATTCAAGGAACAGACACCTGCTGAGAATGACTCCAGTGCCCCAAAATTCAGAGATGCCCCATCAATGTGATTTTAGGAACATGATTCTTTGCCAGTTTTTCATTCATAGCATCACACGCCCTGACAGGACAGCCAAAGCATCACGCCAGGTTCCAAACAAAGACAGGCCCGGGGTGTGTTTACAAGGAAGCCCCGCACAGAGGGGGCGCCAGGGACAGGCCCCACCTTTGTCACAGTCACAGGAGTAGCCATCCCAGGTGTCACGGCAGTGGCTGTGCTGTGGACAGGGGCTGGAGGCACAAGGGTCCTCCGTGTCGCAGCCGTCCTTCACCCTGACCTTGAGGGCGTCCTTCATGCGCAGGGTGGCAATGTTGGTGGACGTCTCACCCATCCTCACTCCCTGCGTTTGCAAAGAGTCGGCCAGACTCAGTCCTGGGTCACTGGGGCTGGAGGAACCCCAAAGGCAAACGGGAATTGAGGGCACCCCAGCTTCTCTCCGGCACTTGCGAGGCACTTTGCCAGGTGGCACTGCAGAGGCAGCTCCTCTCATCCCAGCAGCCCTGGGGCCATCAGCTGGGCTCGGAGGCCTTTGGGGCCGGACCCCTGGGGGTCAATCCTTGCTGCAGGAGGCCATGGGCGAAGGCACTCCGTGAACAGCTCCATTGGTGACTGCTGGGACCCCCAATGGGGGCAAGCACAGGACTCATTTAGCAGAACTGGGTGGGGCATGAGGCTGAGGGCCAAGGGACAGGGGCCGACCTGGGCTTGGGGACCAACGTGTGTTTGCTGGAAGCTCACCAGCTATGGTGCTGGCGGCCAGAGCGCCGTACCTGCATGCAGCCCCGGAACCCACGGCGCACGGACACCTTGTCCTCGGATAAGCCCCCGACGACCATGCTCCGAATCTTCAGCCCGGGAAGCTGGTTCCCGATCTGCACGGTGTTCTGCAAAGAGGGGAGGCTCTGGGGGGTGCCCTAGGCTCTGGCTGAGGACTGTTCGTTCTCCCTCTGGGGTCTCAGGTGCCCCCTAAGCATTTGCAGTTGGTGTATTGTCGCACCACACTGGGCTGGCTTGGCGTACGCTCAGAGCCCTAGAGACACCGCCCACGGGGACTGGTGCGCCTCTGTGTCCCACAGCCCCTCCAGGTCCAGGGCTCACTGTACCCCTGCTGTACCCACCATCCACCACTCAGGAGCAGTACTGTTTCTCTCTGCACCCCAGAGACAGCCCCAGCACATAGCTGTCGCTTGAGCCAGCTTTGCTATCAGCAGCCCTAGCTGCAGGCGCCCACAGCACTAGGATGGGGAATACAGATGGTGACATCCAGTTCCAACTGTAGGAACTGGGCACCTAGATGGGGAGGTGACACAGATGCCCTTGACCTCAGCATCCCTTGGACCAGAGAGCATCCCCCAGCCCACACGGCCGCTGCAGGTCTCGGCACCAAAGGGTCACCCTGCTGTGCCATGGCCCAACAAAGGGGTCTGCTCCAAGGAGGGCACCATTGCCACTCACCTGGTCCAGCCCGTAGTCCAGGGTCACGACTGCCAGGTACTTGATGTCCTTGCCCTCCTTGGCACTCTTCAGCTCTATCAGCAGGTGGTGCCACTCCCCGTCCGTCACACGGGACCTGGACAGCTGCACGGATGCCACATCGGAAGGGCTGTGAGACACCTCAAACTGGATGTAGCTGTTCAGGATCTGCAGGGCAAGGAGACGCTTACTGATCGGTGCAATGACCATGAAACAGAAAATCCTTTGCAGGTGCTTAGAAGACGAAGCCACATGGACAGACTTCTGATATGGTGCTGGATAAAAGACAGACTTAAAAATCAGGCCAAGTCTCAGTCTGCTGAGATCCAATCCACCATGTTTAACACACCTGAAAAAACAGAAGTCAGTATCAAAACTGGTCCCAGACAGTGTCCTGTGAGACACCCAGATCCTACTTGCCCTAGAGGAGGACTGAGTGACCTGGACCAGCCTCCTCCAGAGAGCCCTGAGGGAAATGAGATGTGTCGTGATGATTGCAGAACCAGAGGGACTCCAGGCACAGTGTCACAACCCAAGAGGAAGCAGAAGCCCAAAAGTGAGGATGCTGTTGCTTCCCCTCATCGCCAGCGGGTTCTGAAGGGCATGATGGGGCTGCAATGCTAAGCAGAGCTCTCCAGGGCCTGGCACGGGTGCTGGGCGGGCTTCTCCAGAACCCAGTTGGCTCTGGGACCGAAAGGGCTATGTGAGAAACAGATCAGCATTCTGCAGAGCAGATGCCCAGCTCTGATGCACCTTACTGTATGGCACGTTTGGGGGTGGCAAGCGCCTCAGCTGGTGGGACAGCAAATGTAGAGGCTAATGACAGCCCCTCCTAGTTTCCAGTTCTCTCTAGGTTTTTTAGTACAGTGTCCAGCACTCAATACAAATAACCACATGTATGAGGAGACAGTATGCTCAAAAAGCAAGAGAAACAAGAGAGACAGACCCTGGGGTGGGGTGGGATGGGGGGATCCAGACAGTAGAATGGGACTCAGACTGGGAAAGAGCAATGGGAACCACAGAACTCTGTAAGAAACAGATTCAAGTGGTTGTTACACTCTTACTCTGGGTGTAAGTGTCATAGTTTAGGAGCTAAGGATCAAGCTACTATGTTTACACCTAAGTAAAAAAATCCAAACAAGGTAACTAACCTAAGATAGTTGTATCTAAAGACAACTTCCACTAAAAGGTAGGCAAAGTTAGGAAAACAAAAAACTATTAACATACTGCTTAAAAGAGACACAGCTGAAGTACAAGAATATAGAAAATGCTGAGTGGGAAAGGATAAAAAAGATACATTATGTAAGCACCAACAGAAAGAAAGCTGGTGTAGTTGTGTTAAAATGAGACAGAGGAAACATAAAGCAAGCATCATCACTACAGATAAAGAAGACTTTCATGATGATAACAGAACCAATTGGCCGGGAAGATAAAACAATTCTAAATTTGAACGCATTTAATAATATAGCCACCAAAATCTATAAAGTGAAAACAGATTTCCAAAAGATGAGCTAAATCTATAATCAAAATTGGAGGTTCTTTTCTTCTTTTTTGTTTGTTTGGGGTTTTTTTGTGAGACTAGGTCTCATTACGTTGCTAAAGGGTCTAAATTACTAAATTCCCCAGGCTGGGCACAAACTTGTGAGCCTCCTGCTTCAACCTCCCAGAGTGCTGGGATTACAAGTGCACATCACCATGCCCAGACTAAAACTGCAGATTTAAAGCCACTTCTTTCAGTAAACGGGGAAAAAGGCAAAAGATATCTACATATTTGAACACCACAGTTAGTGAACTTCACCTCCTGGACATACACACAGCTCTAGGAATAACAACTGCAGCCCACACATTCCCCTCCCATACAGCAGAACATTCACAAACACTGACTAGGTCTGGGCTGTAAAGCAAGTCTCAACATATTTCAAAGGTCTGAAATCATATAATGCGAGTCCTCTGACTTGCAATTATGCAAGTCAAAATGACTTACTAGAAAATACTTCATGCTTGCTAACTCCGAAATACATACACCATAGGTGTCAGATGAATTTGTGGTGGAAACAGGAAAACATTTCGCACTGAATAGAAAGGTAATATCACAAAGAACGTATTTTGAGTTTTCAGTCTCCTTTGTCAGCCAATTTCAGAAGATAGTTTTTCACCTTTTTACAGTTTGTTTCCTTTTGTTCTATAGAAGTTTCCCTTACCATTCTCTTTCACTGTCCTTGCCAATAAAACTCGGAAGCCATTAGATCAACAATAAAAATGACATTATGTCTACACAAAAGTGCTATGTCTAGCGTAAGCCCCAGGACCCGGGGCGGCAGCTGCTCCCACCTGAGGTCTGTCCCTGGATTTAGGAGACACAGCCAACAATAGCAGGGTTATCCTGCTCCACAGTGCAGGTGGCTCTGGGCGCCCAAGAGCAATTATCCAAAGTGTCTGGGCTGGGGGATGATGTAGCCTTGCCAGCCTGCTGTAAGGGTGCAAGGGGGGGCTTCAGGAACACCCAGCCTGCCATACAGTGGCGCTCACGGGGCTGGTAGAAGTCACCCAGAACATTCCCACAATGCCTGGCAGACCACCTATGGAACCATTCCAGGCCACCTTCTTTGTGCCTACCAGGGTCTGCAGGGTCTCTTAGGGCTGCCACTCTGCCACCCAGCCTTGCACAGGGAGGCCTGCCACAGACTCTCACCTCCTGGACGAGTTACAACAATGTCACTGCTCAGTCAGCCCGGCCTGGCTGAGTACTCATCCTACAGAGACGCCACAGCCGGATGACAACTGGGAGCTCCAATTCCTTCCTCAAATGGTACACAGCCAATTTAATTTGTTCCAACAGAGAAAAATGCCATCCCCAGGCAGAACAGCTTCCACACCTGGGCCCAGAGGGATATGGGACGTTACAGCCGATGAGGGACATGCGGCAGGGCTGCACTCCCCCCATGTACACCTTGCACTGTCCAGTCAGGTTGGACGGGGCCGGAAACCATGCAGAGCAGTGACCAGAGCGAGGGCCAAGTGAGTGAGCAGAGGGGGCCGTGTCTGGGCGCTGGGCCTGCCTGCCCGCCCTGTGCTGGTGACCTGCATGGGTTCCCGTCCCCTGACCTATGACATGGAGCTAGGGGGAAGGAGAGGCCCCAGACACCCACCTCCTCCTCTCACCAAGCCCCATCACAGGACTGCGACTAGATGGCCTGTCCACGGCGTGATGGGAGGGGTCCTATGGCTATGACAGGAACCCAGGAGGTCAGGAAACTCGGGCCTGGACTGCAGTCTCCAGGCGCTGGCATCCCCGTGTGGAATGCAAGCTCCATGGGAACACCCTTTAAGATCTGTCTCACCTCTGACCACCTCCAGCCCCGCCACAGCCTCACAAGGATACCAGGGCCCAGGAAGAGCGACAAACGAGCCACACGCAGGAACAGTGGGGACCAGTGCCAGTCCAGGAGGACGTCCCGACACGGAGTTGTCGCCTAGAGTGGCGATCTTGGGGTGGCGCGGCTGAGGGAAGGAGAAAGCTCGGGCTCTTGCTGGCTGGAGTTATTAACAGCCCGTGGGCAGAAGCGAGGGCCAGGCCCAGACCGCGCGCACCTGGGTCTCGCCCACGCACACATGCACACAGAGACACACACATGCAGACGTGCACGCATGCACATGCAGACACAGACACACGTACACATACGTGACAGAAGCCTAGAAGAGAGATAGAAACAAAGAAGGAACCCAGTCGTGGATTTCTTCACATGGGCATGGCGCACGCAGCTCAGGCTCAGGCTCAGGCTCAGGCACGGTTCCCCCGGGCCGTCCCGAGTCGAGCAGAGAAGCAGGCCAGAGAGTGCCTTGGTTAAGGAGGACGCCTGTCCCTGAGGTCACTACAGATGGCAACCAGCCAGAGATGTGAGGGCTTCTGGCTACAGACCCGGGGCTGGCACCTCACAGGGACGCCCGGGGTCCCTGAGAGCTGCACGTCTGGAACTCTCATGTCCCAGGGCCAGGACAGGGTGGGCACCCCACAGCCGCCTCTAGTGGAGAGGCAGTGACAGAGGAGGCCTGGGCCTTTTCCACAAAGGAAAACGACCTCTCACTCTTTCTCAGTGAATCTCTCTGGAGCCTGGAAGACCTATTTGTGACTTGGAAAGTATTTGTGACTCGAAAGACTATAAAATGGGGTGCATGAGAATAATCTTAGAAGTGTTTAGGAACTGCTGCCCCGAACTTCAAGGAACAAAGTGGAGAGGGCCACAAAGTGGAAGAGAACACGTGTTGTGAGGGCGCCCACAGGTTCTCGGCACCTCCTGGCCACAGTGGACAGGTCAGAGCCATTCAGGGTCCACAGAGGCCTGCGCTCCTGCTCACAGCCTGCTCTGGCCAGAGCTGCTCCTAGGATCACCTGGGCATCCATGTGTCCTCTCGGCCTTCAGGAAGGGAAGAGAGGGCTGGAGAGGAATTCCTGGTGGGTATCCTGTGGGAATCCAAGCCTTGTATGATCCCTGCGTGCCTGGGCCCTGAATGGCCCAATTGTGCTGCAGCACAAGAAAGCCACTCATGTTTCCACTGGTGAACCCAGGGGCAGGCAGAGGAGGAGGTGGGGGAGCAGCAGATGCCCTTCGGCGGTGTCCTGGGAAACCCCATGCCTATCCTTCTCTTGCACGTTGCCCACCCTGCAGGCCCTCCAGGCACCACATGGCCTTGCTCACCTGGAGATGGAGCCTGGATGACACACCAGCGATGGCCTCCATGAGCACGCTGTCCTCCTTCCGGGTCCGGAACATGAGCCCCAGGTACCAGGGCACGGAGATGGTGATGTCCAGGTCACTCCAGGACACGACGCTCTCACCGCTGAAGCGCTGGGGGTGGGGCATGACTGTGGGCAGAGATGGGGCCTCTGAGCACCCTTTCCAGCTGAGGGGATGGGACGGGACTGGAGTGGATCCGAGCCATTTTAACACAATGGCCTGTCTCAGTCTGTGACTGCACCAAGCCGGTCTCCTGAATCCAGGAAAAGCTCTGCAGATACCGACCCCTGAGAGCGCCACTGCCAGGGCAGAGGCCAGGCCGGAGGCTTCCATCCACTGCCAAGTGTGCCAAGGGGCACTCTGGCTGGCCAAGAGGCAGATGGCTTGAGTGGCGAGCCTGTGAGCCCAGTCTTCCTGTGTCGCCCCACACCTGCTGGGCTAGGGTTGAGGACCAGGAACGGGGGCAGGGTTCCATGCACGACAACCCCTTGGTGAGGACAGCATGCACCTGCGGTCAGGGTGGTACACATGGCTGCGGGCACAGACGCCGGCCTGCAGTGTGACCTGCTGTGGGGGCCAGGCAGGGTTCCAGCCCTGCACACAGGCTGCTGCTCTTCCGCTCCTGGAGACGAGCGGGGAGATCCAAACGCTGCTGGGCCCCCAGGTCCTCAGATGGAGGGGGGGTGGGGGGACAAGAGCCTCATCTTGGAAACCCACTGTGCTGGCACCTGCTGCCCTCACCCTGGCCGGGCCTGCCCGTCAGGTGGCTCTGCAGTCGTCACACAGGCCTTAAAGGCTGCGGCCACACCCAGAGTCACTGCTACCCAGCAACCTGAGCGGCAACCGTGGGGTGGGGCGGCCAGGGCAGCCTGACCCCATGTGCAGGGCCCTGTGTGGAAAGAAGCTCCTGTCTGCCACAGGTAAGGCGAGGGCGTGGCTCGATGTCACACCGCACGCCCCCAGCCAGTGCGTGCCAGCCGGCTGCAGGGTAGCCAAGGACGCCAGCCTCGGGCCACTGCCTGTCACCTGCCCCGCTGGACTGAACTGCACCCTCCCCGAGAATGTGCCACTGCAGTTCCGGGCTGCTTTCTCCTGGGAATCTGGGGCAGGCCCTTGGTCCCACCAGTCCCCCAAAACAGACACAGGTGCATGGCCCCCTGGTGCAGAGGCTGAGGTGAATCGGGGTGCAGAGCAGCTGGCCAGCTCTGGCCGGGATGGGCCACAGGACGGAGGCAGGTGCCACCTTGTCAGTGGGTGGTTTTCTACTTCTCAGAACCTTGCCCATGAGCTCTGAGAATCTTCAAAGTCGGACCTTGAGCCTGCCCCAGTGGACCCGACCTAACTGCCCCACTTTTAAAGGAAGAGTGTCGGTGATTTTTAAAATGAAGAGACCCGCCAGGCGTGTAAGCCTCTCGTCTCAGTGCTCTGGGAGGCTGAGGCAGGCGGATCACAACTCAAGCCCAACCTGGACAACTTTGTGACTTACCAGGACCCTGGCTTACAATTTTTTTTTATTTTATAAAAAGGGCTGGGGATGTAGCTCAGTGCAAAGGCCTTGGATTCAACCTCCAGTATCACACACAATCACACAAAAAGATGCCTACTTGGTACTGTACGGCTTCAAATGGAATTGACTGCTAAAAACCTGTCCATGACTGCACAGGATGCAGGGGTGAGTGGAGATGGAGGTCCACCCATCTGTTACATCCAGTCAGTGGGCAGCCAGCTGGAGGGCGTCCTCAGGGAGCGGAGGGCCAGGAAATCGCTCACAGGCCTAGTGCCACCTGAGCCACACTGCTCCTTGGACCCCGGCCTCCTCTTGCCCTGAGCACCCCAGGCTGAGGCTCCCAGGCACCCCTGGCCTCTGCCCAGCTCGCTCCCTGTGTGGCCCCAAGCCTGCATGGGCACGAGAGACCTCACCTTGCTCACAGTTCTTGCCACCGAAGCGCAGCGGGCAGCGGCACAGGTAGGTGCTCCACCGGTTCACACAGGTGCCCCCATGCTGGCACACAGTGCCCTTGCAGAAGTCCGTCTGGGCAGCACAGCCTGGCAAGGCAGAGTGGGTGGCCTCAATGCATACCCCACCAGGGACTAAGAATGGGGCCTCAGGCAGGCAGCCCCAATGTCACTCACACCCGGGCTCTGGGTCCCCAGGGCCGTCATGGCGGCCGACCTGGGCACCAGGGATACACTCAAGTCCCAAGATCAGGTTGTCCTGGGGTCAGCTCCAGCCCTCATGCCAAGGATGGCATGTCCCAGCGTGCCCTGCCCAGCAGAGGATGCCCCCCCCAGTGACGTGGAAGTGGACTTCCGCTGCACACACCTGCCCTGGTGCCATTGTTGGCGATGAAGCCAGCCATGTCTACGTTCTGGCCGTCAATGGACAGGTTGCGCATGCAGCCCACAAACTGTCGGTTGCTCACAGGAAAGTCCTCTGGCAGGTTGGGGACGCCGCCCAGGAGCAGGGGCCCCGTCAGATCCAGGGACCTGGGGAGGCAAAGCCGTTCTCTGTGATGTCCAGGCGGAGAGAGGAAGCTTTTGCCATCAGGGACGGATGCTGCCATCACGGAGCAGGTGGTCACCACGTGCCAGGACAAAAAGCACACTCTACCACTGGGCCACGTCTGGCTCTTCATGGCCTCCTTGTGCCTCAGTTTCTAACCTCACCCCACATCCTGACAAATGGCTGCTTCAGGCTACGTGGTGGCCCCAGTGCCCACCCAACCTGCACATCTCCTCCTCAGATGGAAGGGGGCCGGCGAGGGAGTCACCACTAGGGCTCCACTTGGCCAGCCTCCCAGGCCCTCCAGAAAGGGGATGTCAGGAGGACCAAGCGGAAGGTGGTGGCTGTCCCAGGCCCACAGCACACTCAGGACACTGGGGTTCACCCATATGTGAAGGCCACCTGGTGTCTCCCAGTGTGCACCAAGTGCAGTGGGCATGCTTGCCTTTTCAGGCTGGTGTCACGAAAGGAGAAACATGCCAATGCCTATGTGTGTCCACACTGGGACTCCTCCGTCCCTGAGTCGGGACCACCCTAGGGAGACTCTGGGACCAGCACAGACACAGTCACTTCCGCTCATGCAGTCCAAGGCCCAAGGACCATACTTGCCAGATGAAGCCCATGGAGACGGGGCCAGGACAGTCTCCGGGTCACCGGGCCATCGTCACAGCCTGGGGGCTGCCCTGGCCTCTCTAACAGACTCTCAAAGGACCTGTCCTAGAGGGTTCTAACGTCTCAGAGGAAAGGTGGCCCAGCCACAGGAGGGAAAGAGTGGCTGAGGTGCCCCACACCTCCTGTCCAAGGCAACCCACATCTGTAGCAGTGGCCATAGTGGGTAAGGTCCCTTGGTCCCCCGGGATGCTCACTTCTTGGAGCCGCTCTGGGTGCCCTGGGCGGCACAGCTGTAGTTCCCAACATAGCTGCCGAAGTGCACTGCCATGGCGGTGTCACAGTCATCCACGGTCACCACGGCCACCTTCTCCCCAGATGGCCCATGGGGCAGGCCCAGGCGGCCGATGTTGGGCTGTGGGAGGAGAAGATGCAGAAGGACTCAGCCGCCTGCCTGGTGCCCCGACCTGGCCTCAATCTATGGGACCCCAGACTCACATCCTTCCCAGGACCCTGGACACGGGACTTGGCTGGGGACAGAGGTGTGGCCATGAGGGAAGGGAGCCTCAGCGGTCCACGTGGGCCCCATGCCTCGGGGATATCGAGGAAGAGGAGGTTGCCAGTGCCCTCGAGGCAGGTGTGCCTGTCTGTAGACGCCGAGGGAGGGCAGGGAGCCTCCGAGTGTCGAGGGAACCCCTCATCATCTGCTGTTCCAGGGATGTCTCTGGGCCCAGGGCTCCTCACCAGGGCCCCACCCAGCGCAGTGCAGCCATGGACACCAGGACACCGCTGCCCGCCCAGACAGGGCCTGTGCCCCGCAGAGCACGAAGCTCTGGTCCCTTCCAGCGTATCCCAGTCCCCAACCTGTCTCTCCCACTGGCCCAGCCAACCCCTCTGAGCACTTGACCAACCCCACCTTCCCATGAGCCTGTGGCCCCTGCAGTCCCCTGAGCGATGTGGGGTCCTGTGCGCCCCACTTCCTTCCGGGTGGTGACTCCCCCACCCAGGCCCGCTGACCCTCCCAGGACACCACGTGTGTCCCCCCAGACGACCTAAAGCCTTCCCGCCCCGTCCCTGCCCCCTCCGGAGGCCGTGGAGGGTGGTGGGTGTGCGGGGCTGGGTTCGCCTTTCCGCCCGCACAGGGCTCCCGAGTCCTGCCAGCCTGGTGGCCCCAAGGACGCCTGCCAGAGCCTCTGCCCCACCCTAAAACAATGGACCCAGCCATGGCGGGGATGCATGGGGCCCAGGACTGCAAGGCCCGCTGGGGAGCACAGCAAGGGCCTGTCTGAGAAACAAACACACGGAACAGCAAACAACCCCCGTGGGCCCAGCGCTTCTTGCCAGCTCTGGGTCAGTTTGAGTGTAGGACATGACACAGTCTCAAGCTTCCGTGTGGTACTACCGAAAAGGTTTACAAATGCTTAGAATGCAATCAGAGCATCCTCACTGCCTTTTGATCAGGGAATGACTACATAGTTCATTCAAAAAGAAATCTTAATTTTTTTCTACAGGAACAAAGCATCTGTTTGATTGAGGACTGTGGGTAGGAAGGAAGGCAGGACTTGGACCTGCTGGTAACAGGAGCTCAACCAAGTGCCTGAGCTGTGCGACTCTAGGAGCCCTGTTGACCCAGGCAGCATTCTTTGTATTGGTGCAGTACACAGCCAGCACAGCTGTCCATGGCCACCCCAGCTGAGCCTTCCTCCGTCCATCAGGCAACCATCTGACTCGAATGAGACCCACTGCTGCCCCTTGGCTCCTCCATGTACAGGATAAGGATTTAATATCAGAAAACCTGTCCTCTCTGTGTCACAAGGACTTTGGGAATGATGTCAGCAGAGGACGCTGGGTCCCCTGCAAGCCCTCCTTAGAGAGACAAGGGAGGCTTTCACCATGCCGGGCACCCTGGGTCATGGTCGCCGCTTACATCCTGGGTGAATTCACCGCCTGCTAGGCTCTTTCCATGGAGAAACACGCTCGTGTTCTGCGGCAGGGTCAGGAGAGAGTGAAGTCCCTGCTCTGTCCCTAGAGCTGCAGGCTGCTGTGTAACGTGGGTGCAAGTGCTCATTAGGGGCCCTGAAACACCAGGTGCGGCCCTGGAGAGAGAAGAGCCCTTCTGAGCTGAACCGGAATTATCTCCAAGGCTGTAATTTCCACTTCTGGGAGGGGAGGCCTGCACACTACAGTGATCAGCCAGGCCTGAGGGCCCAGGGCCTCGGGGGTGAGGAGCAGGAAGGGGCAGCGGGAGCCCTGCAGAGAGGGCAGAGGACCCACGGCCAAGGGCTCCACCTGAAGCTGCTCACACAGGCTGGCAATGCCCAACGGTGAAAGCAAGCCAAATGCCCGCTGATGTGCAAATGGTAGACTGGTTTATCCACGCGGTGGAGTACACTCAGCCATAAGAGTGGCCGGATATGGGGGTGCACGCCTGTAACCCAGCATTCTGGGAGGCTGAGGCTGGAAGATCACAATTTTGAGCCCAGCTAAGCAATCAGTACAAGAAAGACGGACGACAGAAAGAAAAAGGAAAGAAGAAAGAAAAGAACACATTTGACAAATCAAATGTTCAGCCTTCTTTCTCCTGATGAAGACAAAAATAAGTTATTTTTTAAAGAAGATAAACTATGCGGCAGCTGGAAGGCTGCAAGCAGAATGAAAAGCCGGAGGACAAGGCACTGGGAGGGCTGGCTTCACCGCTCAGTTCCAGCCCACCCTCTTGAAGTTCAGGAAGCAGTTTAAACGGCTCCTTCAGAGATCAGGGGAGGGAAACAGGCCCCGCCTTGCCACTCCTAGCCCAGGGAGGAGGAACAAGAGATCAGACAGAAGAACCGATTCCCAACATCTTTAAGATGAATTTTAAACTTTGCCACTGATTTACACAAAAGAAGACAACGATGTCTGATTAAAGGGGCCAGAGGCACTGTCTCCGCTTCCCAGTTTCTGCCTGGAGGAGTTCGGGGCCGGATGGGTGGGGCCCGCAGACCCCACCTCCTACACAAGCCTCCCCCAAGGAGGCCAAGGACTCCCAGGCCTCCCTGCAGGGCCAGGAAGCTCGTGGGCAGCCCAGCCTGGACATAGGGAAAGCAGGCACAACACAGGCGGACCAGAGGCCCAGGCCCACAGTGGACTGTGGAGAGATGACGCCTGTGACCCCTATATCTGAACTCCAGGGATGCACGGGCCACCCCCACATTCCCTCCTCCACCTGGGAAATCCCTGGGGCACTGTGGGACCCAGGACCCAGGAGTCCTGACGCAGAGGCCTGGCTTGGCCGGCGTCATCTTCCCGGCGTCCCTTCCTCCCGGCTGGCTTTGCTCGGCGGAGGTTTTGTGCATGCACAAAAGCCTTTGGTACTCAAGAGTGCTCACGTTTCTGCAGCCCTTTAACCTGCTGCTGCCAACAATCCTGCATCGAGGGCCATGGGGTCCGATTACAGCATGGGGGCGGCACACAGAGCACCCGGGAAACCGGACCCGGGAGGCCAGCCCAGGACGTGAATGGATTCACGCTCAGTGTCAGCAATGATTAAGTGATGCTGACCTCACAGCACACACAGGTGGCTGCACCCAGGGAATGTGTGCAAGGGGCCACATGCAGCACTACCACCCTGTCACTTCACTCGCAGCGAGGTGCCGAGGGACCTCGACAGCAGAGTGGACTTGTCTGTCCCCAGCCTTGGGACCAGACTCTGGGAACCTCCTGGGGATACTACTGGGCTCAAACACCAGGTCACGCCTAGTGGGTATCTCAGCAGCCAAGGCTCCGGCCAGGTTTGCTCCGAGGGGTCCTTCTCTCCCCTGACAAATGAGGGTCGAAACCAAGGGCTCCCGAGGTTATCAGCAGCACCTTCTTGGGGGCCTGGGGCCACACGCTCCTCCTCTCGGGGGCCATGCAGACACAGCTGCTCGAGGACCCTTGGGCACCCACAGAGGCAACCCTCCAGGGCAAGGTACGCTAGCCGGGGACGAGCAGCCACCCATCAGGCCCCCGCTGTGTGGCGCTGGGCACTTGGGTGGGGCCCAAGTCACCCACAAACCCGGGGTCGCGTGCCCAGAAAGACAGGACGGAGCTTAGGGACGAGGATGCACAGAGCTCAGCTCATCTTTCAAAAGCACAGCCTCGAGGTGGGGGGGGGGGACAGGAAACTGCAGACTCACACTCAGTGCACACTCATAGTCGTTTACACGTGCACACTCACTAGCTGGTGCACATTTGCACCCTGACCCTTGCTCTAACTCATGGACGTGTGCACACTCACTCACTCTCACCCGTGCACCCAGAGATTCACCCTCACTCTCACTGGCACACTCACACACCGTGAGACACTCACACTTTGCACACATGCACAGAATCTTGCACATTCTTACGTGGCCTCTGACAAAGCCCTGGCCATTCCTGCTAGGATCCGAGAGTCCCTCTGTCCTCAGAGCCTCCCAGGACCTGCCACCTCCTGTCTCCTCCAACGAGACATCTGGACCCTGGCAGAGGAATGGGTGAGGGACCCCAGGCAATGGCCAGGTCTAACCATATTCCTGTCACTTGCCCCGTGCCTCAGTTTCCTCATTGTCTCCTCCCAGGGCGCAAGGATCAGGTGGGCTGACAAACACATGCCCAGCACAAGGTGGGACATCCAGGAGCACCATCACCCTGTGCTGAGTGTGGCAGAGGCCAGGCCAGGAGGAAACAGGGAGGGAATGGAGGGGTCTGCAGCACACTGTGCTTCAAAGTTGTGCTGGGAAGCGGGGACAGACGGCAGGTGGTTTTCAACCACCCCATGAGGCCGTGTTCAGGAAAGGAAACCACGGCACTTACCCTCCAGTGGACGGGGTGTGTCCTCCCCACTCCTCGGCCTGGCCACCGGCTCTGCACAGGGGGCACAGCGTCACCTCTCTCACGGGCTCACTGGCCCCCCAGCCCCCTCTGCAGGCTTTTATTACCTGCCCCTTGGCTTCAAGGAGGCATTTAGCATTCCAAGCCAGAGATGTAGGATAAGGGCCATTTCAGACATCGCCCTGGGGCCCGAGGGAGCCGGGAATGCAGCTCTCGAGGAAGTGGATACCCAGTAGGTATTCACTTGTGGGCCAGTGGGACAGGCATGGGGCCAGGAAACACTGCCGGAAAGAAACACTAGTTCACTCCAGACTATTGCTGCACCTTGGGGTTCTCCAGAGCTTTTACTGTGACACAGCCCCGGGGCTCTCGAACTCAGCACGCACCTTACGGGGACTGGCCAGCCTGCACCCCTCCGTTGGCCAAGCGGCATTGAGCGAGCACTAAGACAGCTCTTGCGGGGTGGGGTGGGGTAGCAAGCTCCTCACTGTCTTCTTGGTGGAAACGATTTTCTGTGCTTTGTAAAGCTTAAAGACCTTCATAAAAGTTTACTGTCACTATCTCCCATATTCTTCAAATACGATT